TTTACGTTGACTTATAATTGACATTTTCTATTTCCTAATACATTTTTTCTTAACAGTTTTTGAATGTTTTTTAAGGGTGCGAATGTTTTTATTATGTGTAAACTTTACCGGGCACATTTTTATTTCAATTTTTTTTTTTTGTACTTTTTATACTTATAACGAATTTGTACATTTTGTGCCACTCGCACTTAGTTCGGAAGGTGTAAACATTTAATGATCGCGCTTAAAACTAATCATTTTGATATCGTATTAATATTATTAATACGATATAATATAATATATTATATTAATATTAAATTAAAACTATGAGAAAATATAACACGAGTACTTAAAAATGTATTTACAAAAAATCTTGTAAATATGTAAAAGTCTTAAAACAAAATTTAAAAATCAAATTTTAGGCTGTAAATCAGATAAAAACCCTAGAATGATGTAATACTATAAAATTTAAAAATGCAAAGTAAATTTTCTTTATTCTTATTCAAAAATACATACGAAGAAATGTTTAAAAAGCTAGGTTTAGGAAAAAAATTGCAAAATGCCAGAATTTCTAGCCATACTTATATTAATAATATAGTTCTTTAAAATTATAACTCTAAATTGACTAATTACTTTCAAATTGATGGCATATTATGACAACAGTAATAATAATATCGCGGAGCGTTGCGTTTTGTAAGATATTTATATCTTGTCTAAGCTTCCAAACCAAGTGTGAGCGCAGTGTTTTTGCAGATTCGTTATCAGAATATTATCGATTGAAAAAATATACATGGCAATCATTGAGTTTAGAAAAAATAGTTTTACCTGGTTGTGGTTCGAAGCTCTTCAATTATCCTATAAACAATTATTTAAATACTATTAAGAGTAATAAATTATAAAAATAAAAAATGGCTTAATTATTTATTGCAGAATTAACTCAAATAATAATTGTTCGAACGATTAACGTTTAAATAATATATTACATCAAATGTCATTTAGATGACCATTTTTTTATTCAAATCTAATTGCTTCTATACTACAACATTTTTAATATTTTATTTGTTAATGTCGATATTACACAATTTAAATAGGAAGAATACTTGGAAGAAAAGTATAGCCTGGAATTTGTACAATCGTTAAATTATTTGCCGACGTTAGACGAGAAGGTTGTTACCATTGAGGAAAGTGACGTTCAACTTCTTACGAATGACTGCTACCCTGATAGAAACTGTTTGAACAAGAAAAACGCGTCTGTTAAAAAATACCACCAGAAAATGCAAGCGATGCAGTGCATTCACGGGTTGTTCGTTTATAATGTTTTGGACGACTTGGAAGAAACTATCAGATTATCAGATCCTGATTTTCTAAAAATTGAACTTCAAAAGACCGGTTTGAAACATCAAGTATTCCTGAAAAGCATGTTGGCGCTGTTAAACGTGGCGAATTGGAACGCTTACGATTGGCAAATCGAAGTGTTCACCTTTGTGGAGGGTTTAGTAGGTTCGGGTTGGCTTCTTAAAAATGTCGTAGACCATTTCAATGATAAACTCTATAAACTCCCTCGAGATAAAGTGTTATGGTTCATTAGCCAATGTGTCCATAATAAATATTTATTTTCTAAAGGTAAAACAACCTCATTGACGTCAACGATATCCGATCTCGTCAAAGGCGTTCATTCGCAGATGCGATTGTTGCACAAAAGCGGAAAGTTAGACTTAGATAGACGCATACAATTATGCACAATACGGGTTCTCATTTTAGAGCATCTGTATAATCGTGAAGATTTCATTTTTGACTGGTCGATGTATGGCTACAAACTTGACATGAGTACTGTCAAAAATGATTTGAAAAGCTACATCGTGTCAAACACTAGGGAGCATTTTACGTACCATCAGTGGGAATTGGAACCGATGTTAGGTAATAAGTACAATGCCTTGATTTTGGATTGCATCCACTTAAGGGCTGTGCACTTCGTATGGTTTCACTTACATATGTACCACACCTTAAAACGCCGAACGTCTGACGTTAACGTGCTATACCAAATCTGGAATACGCTCGTTCCAAATCTGAAAAATGCCGTGAGGATGTTTGGGTTTGATGAAAACCTCTACTGGTCTGCAATGCACATTATGATGGTCGACTTAAGAACCATTAGCCGAGAAGTGCTCGAAGCACGAGAAGAGTATACGAGAAATTATTTTTCTAAATCTGCAGAAGATTTACAACTCGGCAGTTTTGCCGACATCAATCGACAATTAAAAGAAATAAAAGTTCCAGAAGACCACAAATCAATGTACGATAGTATCGAAGCTAATGCCAAAATGCTAAACGATTACATTGGAAATATAATATCCGTATTAGATCCAGTAGACGTTACATTTATCCCTATGATAGTGTCAGCTAAAGGAAATGAATATTTTTTTGAGCGTTAAGCTTAAATAGCTTAACGCTAACATATATTAGCATGACAATTACTATAATTAATTGTATAAACAGAATCGAAGAAAATGATTATTTATTAGAAAATATTATTATGTTATTATTATTTATTTTCCCTTTTTAAATAAAAGGGAAAATGCGATTGACGCGTGTGTTTTTCCATTATAACCTCTTCCAAACTACATGACACTCAAGGGCGGATAGGCATGATCTGACCAGCCCGGGAAAAATAGAATCTAAAGGCCCGCAAGATCATATCCAAGATCCAACAAAACCTCTTTTTTTTTTTGTTAAAAAAAAATATAAATTATGATTTTACCATATCACTATATAGTGGTATTATTATATTATTTAACTATACCACTATACCAGTGGCACACTTTGAAATCGAATTATTAAATTTTTTTTCGAAAAAATATTCCAACACATCACTTAATTAACAATTATTTATAATTGTAGATTTAAATATAGATTTTAGTATTATTGTATTTATTAACTATTTAATTTGTATGTATGTACATTGTACAATATCGTCAATAACAATATTTTTCATCGGCCCATCTTCGTCAATATAAGTAGCGGCCCACCGGGAAAATCCCGGTGTCCCGGTGGGCCTATAAATTAATTAAAAGATATTATCACTTACCTATAATGTTATGTATTGAACTAGTTTGCAAGATCAAAAGAAATCATACAACATTTTAACGTAAGGTTGATTGTATTGTGAATACTGTAATTTGTAGATTTGTAAAGCTAAATGATAAACCGAAACTTTATAATATCTTTTTAGATTTTGTTATATTACACAAATAATACAATGTTAACGTTAAAAAAAACATTATATTATAAAACAAGTACTCGAGAAATCAACACAATACCAAACAAATTATAAAATATTAGCAAAGAAAAATTCGTAACATTATTATAAGATTTTATATAATACATATTGTCAGGCGTCAGCCTATTTAGCAATGGGCGTAACTCCAAAATACAATACTTCACACTAAAAGGAAAAAACTTTTAATTTATACTATTTATTTCAATAACAATCGCTTACTGTTTACACAGTTTATCACATATTTCGTGAAAAAAACACTGAAATATAATTATAACTATACCAGTCGACGCACAGTTTTTTTTTCTTTCAAATGGTGTAATGTGGGTACCGAAAATTGATTGTTTTGGAGTCCTTTGACGATTGTAACAAAATTTTTTAGAGATGTAAAAATTAAGTAATGAATAGATTAGAAGTATAAAATGTAAGGTTGGTTGTTAAGAGGACGTCACACGCCCGTTATCTTCTTCAAAAAACCCGCCTTGCGCGGATTAATGTAACAAAGGTCTGTGCTCTACCATGGCAATTTTTTTAATATTTCAACCGGTTAATGAAAAAATTAATTAATTAATAAAGGATTTTTGACTTTGTTAAAAATGATATAGCGTCGATTGTATTAGGTATAACGAAAAACAACGGATACTGGAGCACAAAACATTTTGTCATATGTGATATGTAATATGTATAAATTTCTTTCCGTGACTACATATGAAGCCTGAGAAAAATGAATCAAGCAGTTTTGATGGGAAAAAATTTGTAATTTATTCTATAGAAATGAGTCTGATAGTTGACAAAAAAAAATAGCAATTAACAAAGTATCCTAATTACTGTATTAATAAGTATTATACATTATAGTTCAAACTCTAAATTAAGATTTTTCGAAAAACTGCCTATACTTACTTTACTCCTTAGAAATGGCCGGTGTGGCGTCTCTGAAGCAAAAAGCAATCATTATCTTAGTGATGCATTGGTAACCAAAATTGTATAACTGCAAAATTGTATAGAGAAAAATCCCTTGAAGTCTAATTTATCGTTACAACTGCTAGACAGTAATACTAATTATGCAAGTCACCGGATTAAAGATACTTTTACTCTGCATGCATATTTATAGTATATTTTTCAACAAATGTCGAATGTTGACTTGGTTTTGCATCAGGTTACTGTTAGGAAGCTTAATTTAGATCTTATGTAAAACTGTATGTTAACATTGGACTTTTTCAAAAAATTGTATACAAAACATTAATTATGGACCGAATTTAAAATTAGTTCTATTTAAAAAATTGCATTATTTTTTTAGTTTTGTATATCATTTTTACAATAATGTTAAAAACTAAAATTAAAAATGTACTTTGATCGATTAATCAAGCAAATATTTACAAATCTGTATGTATTAAATGTATACGTTTTCAAAGTTATTGCCGCATTAAGTGTTTCTGAGCACAATTAAATTTACAATACGTTTTATACTACCAAAAAAAACCGCAGATGTAGAAGGACCTTAACTAAAGTCTACAAAAGCCCAATGTAACTTTTTTGGATTCAATACAAAGCTATGAATGAGTTATTTGTTAAATATTCTGCTATAACATTTTATAAGAAAAAAAATAATAAACAAAAGTATGTCAACTTGGAGTCTTTATTTAATTTTTTTTTTTTTATGCACAATAATAAAACTTCTAAAAAAAATTGTTTTTTATTTGAACACAATACAATAGTTTAGTTGTATAATATATAATAATTTCTGCATTTTTAAATTTATATATAATATATTTTATATAAAAAGTTCTCCAAATGTTAATTCAACATTTACAATAATTAAAAACCTTACAAAATAGAAATTATACACTTTACACTAATGAACGAGTAGATCGTTTTGATTTAAAATGCCTGCGATATTATAATTTAACGAGCACATGCCCTAAATTATACAATACAGTTACTGTAGACAAATACGTAGTACTGTTGAACAGCTATTATAGAGTTAGTGAGATCTAAAATGTATGTATACAACTGAAATCAAAGTTGATGAGTGTGTTGTACACAGCGTCAAAAAGTTATTCATTCGATTACATTTTTAAAAAAATATCAAGATTAAACAAATTCTGTAAAAAAAAAAAAAATGTTAATTTAATTTTTGGTTTAGATTTGATGTTTGAAACTTTTATTTGTACGCTGTACAAATTTGGTGTGACTGCTATCAATTTTCAGTCAACTGACAAAACTGTGTAGAAAATTATAAATACATTGTCAACAGTGTGTGTAAGTATTACAAGACAGATTATAATATTATGAGAGAGAGAGAGCTTAAGAATAAAATACAGTGATTTTACTTATATATACTACATACGACTATATTACAATTAAAAATGGGTTGTTAATCACGAGGCATGTTATTCACACAAAGGCGAGAATATTCAGATAGTAACAAAGTTTATTTTCCAATGATTATGCAAAGCAAGTTATGCAGACTAAAATACAAAAACAGAGCACGTTATACAAAACAAATTACACGCAATGCGTGTTAGCAGTAGCTAAAAACGAATTTTGATCTTATTGCATGACTCAAAACAGAGAAAATTAAGAGGAAACCACCGTTGTGATGAAATCAACAGTATATTATTGTTACATTTAATTTTAAATTTAATCACTACAGTTTTGCACTATGTTCCCACAAGCACGTTATTCACAGGACGGAATCGGAACATTAATATTATATAAATATAAATATCTTATAAATATGCATACATAATATGGAAACTTATTTGTTTATCTTATACTATTGAATATAATTTTAGCATAACGGCCGAAAAATTATTTCGACATTGTGATAACAAAATTACTATAATAGAAAGAAAATCTGAAGAACACAGTATACATTTGTCCTTTTTTTATTCTATATCGATTTTCAAAATCTAGGAGAGCAAAGATAGACAGCACTTAAAATTTTAATGAAACCGTTGAATTCCAAGATAGTCATTACAGTTTAAATTTCAGATTTAGTTGGAAAGAAATTTTTATAATCTATACAGTCAAATTAAATTTTAAAAAAAATTCGTCAAACGATAATAATTACACAGAAATAAATAACAAAAAATAATAATAATGATGCTGAAAAATCTGCAAATAAAATTAATAGTTTTTTTTTCTTTTTGTATTACTTTAGATAAATAAGCAGTCTAAAAATGGCCTCAATTAAAATTAATGGTATAACTTACTTAAAATTACAAAAAGTCTAAGAGAGAATTAAAATACTGGAAAGTAAAATAATTAAGTTTCCCTGAATTATATATAACGTACAATAGTTTATCATGTGACAATCTTATGGTTACAGCAAATTGAAATCGTTTTTAATCAGACCAACAACAATAATAATAATTACTCTACTAATAGCTACAAATATTAATAAAACTATCTTATATTAAGCCGTATAGTTCTCAGAAGAACCGATCAACATTGGTTCGCCATTGTCTATTAAATGGCATAAAATATCTATTATGGCTATAATTTTGTTGTTTTTTTTTTTGGCTTATATTTATAAGGTTTAACTTTAATAATAATTACTATACTAAAATGTACATTTCAAAACATCTTTATCACAGGATAGAATCGTAAGTAAAATGATCAGTCTACTGTCAGCATATAGTTGCTTCTTCGCCTTCAAGTGTAACGGACACATTATTAAATTTGTGACTAAGATTCAATTTCTTACAATATGGATCTAAGTCTAGTGAATCTAGTATCTAAATGTTGACGTAACAAAAAACACATACACACAATTAGTAATGTAATATATTATATTAACAAAATAATGGTAATAACTTACAGCATCATGATACTTTGAAGCATAAATATACAATTCTTTCAAAGCCGATACAATATGGAACTGTCCAAAGTGAGTAACTGACAATTGTTGCATAGTCGTGCTCAGCTCTTGGTCAGTTATTTGAGGTAGTTTCTGAATATCATTATAGAACCTAAACATTTAAACAATGTGTTATAAACTATTTAATTTTCCCACAAATACTTAAGAAACATGTATACATGACAATAAAGTAAACAATTATTCTATGAAACTTCATTATGTTTTCGTTTTAATTAATGTGTTACTATAAAACACGTTATAACTGAACAAGACACATTCAAAGATAAGTAGTTTAAAAAATTCTGTTTTATTAGTGACAAAACACTTCCAAGTGAAAATATTGACTATCGCTTTTTTTAATTTATCAAAACAGTTTATTTTCGGTCACCACATAAAGAATTTAAATTTACGTCACCAGTATGAAGTTAACAGTTCAAGGTATTTCAATTGTACGAAATTTGTTTTATGAAAAAAATGTTATCTTATGAGTACTACTTAAGTTAGACGACCCCAGTCAGTTAAAATATTTTTAATATCATATTATCAGGGTTGTGTAACATAATGAACATGAACAGATTAAATAAAAACTTTCAGCTCACTAAGTAATGATGAACAGAATGCAACCTACTAAAAAATATAAAATTGTTCAATAGGCATGAGTTCGTTTGAGCATTATATAATAATTATTATTATATTATAATAATTCATTAAAATAACATTACCCTAAAGTGAAGTTATAGAATAAATCTTTATACAACATTTTATTAGAATGATATCTAGTAGAACCCTAAACTGACGCTAAAAATGTCGTAGCCGAATCCAAAAACACACCAACCGGGTCACAAATGATTAAAAGAATTAATTAGGTGAAATGTTTAAATATATAATGCTACAAGTGTAAGACTTAAATGTCTGAATCATTTTATATTACTCAAAACTTTTAATGTTAGTAAATAAGTTCATGAATGTAACACAATATTAATGGTTGACAGAACCCTGCATTAATATAGATATCAAAAAATATTCAACCACAATATTTAGTTGCACAAAAAAAATATATACTAAAAATTAACTTACTTTAAAACAGTCTCTCTATATTGAGGTATGTCTTTGGCGAAGAGCAATTTGTTCGATGGTGAATCTTTACCTAGTCTATGGTCGGAGGTAGAACATGAATCCATAAATGTTTGAGCAATGACTGACAAACATGAATCTACTGTTGGAGTTTTATCAATATCAAAAATGAAGTCCGGGTTTTTGATAAAGTTCACCCAAAATCTTAATGGAAGACTGTAAACAAAATTATCATTAAGTATAAAATAATATATAATTAAAAAATGTATAATTTAGTTTTAAGCCGACTTTCTAGAGCCTTAGATTGATAGAGACTAAAATAACTCAGGCAATTTAACTTAACATAATTTGAACTAAAAAATTATATTTTCGCTCCATTATCTATTTAACATGATTTATTTTATAAATAAATTTTAAAAACTGCCATTTTTTTAATATCGAAGAGACCCATCTTAAAAGTAACTCCAGAAAAAATTGTTTTATATGGTTAATGAATGACACATTCTTTAAAACAATAATATTGAGATATTTATTATAATAGACATTAGTTATTGATAGTGTTGTATTTATAAGAATACAAATTATAGTAAGGTAAAATGGTAATCAACTATCATGAAATCAAATCAAATATATTGAACATAAAAATTTTACATTTTATTGATAATATTTATGAATAATTTCTATGGATAACACTAACCTATTGGACTTCCAGGAATGTACAACTTCTGGGTCAGAAATGTTATATTTTTTCGCTGCCTCATCAAACAAATCAAACAACCATTTGACGGCCGGCGGCAATGTTTCATCAGCTGCCAAAATTGTAGCAAAAAAGTCATCAACAAATTTCTGAATAATTCCTTTTGTTGATAACAGTCGGGTCAAATAAATTTCTGGAATTGCTTTATGAGTTCTTTCAAGCATTTTATTTGTATGGTAATGCTGCTGGCCATCTGTTGGTCTGACCAAATGGTATATAGTGCCATTAGAACTAGCGCCCGAATCAATTCCCCCATTGCTTGTTGATATAATGGCACCAGAATAATATGCTGATGTACCTAAATAAAAATAAAATATTTGAACATACTATTTAAATTGAAACAAACAAATAGTAACAGATTAATAATAATTACAACTGTGGCACGGCTGTAGGCAAGTCTTATTGTATGTGTCATGTTGACGAGGAATTAGAGACATCACGGCTGTCTCTTTTACACCATAATGTGCAAGTGTATTTAATTTTTTCCAGCCACATACAGTTTTAGTTGTAACATCATAATCTTGAAGAGTAAGATGACCCCCTCGTCCATGACGCCATTCTAAAGACACATAAGATATTTAGAAAATGTTGGCTCAAATTGTTAAAAACTTCATATGCTTACCAAGATCTACATCGTATACAGACGGCCTTAGAGAGAATGCAGTGTTCTTATAAGCTGCATCTAGAATTTTTGATTTAACTTGACTAATACTATCACAGTCCAAAACTTTACATTGCACTTTATCATCTACTTCATCTTGCATTACATATAAATTCTAAAAAATTAAAAAATTATAATAAAATTATAGCATAAAGAAAGCTTAATTGTAGACGCATTTAAAGTTAAAATAAACATATGTATGTGGGAGTATTAAACAGTGTATTCATAAAAAATAAATAACATGAAGATATTTTATTTAAAAAAAATTAAAAAACGATAAAAAATAAAATTAGTTGTAATTTAAGATTTTTAGCTTTATACGATACTCACAACTACTCGATGATCTATTTGTTCTCTAAGTAATCGCTCTTCTGAAAGACTATATCTGGCATCATATGTTATTGCATCAACCGGTCCTTTCTCTACTTGGTGTTTAATAGCTTTATAGAGTAAAAAAAGAGAAGAACCAGCATATTCTTTTAGGTATTTGTACATATTAAGAGCCATCCAATTGGTTAACATTTTCTCCACAACCGACTCCGTCCTCCTGAGCATTAAATGGGGATGTTTTGACATAACAGACTTGTCTATCAATCGAAGTAGCAAACACCGTAAAACATCGGTGGCATATTCCATTTTATTCATTAGTACAACCATCAAGAGAGATGCTACATTAACTCTGCAAACGAAAAATAAAAAAGGTTAAAAAATAATTTAGTTTCTACACTAACAATATTTATTTTTAAAAAAACTTACTTATCACGGATGCTAAAAGTCTTTTGTGATTCGAGAGTATCGATAAATGATAATACAAATTGCTTATTAATAATAAGTTGTTCAAATTGCATCATGGCTGCATCATAGTTGGTTGTCGAACCAGCAATAACAACCTAAGAATAATTACAGGATACATTTAGTGTGAATGGTTTAATGAAATATTTTAATAATGAATTATCTTACCTTTGAATCATTAAGAATGGGATGATCTCGAACCCCTGGGAAAAATACTTTCAAAATGTACTCATGATGATCTAAAGTGGGTATACCTGAAGATTCTAAATCGGCTGTCAGATCAGTCATGTCGGTTTGTAATTCAGCAAAAGCTAATAAACAAAATATTTTTATTAAAAAAACCACAAGTACTATGTTATTTATAACTTTAAGAATAATCATTTCTGTATGAACATACCTTGTTTACATTCTGACCGTACGTTGCTTTCTAATGTATCCATTTGTATTTGAATCCGTTTGTATTCTCTTTCAGCTTGAGTAGATTTTCTTCGGTACAAAAACAATATTATGAAAAAAATTATAATAATGCACAAGGCACCAGTTACAGCACTAGCGATGGCCTCTGGTGAAAACGAGTAGGCTGACATCACATCATACTCAAGATATCCAACATTGAATCTTAATTTTTTACCAACACGGACCTAAAATTATTAAATGAAATGAGATATTTATTAATAAAATAGTTTATAAAATGACAATAAAAACATATTTTTAAATACAATTTAATAAACTCACCACTACTAAAGGTAATCCAGTTTTTGTTGGTAAACCAAAATCATCTGTAGACTGTGGCTGAGATTGAGGTGGAATGCAAACCAGTTGTGTGTTGGCTAAAGAAGTAACATTGCACACTTCTACTCCAATAGTTACATTCACATCAGATTCGTCACAAGCCAAATTTAAATTTTCCCCCTTTAAAAAAAACAAATTTCTTTGTTAAGCTCTCATATTATTGAAACAAATTTTATTTTTATAAGTTGATTAATATATTTGTATCTTATGTGAAAAACAAAAAGATAATTTAAAAAACTGGGCTCAATTTTTGGCCAAGAAAATATTTCTATTATAACAGCAATGGGTAATTGTTAACAATGTTGTTACTTACTTCAATAACTAAAGTATCTCCTTTATACAATTTAATTGTATTTGGAAACTCTAAAAATTTTGGATCTTGTACATACACTATTTGAGAGTGCAAAGTTTTAAAATGTTTTTCTAAATCTTTTACAGCCGCAACATTATCCATGATAAAACCAATTTTCAAAGTCAAAAATGATTCAACATGTTTTCCATTAGTCGCGTGTCTCCTTTTTTTAGAACTCGTCAAACTTTTTAGAAATTGCCCATTAGCCGATGGTGAAGGGCATTCCATTTGTACAGAATTTAACACGACACATTCCTATAGTTAAAATATTTTAATAAAATCTCTCAGAATAACAATTTACACACTGTAATAAATACATACTGTTTTATTCACTGGATGAATGAATTCAGAATCCATGTAAATAACCATTTCTGGTTTTTGAATAATGTCAAAGTTTGTTCCATGGACAGTTATCATTCTTCCACCAGACAAAAAACTAATTAATGGTTTTATTTCTGCTACAGTTGGATCACTTCGATAAGTAAAAGGTTTTGCTAATGTTCTGTTGGACCCATCAATAATCAAGTGCATTGTCGTTATGGTTTTAGGCCGGTCAGCTGACGAAGTCACACAAGTGAGCCTCGTACTTGAAGCGTGAGTGCTATTCACCAGACAAGGGAAATTATCCAAGTAAGCAGTTATGGAGCTACCAATATTCAAATTATGACCTCTGATTGCTAAAACAGTACCTCCACTCTGAGGTCCTACGACAGGAGCAACTTTCTCGAGCTTCACACTCTGTTTAATGAAAATATAATTAAAATTTGACAGTTAAGATAGTGTAATTAATTAATAGTCGTACCTTATAACTATAGTGCACGGATGATACTGTCGCACCAGCATTATTCCCAACGACTATGGAAGCAACTTTTTCCATATTTGAAGGTCCAGTTTTACAAACTATCTTAACAGATACTTCGTAGTCTACTAGATGACATGCTATGCCACCAATATGAATTTTACCCCATACATCTTCTCTGTTCAAACCCAAATTACTGCCTTCAATTGTAACTAATGTGCCTCCTTCGACTGGCCCACTGAGCGGTTTAATCTAAAAATAGAAATAACAATTAAATAAATAGATTACTTTTAATTAAAAGTACAAAAATTTAGTTTACCATGTCAATTCTAGGTTTAGGACACTCATTGCTTGCAGACTCTAAACAGGTTTCCTCATACACACAAGTACTTGAACACCAAGTACAATGGTATTTACGATTGCGAGTAACACATAGCGAACAGTCTGGGTGCTCTCTGTGAGATCCGAGTATGTCACATTTGTATAATGTAACATTAATGGTGTCAACGTGATGATTTCTGTTCCACACCATACTGACCATAGCATCATATTCTCCAGAGTTGGCTTCGTAAGAATACTGAAAAATACAATTAAAATTTTAAACATTTGATTATACATATTTATGAATAATTAGTATTCAAAATTACTTACGGTAGTTTTATCACAGACAATATATTTTTCCTCCACTCTAGCAGGAACCATAAGTTTTGCCCCTTCGATATTTATTATACACTGGAAACCCGTATGACCGACTTGAGGGTTTGGTAAGTTTTCAACTTGAAGAATTATTTCTTTAGGAACCCCATTGGGCAGCAAGATTTTTTGAACTGGTTGAACGAACCGTGGACAAAACATTGCACCATGAGTCTTCAAGCGATTAGGATTCTAGAACAAATTTAATAATTTATATTAAAAAAAGGTTCACATCAAACAATAATAAATGCTAGGATTATACTACTAGATTTCAACTTACGTTTTCCCCACTTATGATAACACGTTGACATGATGAAACATTGTTTGAGCATTTATTTTCATAAACACACCAATTACATGCCCACTGAGATTTCACACATTCCATACATCGAGTGTGTGCGGCACAGTCGTAGAATGCAAAATTTCGACTGACAAAATCTTTGTTTGTTTCTGAAGACCTTACAGACAAGGACACATACACATGGTCCTGACCTTTTGTAATTTTTGGTCGCGATTGAGTGGATGGTGTAGAACACTGTAAACCAGATGGTGTAACCACTGCATCTAAAGGTTCAGTCTTTCCAAAAACACATCGATACTTAGCACCTGTTGGAAGCTCTGGTAATGTTCGTATGACAAGTTGTACCTAAGTATAATATAAAACTGTTCAGCATACAAAAACATCAAATACCCAGAAAAACATTTCTTTTTATTTAAGTAACACAAGTGTGAGAATATTTAAGAGTTAATAAGTTTGCTTTAACATAAGCAACAACAGAGAAATTCCATTGAAAAAATATTTTCAACATGAGTTAATTCTCTTGTAAATTTCTATAAAATATAATTTTAACTATTGAATATGAATAAGTACTTTTGACATTTGATAGATTGGAATACGGTCTGGATTAACTTGTTCGAAATCTATACATTGCTGTCCGGTTCCAAGTGACAACCATCTTGGTGAACTTTGACTCGCTTTTTGGCAAGTACTTCTTACGGTACATCTTAAAAATGATTTAAATTATTAAATACTTTTACAAATAATCATTTAATAATTATTTGAACAATTTACATTTAGTCAAATTATTTTGCATAAAATAAAATGTAGTATATTATTAGTCTTACCTTCTTTCGAGGGAACACCAACCACAGTATGGATCATTTGCCTCTAAACAAGTAGAACAGTTGGTGAAACTATTACAATGCTCAACTCTCACCTTCAATACCTAAATAAGAGAATGTATATAAATATTTATATCATTATAAATTACATATTGAATACATTTGTTGAAAAATTAAAATAATATTTCTATATTGTTATTTTTATTTAAGTGATAATACTAATTTATCATTATGTTTAAATGATCTTATAATCCAATGTTCAGAGTGATATTCTTAATAAATAACCTCAAGTTAGTTGTTGAAAAAATTTTGTCAAATAACTACCTCTTATCATTGATATTAAACTAGTTATATCGTACTATTATTAGATGTAAAACTTACGTCATATTTATTATATTCCTATATTCAGGGTGATTCATTAAAAAAAAGACACTAATTTTTTCTTAAAATAATTGAGATTTTTTAGTTTTTTTTTAAACATTTTTGTTTATTTTATTTTACAATATTATAAATTACTAAATATTTACCTTTTTTATTATTTTTAAGGGCACTATCAACTTCTGAAACTTAAATGGTAACTTATATACTAAACTATATTTTTTAATTAAACAAATTTTCTGAAAATATTAACTGGACAATAACTAATTTTTGATAACTACTTTTTAAGTTTCTTACACTATTTACACAACTTGCGGTTACTCCCATTTGGATATCTTGACTGATTCGCGAACCAGTAAGTATAATACCCCATTCAAGTTTTAATAATTGTTTACTTTTTAAGTTATTAGAGTTTAAAATTTAGGATGGGAGGGAGAGAGCGGTTGACTAATGCACATAGATAAAAAATAATACTTCACTCTACCCTTCCTCTCGGCTCCCATCCTAAACTAAAAACCCTTATAACTTTAAAAGTAATTATCCAAAACTGGTTATCGACCAGTCAACATTTTCAGAAAATAATTCTTAGTTTAATAAGTTAATGAAATATATGCGTTACTATTTAAGTTTAAAAAGTTGATAGAGCTATGGAAAAAAAATAAAAATACTAATAATGTGTAATACTGTAAAAGAATGTAAACTAGAGTATCTCCAAAAAGAAAAACTACAAAATTTTATACTGTCTAACTTACTATACTAAGAGAAATTGAGTGCCTCATCCTTAATGAATAACCCTGTATTTATCAAGTTTTAATAATAATATTGATTTCAGTAAATGATAATTTATTTTATGGTGCGCTTTTATTGTTTTTTGTATTATGTTTAAAGAACTAAAAAGCAATTGATGGAGTGTTAAGATTTGATGCAAAGTTATAAGAATAAATTGAGTTTAAAATGCTTTTTGTTCCTTATTAATATAAAACATAAATTTATACATACACTTGATTTTGTTATGACATATAAATGTTCCCCATTTGTAGTAAGGGATGTATCAGGTAATATAGCATTTCCATTGTCCAAAACCATCTCTTCATACTTCAGTGCACTTGTGGCTGATGATAATAGAACCTATACACAAATATCAATTAATTAATTATTTTAAAACCATACAAATATAATAAAAGATTCTTTAAAAAACATTTTAATTTGACCTTACCTTTTTTAAGATACCATTTGATGATCCTAAAAATACAATTGTATTTCTTTCTGTTGTTGCCAATGTAATAGATGTGATAAGGTGATTAGGGAAATTTATAGCAGCTTGTGTGCTAATTGGTTCTGTTCCAGATATTTTCAAACCAACTTCACAAAAGTTTAATATGTTCCCAGTAGACTGCACAACAACAAATAATTATTTATACATAATATATATATATATATATATATATATATATATATATATATATATATATATTTTTTTTTTTTAATCTATTTATTTTAAATATTTTACTCACCCCAGCTGACGGACAGTTTCCTTGTAATATGATACCAGATACATAGGGCATATTACGGTACTTGAGACTGCCATTAAAACACATATGTATATTTTCATTAAATTTTGATTCTATATACTGCATACTGAATGCACATATTGCAGATTGTGCCATTGGTTCATTTGTAATCCCTAGGCTGGGTGAAAAAGATCCGACCAAAACGTGGTCTTCTGTATCGATACCTAGACTTGTCGCCAAATCTTCTCCAGCGTTACTGAGTTTCAAATCTTGTGCCAAATTGTAATTCACTAAATCATCACTACTTGTTGATTCCTTAACCATACATTGCAATGTGACTTCTGTATAACTATCATAATTAGCATCATCTATACAAACACGGGCCAATCTTGTCACATAACCCTGTTCTTCAAGCCCAGGCAAGTGTGACCGTTTCTGAACAATTACAAAGTATGCATAATCACTAGAATTAAAACCATATATATATTTTACAAGAAAATGATCACGGTAGTTGACGTTAATATTGAGTGAAGATTGTTTTGAAAATGAATATTCAGCTAAATCCAAATTATACAGGCTGCGACTTGATATAGCTGGAACTGCGTGTCGATATTCTCCATTGTTGGTAAAAGTTGTTCCGACATACAACACGTTTGATCTTCCCCAATGATTATAATGTTCAGGTCCAATAAATGCGTAAGTGGATGCTTGTTCATTATTGGCTGCGATACTCATAGGAATGTATTGTGCTGGTAATGACACATTTGACATTTTATACTTATTGCATGCTCCTTGAAATAAAGAACCACATGCAATAAGTGTTCGAGATTCTGAGTCGATAATTAAAATTTTATTATAATTGTCTGAGAGTGATGTTTCTACAGGAGGAGAAGTTGGACAACCACTAGCAGGACATAGTGGACTATCTGCTAGTGGTCCTGTGTCAGTACACGACTCTGCAGTTAAGTTGGAGCCTTCTAATTGGATTAATTTGTTTTTGGCTCCAATGTATACACGACCTCCAGGACTTTTGTCTATAGCCATATGGAGAAGATGGTCCGAAAAACATTCGGTTAGCACGTTTTGAGGGTACTTTGCTATAACTGACATAGCTAAACTGCATTTTAGTGAAGCTGTTATTAGCAATAGTAGTAACACAAAACATAGTTTAGAACTCTGCATCACCAAATTTCCTACAAATAATAAATATAAAATTTAACAAATTTGCTAATTAATTTTATAACAACACAATTTATTAAAATTAATCTTAAAAAAAAAAAGTTCAAATAAAATTAAAATGTATAGTGTAAAATATAATTTCAATTAATCAAACTCCTCAATGTAGTACGTACCAACAGTAGTAAATTTCCAATCCATTTAAATGATATTGGCATCTTCAGCAAATCAACATAGTTAAATTTATGCTTAGATACATTGTTCTTTAAACACATTCTTTTATAGGCAGTAAACTAAATATCATATTAATGGCATCTAAAAAAATACAATTTGCATTAGTCTAATTAGTAAGTTTTTTAAAAGTAAGTAGTAGGTTAACTATAAGCAGAATTACTATTAGAAAAATAGTACCCTCTATTATTATTCTACAAAAAATATTGCAATCACTTATTACCTATGTAATCCTTATCCAAATAAAAAATTTGTTTAATAACAAAATAAATAGTAAACTAAAAGTTTTAAGAGGACGCTATAATTTTAATTTCCTTGGCTAAAAACCTAACAATGTAAAAAAGTTATACTCGAAACATAATGGTTTTAAAGCAAATACAATTATAATTAAAAGAATCAATATTTTAAAGACCAATGATATTTTCTTTTTTTAAATATGTCCAATTTACTAAAAAAATTGTTTGCCCAAGGTACTACTGTTAGGTATATAAATATACATAATACTTTAAGCCTAAAATGCATATTTTGCAAAAAATTACCTATACAGTACTTTTATAAAAAAAGGGTTATCTATTAAAACATCAAATCAAATTATTTTATTTCTATTCACAAATATTTAATAGAAAATACTTAGTTATGCCTAAAAGACTATCAATAAAGTTTTAATTGAACTGTTAAAATAAATATTTAATACATAACTGCAAAACAACATTATTAAAAACATTATACTGAAAAGGAAAATCAAAATTTTCTTGGTTAAAAAATAGAATAAGGAGCGATAATTTAAGATATTTTCTAAATTATTCATAAAGACTAAATGATTATTTTAATTCTCAAAGCACTAAAACTACTGTATTATTTTGTACTTACTTATTTATTTATACTTGAAAAAAGTATACCATTCATATGAAGAATAGGTCATGTTTGATAAAAACTAAGCAAACCCATAATGGCTAATTTCCCTTGTTTATCATAAGTATATGTTCTGTAAAACATAAATATCTTTTATTAGCAAGTAAGACTAGAATATAATATAATCATTTTTAAAAAGTATATAAGTCTTTATGAAAGAAATTCTTAACACATTTTCTGCGGCAAAAAATGTATGATATCACATTTGACATGTCATATAATTAAGGAGCATAAGCAAATAGCGATACTCCCTTTTTAGATTGTTTAATTAAAAAGAAAGAAAAACCTAACAAATGTAGATAAATGTTTATAAACAATTTTACTTAAGTAACAAAAAATGTCAACAGAAAAGCATACTTGAATACAAATTTGTCGTTGATACATTTAGTCGTCAAGAATTGATTTTTGCTATAGCCAATAGGCGCAGCAAATATGTTAATATGCAATTTTTAAAAAAAACAATAAAACATCTATAATTTTATTCGTATTGTTTATAAAGAGTAAACACCTCATTGATCCTGTAAATATGTTATGTTCTGAACAACTACACTTTAATAGATAAATTAAATTCAAAAATTGAATTAATTTGATTGGTTATTTATTAGCTTTATTAAAACAAAAACATAAAATTAAAAAATCTAAGAATAATAAAGAGTTTTCAAACAGAGTAGGCAAAACCATTAAATATAATTAATCTAGCTTTGAAAGAATTCTGATATTTCTGCTAAGAATAAAAAAAAGCGCACATATTCAAGTTAATTGTCATCTAGGTTACACGAGAGCGTATACAAATTGATTTAGAATTTTTCCGCATAAATAAATAAATATAGGCCATTTATACATTAGTTAACGACTATTTTACGCCTTAAGCGTATATAAATTTTAACATCGATAAATATATTATTATTGTGTATTTATGTATTTTACTCACTATATTTTTCAACTGATTGACTATTAATGCTAGGCTAATAAATATTTATTAAACTTTGCTTTAACACGTTAACCCCCGTACAGCTGTCAGCGGCCGCATAGTTGTCTATTGCTGCACTGTTAACGATAAAATATACTTGACCATCTCGAAACTTACCCAGTTTTATCTTCAGAACAAATAAGTCTAAAAACAATGTTCCAAAACCCAAATACTTGTAATTGTCATGACATTAATAACATGAAATAGTAATTATGCGGCTGCTAGCAACCTTGCGGCATCAGTATCATTGAGTCATCATACCTAGCCATACAGCCTCAGACGTGTTAACTATAGTTCAGTTGACATTTTTTTTGTAAAAATAATTCATTTCCCGAAAAAATTACAAACTACTGATGAAAGTGGTATACGACATGAATTATATTTTATCTTTTTAAAAATTTAGATTTGGATTTTATAAGGATTTTTTTGTTGAATTTTGAATAAAAATAATATAAATTTCAAGTATTATAATTGAGTACTTTTTTATAAAAGTATTTTAATGTATTGTTAATATTATCAAAAAGTATCAATATTGTTTTAACAAAAATGTTAATTTTATATAATTAAAGAATTTTTTAGAAAGATATTGTATTATATTAGTAAATGTATGATAAAAAAAAATTACTTTACTTCAGTTTTTTTAAAAAAAAACCTATACCTACTCAAATTTAAATAGTCAAAATCAAAATTTTACATTTTCATATTAAAGTTAATAATACACAGTTTAAACTGTTATTTTTTCAGCTACACCATAGTTTAACTGTACAAAACATTACAAGAGCATCATCAAAATTATTTCAGATTACAATAAAAAGGGATATACGACTGCCAGCGGCTGTAACAGCCTCCTAAAAAAATGTGTTGCAGCAACCCGCGGCCTAAAATCCAGTGAAAAAAAAATATATTTGTTAGGCCGCCAGCGGTTAACGTGTTAGAATAATTTTAACATTTAGATATAATACAAAACTAGAATTTATTAAAAATGATTGAACATTTATAAATTAGAGCTCAGCCAAAACCAAAGCTTAACAAGTTGAAAATAGTAATGCTATCAGAACTCATAACTTAAATGAACATTCTTAAAGAAAAATACCTAACTAAAAAATCCACCTAGTAACACTTGGTTCTACAAACTGTTAAAATGTATATACTGAAATTTAAAAAAAACAAATTCTAATTCTAAGCACTAAATTTAATCTTTGTAATATCAATTAATCTCAATGAAGTCGAGTTGTAACGAATCATTGATTTTACGTAAGATGCCAAGTCAATGAATGTCTACAAGTTAGTCATCACTTTTTTCGGTATTTTACATGTTGACACTTTAAAGGCTGTCACAACATTTTAACGGCGTTACGTTTGGTAATAACTATGATGGGCTACAATTTTAGAAGTTTCATAATATAGTCGTAATACTACCCTGTTAAGCAAGTGCCGTAACTAAAAAAAAATTGTAAAAAACCAAAGTTTAAACTAAGTAAAAAACTATTTTACTTGGTTTAATTAGGTTTTTAAAAATTTGTTTTTTTTAGTTATGGCACTATTGCTTGGGAGCAGTGGCGTAAATACAAGAATGCAGGCAATTCGGCTGCATTGGGGCCCTAATGTCCAGGTCTTTTAAACTTTAACTGTTTTATATACGATTAATGATATTTATTATATTATGGTATTGTTATAGTTGTATGTAATATCATAATATTCCATAATATATAAATATATATATATATATATAATTCAATACAATAAAAAAACAATTGAAAATACACTATTAGGCGTGTACCCAATTTTATTCTTCTACATTTAAACTGAATAGGAAAAGGGGCTTTTTGGTTTTTCGCATCGGGGCCGATTTTTGATATTCACGCCACTGCTTGGAAAGGCAGAATATGTATTGTATACACATTCGAAATATGAACGTTGTCGAATAGACAGCAAGTACCTACTGCAGTAGTAATGTAGTAAATCCGTAATGGCCAGAATGGAAATAGGATATAAACAATCAGCCGGCCAGTGCGAAGTGCCCTTTTCTCATCGAGCACCGGATTGAGGTGGTCGAATTCCTTTGGCGCCGCCAGAAGATACGTCCCCGTCGTCACCGGCGGATCATGGGAGTTGACCGAATGACAGACGGTTATCAGTGAACGCGAACGGTCGATACTTAATGTAAACAATAATAATAATGTTAATAACAGGCGTACGGTATTATTAATGCAGCGCGCAATACCGTTAAAATGCGGACGACGATTGTACAATAATCACGACGCGGCCCTATGTTCCATTGTGCGTGCCACTGTACGGTGTAGACTGTAGACTGTCGTGTGTAATAATTATTGTTAAGAATTTATGAGTATTATCATCGAACACAAAAATTCGATTTTGTTAGCCATGGAGGTAAAGTTTACGGCTTCCATCTTGGAACAGTCGGCACCTGCACGGCCGGTTAACAGTGCCGTAACCGCGGCGGAGGCACGCACAAACTGTATAAAAATGGAAAAAAGTGCGTTTGTGTGTGTGTGTACTGTGTTGTTTTGTGTGTGTGTGTACACACTGAATATTGTATAACCCGCATAATATTTACAATACAGTATACATTATGGTGACGGTGTGCTGTGTGAGTGTGTTAGTGTACACTGAACATACTTCATGTAATCGCGTATCGGCTATCCCTATTCAGTTTTCACATTTCTGATTTAACACAGTTTACATTTATTATTTATTAAGGTGTCATAATAAAATTTATAGATGTTAAAAATCTAATATAACTATAATAGTATAATACTACATTATAAAATATGTTTTTAATAAACTGTAAACATTCAAACGTCCACTGAATACCACAGCATAGCTGTTGTTCATATTTTATGAAATGAGTTTTTTTTTCTGGGTAGACATCGTTCTCATGTTGTGTTTCAATAAATTACAGAGTACTATTGAAAACGAAAAAATGACCCTAAATTGCTATCATTTTTAAAGAAATTCATTGTGTCTTGGGTTAAAAATATGAATAATAATAAACATTTTCATGTTTTTCGTACATGCAGGTAAGCTAAACAAAATGATTGCCCTAAAACGATATAGCATACCATGCCTTTCTCTGCCTGACATGGGTCTGTATGTATAAAAATGGTCCCCAATTGTAGATTTCCATTGTGACAGATTACTTGGTACTAAATATTTGGTATGTATGTTAATATTAAAATACAATGATAAAATTAAATTAAATTATATAATAAACATGTTGCATTTCTGCTACAATGGGCACTGGAGGGTTAAACACTTTTTTGCCTTCACTTTGCTTTTTATATATTGTTTCCAAAAAAATGTAATTCATTAAAGAAAAGTGTATTAATTCATTATTTTAATATGTAGACAGTGTCTCGTTTAACGCAGGGTAATTTGTACATTTTATGGTGCTGGGGGGAAGGCGGCTACTTTTTGGGAACTAAAATAGGAGCAAAAAAAAAAATAAAGTATATAAAAGTATTTAAAAAAATTAATTAATAATTTTTTAGTGTTACAAATTGTGGGAATGTGAGTGAATTTATTATAGCAATTTATATTTCAAACATTAACCCATGTAAATATGTGCTATTAATATTAAATAATAATTTAAATTACATAAATTATACATGGATACGGATCAAAGGATAATAGTCCAAAAGTGTAGATGAACTAGAAAAATTAGTTAAAATCATCTTTAGCTAACAAAAAACTGACATATCTATCAATTTCAAATAATGGAGCCGTAACACTTAAATCCATTAATTGGTCAGATATAATTAAAAATTTGCCATTATAAAACCATGGAAAAAAGAGCATTTAGAATATTGATTTATTACACCATATTTTTCACATTTTATTATATTATTACTAGCTGTGTTATTATATAGATTTATGTATCTTGATAATCTATTGCTATTTATAATAGCAATTAATAAACTCATACGTGTGTACTCATAACTCAATTTATGAATTGAGCCGATAAATATATATTTATCCCAAAAACTTTGCTTAACCAAAATTATTTTGGGACTTCTAAACTGGTAAGTACTAAGAGTTGTAACAACCATAACTAACCATGGTAACTACTTTTTATTAATGAAGCATAATAAATAATGTTTACTTTAAATTTGAATGCTATATAATTACACCCTACATAAACATATTTCTTGGAGTTCATTGTTGAAAAAATAATGCATTTATAATCATGTCTAAATTTTTTAAAAAAACATTTTTAAGGGCGGCAAATTCCTTTTGATCAGGAGTGGCTATATAGATTATAGTTTAATGAGGTACTGTATGTAACCAACTGACTAAATAGTATTGCTGAAAAAATATTGAACTTTTTATATAACAAAAATAGTATATAACCAGGGTATTATAATCATTAAGTAAATTATATTCAAATATTAAATACTCTTATGAGCCACCTCCATTTAGCTTTAAATGGTCTCCTGCAACTTTATTTAAAAACATCACAGGTATACAAGTATACATTAGTGATGATTTTGATTTAAATTTCATATACCTAGTTTAACTCCTAATACTTCCTTGTGAATTTTTTTGTTTGCATTTTATGAGCACGGAACACATTTAAATTATTTATTTAAAAAATTCTTACTTAAAACTAATCAACAATTTTACAATTTAAAAAGAGATTCTTTAATCTCCAAGCAGTCACGATTTTGAAAATCCCATTAGTGGTCGCACCGCAACGTTAACACCGCTCATAATCTTGCCATGGAAAATTTTTGTTTTTTTTTTACCTATTATCTTCAAAAATCTTTTTTTAAATTAAAAAAAATTCTGCTTTAAAGTTGGAATTTTTTTTTAAGAAAAATTTCAATTCCCCATGTTAATCAAATACAAAAAGTTTTTATAGAAAATTCTTGGGTTAAGTTAGGGGGACCTGAAATATTTTCAGCATTTCTTATTTGAATAAATATATCAGTACCAAAATTAAAGTGGCCCTAAAATTATCATGGTTTAGAATAGATATTAAAGAATTGTACAGTAAATTTCCAACACAGTTTGTTTATTCAACATATTGACACTATATTGCACATGTTTAACAAGATTTGGCAGTAGTCCAGTAGCCTAGTCTGATCCTTGTATTACCCAAAAATAAATAAATACATAAACATGATATATTGAAAAAACTGTCAAATCTATTCAGTCTGAGCCCCGGTTCGAGGGAATAAAGATATAGGTAATATGTGAAATAAAATACATATTGAAATTACTAACATGTTTAAAAATTAACAAATTTTCTTTTTTAATTTAAGATATAAGTTATAAATAAATAAATATATTTTACTAATATAAAGTGTAACATGTAAATAAAAAAGTAATTTTAATTCTTAAAATTAATTGCACTGCCTATAGATTTTTATTTTTTTTAAATAATTTAGAAATATTACATTATGCTAGTTTCTTGGTCATAATGACAAGATGTTAAGAAGCACAAAATTTGTAGGTGCATTCGATTTTTAAACTGTTCTAAACATTTATTCACATACCTGTAAAAAATATTAAGACAAATTAGTGTTAGGTACTAATTTTCATAGTGATAAAAATATAAAGTATTACATTTCATTTTCTTTAGTTTTGAATGGTGGTATTGCATCCATCGCATCACTAAAAAAATCCCTAAAAGAATAAAAATAACTATTTAAAATAAGCTATATCAGTACAGGGGCCGATTCTTGAATGTTTATCGAATTCGTCAAGATTTTGTGGAAAGCAAGACATTTTTTTGGGGGGGGGAAGAGGGAGTACACTAGTCATTTTTGATCTAACATAAATAAAATATATTTCATAAGAGTCAATACTCTGCAGCCCACCTACATATCTTAATATTATGTAAAAAGAAATATTTTGAGTGGAGCATGTGCCCCTAGTACGGCTACTGTACTGATTTATACATAAATACTATAATACAAAATGTGTAAAGAAAAACAAATATTTGTATAATAACATTTTTCAAATCATTTAATAATATATGTGTACTTTGAATTTGGTGTGAAATAATTTGACAATGTGAAAGTTAATGCCATCAAATCCAATCTAGCTTGCATTGCTCCATTGTCACTAAAATGAGTAACACAGTTCATGAGACGAGACATTTCCTCTGAAACTGTAACTACAATTGCAGACAATACTCCATACATCAAAGCTGGCACAATTGTTTGGATCTAAGATTTTACAGATTTTATCAATTGATGTTTACACAAAACTAAAATATATAAACACGGTTTTACTTCAGCGTGTAGGCCTATTAAGTTGGTTATTATTTCCTTTGCATAAGGCCGTAAATCTGTAGGAGCTAAGAGTGAAGGCGAATCCCATTCAAAACTGCCTGTATACATTGATGGCTCAATAGTACCTACTAAAGGATCACTTTTGGTTTCAATGTATGAATCTAAAAGTTTATTTTCAGTATTATCGAGTAGTTCTGTTGCCCGAGTCACGACAACGTCTATTGTCGGAAATCCATTATTTTCAAATTCTTTTTTAAATTTAGGTAACAATATTTTCCTTGTATATTGACTATTACTGATTGTTACTAAAAGTTTTTGTTCCCATGCCTAAAATGTTAAATTATTATTTTAAAAAAATAAGATTATTATCACATTTGACAAAATTCATTTTCAATAAAATGTAAATTAATTTTGAAATATATTTATACATATATATATATATATATATATATATATAATTATTTTGAGTGTATGTTGTTATACCATTTCATTTTGTAGCTTGAACCCTGATATTGACGATCCACTTAAAGACATGATTGTCGTAGATGAACAATTTGTTTCAACATTTAAACCAATTTGTTCCAATATCTATGTACAAATAAATGACAAGTAACCGATAGCTGCAATTTTACAATTTACCACTATGCAAAGTTAAAAATAGTTGTTAAAAAAAAGACAAACTTGTGAAAAGTTCCAAAAACACTTGTGAACCAATAGTTGAAATTCATTTTTGGCAGTTTCATTATCTGCAATAGCTATTTCTCTACGTTCATCGCAGATAACATACTCTTTGGCCGATTTCATTGTTTCAATTAAAATATTGTAAAATTCTCCAGGCTTAAAAACAAACAATATATATTTGATAATACAATTGAATATTTTAAATCTTAGAAATTATAATATTATTTCATTTATTAAGTTTGGTAGTTGAAATAAAGTGCTCTAGCGTTTAAAAAATAAACACTTAAAACACAATTATTTTAATGCTACACAATAATACCAATTGTGAGATTGTTCCTTGTTTTGAATAAAAATCCAATTTCCAAATTTCTGTAGTTTTCAATTTTATTATTTGCTCAGAAGCTTGTTTAAATAAAATATTTAAACAGTGCACTCTAGTAAAAAAAAAAAAAAAAAGGGTACAAATTTATGATAAAAATACTCTTGTTACTTGACAACCTAACCAGTATTATTACTTTTAGGAAATAACCTACCTTAAATCAAATATAATAGTTGAAATTTTATTCAATGCTTCATTTGGCAGATCCAATGACATTAATACTGTATACACTGATCTTATTTGTTTTAGACAATGTGGCAACCAGATTGTAGGCACAGGAGAAAATGAGTTTGTTGAACTCGTGGGCAACATTATTGTTCGGTATATATCAGAGACTGTTACAATTACATCTAAAATCATTTCCTAAAACAATATCAAATGTTTATTATGAAAAAAAAATTCAAATACAAAATACGTTAACAGTACTTTAAAATCAAATTCATGGCTAAAATCTGGTTTTACTGCTAAATCACCAACAAAATAATTTTGACCAAGTTTCCACAAATCTGGAAAGTAGTTTGAGATAATAGTGGCAATTTGATCGACACAAATTATTTTCTTCGGTTCAGTGTTCTAAAAATTAGTATTTAAAATGGATGTATAAATATAAAACACAAGACAAATTGTGAATGTATTGGTTTCAAATACCTGAGATTCATTTTGCTGAGACAAGCTAATATTTCTTTTGTGTTTATTTTGCGGGTGTCTATTTCCTTTATCTAAAACCATTAAAATGATTTTTCAAAATGTATGTTAATTAATTAATAGATAGATATTATATTGAGTTTTAAGATAAAATAAATTACTAGGGGTTTCATTAAAGTGTTCATCAGATATGAATTGTTGATAGCAAGCCTTTATTTTATCAACAATAAATTGTTTCATGTATGTAATTGCTTCCCAGCCAGGATCACTCATGTCATTTAAGGCAACCAAGTTTCTAAAATAAAATAATGTGTATTATATTATTAAATTATACATGAAATATAAAACATTTATAATGGACTAATAATAAATATTTACTTAACATATTACAAGTTATTAAAATAATTAAATATGTTTTAAAACATAGCATAATAAATAGCACACATATTTTATACTTGCCTAATTATTTTTTTCTGCTGTTTTAATGTTGTTGGCATTTCATGAAGTTTTAATCTCAAATTAGTTCTTAAGTTTTTAATTTTTGTTTCAACTTCCTCTAATATTTTCTTGAAAACCTATGTTAATATTTCAGTTATGTAATATTATTATTGTAACCAAAAATTATAAATATAAAAATATAAATGCCTTTATAAATAAACTTTTGAAAAAAAAAACCTAAAAGGTTGTTTATTTAACTCTTTAGAACAGATGATTAATTTAAGAAAATAAAACTGATAAGCATATGCATGCATATTAATCTGGAAGGCATTTAATAATAATTACATATATAATTTGCTTACAGGAACTTCAGTTTTCCCAAACAGGTTTAGAGCTCTAGCATAATCATTAATTATAACATCAACATCTTCATTTTTAATATTTCTATCAATATTAATTGGCAACTGAAACAAAAACTTATATCTCGTCATTACCGCCAATGCATTTCTAGTTGCTTCGGCCTTTTCTCTTCTAGTTAAAACTCCATGAAATAAATTTGTTGCTTCCTCTAACGATTCTACAATAATACAAATTAAATTTTCACCATTTATTTATTTTACTAGTAATTACACAACTTTATGAAAAAAGAAAATACCAGTATAAATTGTATCATTTTTAATCTAAGGATTAGGGATAAAGGGGGATCGTCTTGTTCTAATTCAAACATAGTATATATTATAATATGTCTAGATATTGTTCAAGTTATGTCCATTGTATCATTGCAGTATAATTGCAGATGTGCAATTTGAATAACGTCAGCTCAACTTACGGTTAATAGCTTGTTCTACTCTCAATAATGTTTTATTATTTTGATCAATATCGGCTTCGTAACTTTGTTTCAATGAAAACAATGTATCTAGTTGTTCCATCACAGATCCTACATTATCCTTAAACATACAATTTAATTAATAATATTTTTAAAAATAAATGTCTGAAAATTATTACACTTGCGCATACTTTCAAAAAAGATAGCTGTCCTTCATTTTGGGAATCTACTTTCCTCTTTAGGTATGATAATCCCACTCGTAAATCATCAAAAGATGTCCCATGGTGGTTTTCCAGTAAAAACCATGCAGGTTCAAAATTTTCAGATAGCAAATCTCCAGACCCATCTGGAAATAACTCTGTCAATTCATTTTCAGGAAATTTTCTGCAATATAAAATGTCCAATTTACAAATGACATCATTCAGAATATGTATTACAACAATATAATATGTGTAAGTTGTAGCATACTCGTCTCCTTCGACCGACAGTCCTAAAGGATCATCCAGTTGGAAAATTGTAGCTGAACTGTTCTGTCGGCCCCAGTTAAGAGGTGCTTCTTCTACCCAAACTGCACTTTCTTTAAGAGGTCCAATTGTCTCATGATAGCCTCGGAATTGCACAGTGCTCGTGCCAACCCCACCGGATCTTGTAGAAACAAATATATCTCCACGGCCCTTGCCAGGACCCGAGCGAGCGATTATCTTATTTGGAGACTTCCATTCAGCCGATAACAGACACTCGCAATCACAAATTTTTAACCCTAGCAATATAATAATAATAATTATAAAATAAGTAAAACTCTTATGTGTATTTAATAAAATATATATACCTAATAAATCATTTGGAGAATTTCCCAAGTTTTCTCCTCGAATAGTCACCCTTGTTCCCGGCGGTCCTTCTTTTGGAGATATACCTGTCACAACTGGACTCTTTGCCATTTAAAATTGTTGTATAAACTATAATGATTAGTTAAAAACTGATTCCTTATTTTATAAATATTGTTCTTAAATTACAATTACAAAAACAAAATGTCGCATTTAAAAAAAAATAATAATAACAAACAATATAGTAAACCAAACTTTCTGATTAATATTCGACTTATCTTATCAACCATTATTTAAACTGATATCACATAATCCCCCATTCTGTTGCTCTGATATCGTTATCTTATCAAAGCTTGTCATGGCTGATAGCCATTGCCTAAATAAATTGTTAAACAACTAATATTTTGGTTTTACATTTTTTATGAAGTGTGCAATAACGAATTACAATATTTACAAGTAATAAGTTAACTGCAAAGAATAATACAAATTGAATGATGTTTTAAATATTTATTATTTTGTTAAATACAGGGATTACATTTTATAGTTCGAATACATCAATGTTTTGAGTTATGTATATACTATAGTATATGTATATACATAGAATATAGAGAATTATAATTCTCTATATTCTATAATATTATAATGAACTATATTTATTTAAAGTATAATTAAATTTATTAAATTGCATCTTTTCATCAATAAATATACAAAGTATTCACCATTCTATATTTTATAAAGGAACTTATTAGTTATATTTGGACTTTTATTATTAAAAAAAATTATAGCTAAAACATTAAAACATTTCTTGTAACACCTTAGTATAATAAATATTTACAAACCAATTTTAGCTTAGCTTAGAACTTGAAATATTACAGTACAATCTCAATAATTTAACACATTGGTAGTTGTAGCTACACCTACATTTTTAGTATGAGGTAGGCTAACAATGTGTTTTTACTTTTTGACTTAAACATAGTATTAAGTTAATTTTATATCATAAATAATTAATAAATCTTTCTGAAATTAAAAAAGATATTGTCATTAATAAAAACTGAAATCATGATTGTAAAACTACTCTATGTGTAAATTGATAGATAGAAAAAAATTGAAAATTAAAACAAATCAAAACACATCATTTTGTAACTTGTTTATATTATTTAAAAAAAAAACTGTATAAATATTATGTACGTACTTTCTATAAAAATTAAATTATACAATTAAAACATTAATTGTTATGGAAAAATAACATAACAAACATTTTAATATGTCATCTGACATTCTCATCACATGCATATTATTTATAAATAATATGCATCATTAATCATAATAATCGAATTATTATAAATAATTTGACAGTCGTATTCAAAATTTTTCATCTCGCGGCTCCTTTATATCGTTACAATATCTCGATGACTCCCAAATTATTAAGGTGTACAGAAAAGGGCTATTTATTAAGTGCTAAAGGAAAAGCAATTCTTGACAAAAATGTAGCTACTAGCCATTTTAAATAAGCTGACTAAGTTTAAGATGAAAAATATTAAGATTTTCAATTAAAAAAAATTTAGTTTTTTTTCTACATTATGGCAAAAGATTGATAAAAAATGACTTGTAGAAGTCATATTCCAACATATCTATTGGACAGTTTCAATTTTTTTCTTTTTTGTGAAACTTTCTAGTTTCTCTATGAGGGCTAAAAAGTTGATTTTTGATTTAGCTATTAGGAAATCAGATTAACTAAAAAAAATTGTATTTAAAACAAAAATAAAAAAATAGGCTTTTTAGTCCTCATAGTGAGAAGTTGGTTTACTTTGTACAAAAACATTTTTTTTTTTTTTAAATTGGTTCAGTAGATGCTTCTGAAAGTAGCTTCACGTTTTAGTCTATTTGTATAAAATATGGCGCTTTATATTCCTCTTAATTTTCTAGTATAATCCGTACTAATCCATTAACTACACAGTTAGCCTGATCAACCAGCGCAACGCTCCTGGGAGCCGCGATGCAAAGTTTGAATAATTCTGGTTTATAAAACAATCCATTCATAACAATCAAATATAATAAGATTATTAATATAAGTCATTGGATCTTTTATAACATATTATACATTAAAAATGTTAGTATTTTATAATAGAAATCAATAATTTAGTAACAAATATAAATAATATAAAAATATGAAAATAATACAATTATGGCATTAACATAATTACTTTGGCAAGATAAAAATAAGATACAGACAGTTATGAAACATGTCATTAAAAAAAAAAAAACAAATTTACCCCATTTACCAAATAAAACTTGTGATAAATCATTTATAAACAAAACAGAGTAAAATGTTAGCTTTCTATGCTTATATTACAGAATAAATGAAATTTATCACATTTATTCTGTGCTTGTATCACATAGGAAATGAGCAAATGAGAATGGTTGTTAGCGTCAACATGCTATAAAATTAATTTATTTAAACAACGGAATTGTTAGTTTTTATACTTATACTTGAATATTATAGTTAGTTTAAAATTATAAAGAAGGTATTAAAATGTAATTACTTGTAATACTAAAATGTGCTTTAATTGCAATGTTTTATCATACGTATGATAAATAGATAAGAACAATGTGTACTCATCGAGTTATTAAAAATCGAAATGGTCAAACGTAAAAATTATCCAGTCTTAAGAAACCTATTTGTTTTTCATTTTTTATGAAAATGTAATTTTTGTGACAAATATGAAAAAAAATGAACAAAAGTCACACAATGCCAAAATGTACTACTTTAATGGTCTTATCCGATTGCGGCTTTGCTGAAGCATGAGTTGATTGATTGGAACTTTCTAAAAGAATAAATTGATATTAGTGGCGCACTTGTTAGCAGTTCTATAAAATGTGTACACATAAAAATACACCAACCTTGTAAAATGTTTTGTGACAGTAATTGCTGTTCAAGCGGATACCTCAGATGTGGCACACTGTCTAATGATGAAGTGGGTAGTTCTATATTTGTTGACATGTTAGGTTCTTCGTTAGAAGTGGCATACTTGCATAAAAAAAAAAATGTTCAAAAATTAAAATTGAAAAAAACCGGAATTGTAAATAATTGATTTAATTAATAATTTATTATTTATGATATTATAATCAACTTACGGGAACGCTTATTGTTGTAATGTTATTAAATGTCTTGTTGGCTGGCACAGGCGGCACAAGAAGTAATGGAGGAGATAGTGTTGTGGAAACAATTGGTAGGGGTGGTCTCATAGTCTCCGATCGTGAACTCGAATGGCAGTCGGTGCACTCACAATTGGACGACGATTGAGTGGAATGGGAGTCATCAGATTCGGATGAAATAATTTGATTTGCTTTTTCCAAAGCCATTGTGGCCATTGCTCTGGTTCCAATTCCAGACTTTGTGGCCCAATACAAATCCATAAACAGATCTCGATTGTTTAAATCAATGGCTAAACTAAATGCTTTTTCATACAGCTCATATCTTGAATTATTAAACAATAACAATCATTATTGATTAATTGTTAGTAGAATTACCAATATTTCTCTAGTAAAATTTAAAAAAAACTACCTCACTAATTGATGAAAAAAACGTCTGGCAATATTTCGAACTGGTTCATAATATTCCTGTTTTATATCATCACTTAATGGAATGATGGGTTGAAAAAAACTTCCAATTGCCGATTGTATTTGTACTATGAAATTAAAGTATATATATATATAATGTAACAATTACATTTAGAAATACATTTAATATACATTATTGTATTGTACTTACCTTCTCTGATAGGTGTGAAAGGTAAACGAAACAAATAGTTGGTAATTTTTTGCAAGCACGTTAAACACAACGGTCCATTACAATGCCAATCGAGTCCCAGAAGAAAATTGAGTGCACAGTCTACTTCATTGTTAGTCAAATACATAGAAATTATGAGATCTGCTGTTAACTTCCCGGCTCCAAGTAATTTAACCGAAACAACCGGACCTCTATAATATTGAAAACAAAGTATAAATAAATATAAAACTCATTTTTTTTTTTTTTTTTTTAAGTTATTACTTTTCAAACACCAGTTGAAGAACTGAATCACACGGGTTTGCGGTGTATCTTGCAGTGTCATGATGGGATAACCATTTCAACTGAATTATTTTTTTACTGCCAACTTTAGATCGCACATTTAAGTAAGTAGCTGAATTAGTAGCTGCGGCGTCTGCTGTTAAGGGTTTTATAGAAATTTGGGATAAACATGAATCAAAACATTGTATCCTGCCGCTATTGTCTGATACTGCAATTATGTTTCCATCAGGATGCCAATCCAAAAATTCAACAGGCTATAAATATTTTTAGTAAAACTTATATACAATTCTAATTACTCTTTTATGTATTTACATAATATCCTAGCAGTACATTTTAAATATTTTATTCTAACATTTTTTTTTAGACAAAATTGCAATCTTTTTAAAAAAAATTAAAAAATTGTTTAGGTTTCTAAAAACTATAGAAATATTTACAATATTTTACACATATTTTGTGTATAGTAGGTATAAAAGTTAAAGCAAATTTAGTGCTACTATCTGGGATGATATTAAAAGTAAAGAAAACACCCTGCATGAAAAGAGTTTGTTACAAAAATTAATTTTTTAAAAATAAACTACATAGTGCCACTGTGGCAGTGGGCTTAGCCAAGATTTGATTTCAGGCAAAGCTAACCTTTGATTTACCAAAATCAAACGAGAACCCCTCTAGAACATAAACATACTATACACAGTATATTTATAAGCAATTAACACTTGTAATGAATACTCACAAAGGCAGTTTTTACAGAGCAGGTGATTGAAAGTTTAAAATCATGAAGAAATAATACGGAATCGTCATAAGAAAAACATAATCGTGTGTCATCACCATTTAACCATACATTGATGATAGAAGCAGAACACCAATCAAACGGACTAACTGTAACTGTGTTTATTAAGTGCAATTTTGTATTCGTCACTTCAAATGTACTGAATTCAATTTGTGGATCATTTATATCCTAAAACATAGTAAATATATTATTACACATACATGTACTCGTTATAAACATTGTGAGTAATAAATCAATACGTCATATGTCCAAAAAGTCAATAATATACAGAGTAAAACTGAATAGTTTCAGCACATTACCGGTGGTGAGCGTAATTATGTGGTACGTGAACCACATACCTATTGGTGAAAATTCACCGCTTAAAAAAAAAACTAATAAATTATATTTTCCCCAAAGAGAATATTCACTTACTTTATATTGCTCTTAAAAATTAGATTTTAATTGCTACGAAAAAAAAAAACTATAATTCTATTTCAATAATTGAGGCCCTCTGAAAAAAAAGAATATTAAGACAAGTTGTCCGTCGTCTTACATTTATTCTTGTTTATTAATGTAGGAAGGGGGAGGGTGTTAGAAATGAAAATTATTTAAAAACATATTAGGTACATGTGTGTATTCCATAGTACGGGCGCAGCACTAAATGAGTTCATACAAAAATTAAATTATACGTAGATATTGAACAAAACAATACACATTATAACATGTTTTGTCATTTATTTCGATAGAATAAATTATTTTGAATTTGTTTGGACACAATGTAGTATTGAGTTATTATCTACAATAAAAGAAACGATAACAATTTTTTTGAAATTACCTTTTTTTCTAATATGAATAAAATATTTGATATAGTTTTGCTAAAAGTTACAATGAGTGGATCTTGTTTTGTACGATGATAACAACATAATTCCAACCGAGGCCTAAATTATATTATATAGTACATTACAACATATCCTTATTGTAGAAATAGTGATTGCTAATAATAAAAGACTTGTTGGTTACCCAATGATTTTGTACACGTGTATGTTGGCTCTGTCTTCATCTTTTACAACAGGACTCCACGGGTACACTTCATTTGCAGTTGATTTGCACCAAGTGGCTACTACTGTAGCAGACACGTTAACAGTAATCTTACGCTCATTTTTACGATTAACTGTGTGGTTATTGAAATCGAATAACCCAACTTTTGGTTCAAGCAACGACCATTTATTTGAAGTGTTATCAAATGGACGTCCAAAATGTACTATGCCCAACTTGTGATCGGAAAATGAGCAGAGGAGAACTTGTTTTAAGTACGAAACTAAAAAAAAAAAACATATTATAACATTTTTTAGGTGTTTTTGTAGGAGATATTTAAAAAGAAAAAGCTTACTGTCAATGAACGATTGATATGAAAACTTGGATTGAAGAAATTTATCACTAACAATCTCAATCAAATCACAAGTGGTAGCATCAAATGTAATGAATGTTGTAGATCCATTATTAAAAACAAATGCAATTTTATCTTTTTTCAACCATTCCACAGCAATTAAGTGATGTTCATTTAATTCAGTCTGTTAAGAGAAAAAACAATGAAATAATAAAATATTACAATATTTCAAAAAACCATATCTGTGGATATCTGTTAATTTTTAGACCTCAAATGCTTTTAACGAGTCTTTTAACTTTTTCGGTCTTTTGTTGGATAGTGACCAATTACATCCACGACCTTCCGTGTAGTTTTTTTTAATAATTTTGTTTGTCGAAGACTCCGTTTCTTTTTTTTCATTATATCTGTAAGAAAACATTTAAATTTTCATTATAACACAATCAATTATATTTTAACTGGAGATTTAAATACAAAAATGGTGTAAATAATTTTACAAGGTTTTAAAATAATAATTCAACCTTTAACATTGACAGGTTGAATTTTGATACTTTGAAAAAATGGTCAAATCAAGTAGAATATATTTTATTAGACATGCATCTATTAAATGAGTCTGTTAGAAATGTATTTTGCTTTCCCAACTCAAAAGTGGAAGCTTCGTGTCTTTTAAGGTTTATACTCTATTGATTCTAGGACTTGACGCTGAACATTTAATTAACCCATTTATGCCCCAGGGTTACTACATACTAGTTTGATACCAAAGTTTAACAATTTTTATATAAATAAACAAGGTTAATACAGACAATAAAAAACTGGTGTCCTACATATAGGAGGATGCTGGACGTAAATGGTCTAAAGTAGGTCCAATACATTGTCATACTTAAATATAATAAAAGCTTGACTCGAAAATACAGTCTTTAGACACATAGGTAATGCTAAATTAAAAAATGTATTCAATTCCTAACGATATGTAAAAATAAATAATTTGTTGTATATATAAATATCTAATATTAAAATTAATCGTCTATAAGTATAAATGTTTTTATTTTCACTGCATACCTAAAATGACTGAAATCTGTACTTTCAACAGCTAGATCGTTTTTCAATGTCCAATAATGAAGTTCACATAAAAATGTAAGCATTACTGATTTAGCTAAACACAAATAATGTTTGCATGTTCTACGTTTTTTAATTACAAAGCTATTAAATTATGTCCGCTAATTTAAAATAAAATAACATAATCAACAGACTCCAAAGTGGTAAGTGTTTAGCATGTTAAACATTATTACTATGTGAGAATTATGTACTTCAAATTGTTTTTATTTATTAGTAAAGAAGTAAAAAATAAAAATGCCTTTCTTGTTATGAATTCATATTACAAAAGTCAATATAATAATATCATACGGGTGAACATATCTTATCAACAATCAACAAGTTCACTATCCAAAAGTAGTTTGACGTCATAAGCTAATCGTAATCTATTATCCGTATTATGTGTTAATGGGGGTATAATACACATACTTGTATTATATTCTATCACGGCCTTAGGACTTGGGAGATATCTTTTAAATATATTATATTATAGTCTTGTCTTTAAAATCTTTAACCGTGGCCATGTTTCCTGGGGCCCAGCAGCTAAAACGAACAAATTCTGCTATTATTTTTATCGTTGCCAACATCATACTCTATGCGAAGGTACTGCGATAGGAATTCGTTATCACCATAACCTGCTCGTGAAAAAATAAATTCTCAGACTATGACCATTTTATCATAGAAAATGATAAACTCTCACGTTGACGGTGCCCGGTGAACCACTTTATAATAAGACATAAAATATATGATTCGTGATTTCTAATTTAACTCGTGTTGAATCCAAACGGTCAAGGAATATTGGGTTGAAAAATAGAAAAATGAGACTTACCAGTTACTTGCGAGATGCCAAAAAGGTCGGTGAGATGACAAAGAAATACGCAAATTTACCGGACTCTTACATTAACCGATCTATGGAACAGGTATGATAGAAACATTATTTATGGAACTACAAAAATAAAAAATTATACTTTATTTGGTAATCAATTTAGGTTGTATGGAAAACGCCTAGAAATAATCCTCGTTATTTGCCAAGAACTGTTAAAAAGAAAAAATTCCATTTTGGGACAGACAGACCATGGTCACAGGGCTTTCAGAGCAACAATGGTATTGGAGAATTAAAACCCAAAGTTTTCATAGAACCGATAAAAGATTGGTCATTTTTTAAAGGAGACAGAGTGAGTATATATTAAAATTAGTAATGCTGCTATTGTTGTTATTTGAGGGGTCGAGCGGATACAAATGATAAGTTCATGGGTTAAAGTTTAATAGTAAACTATACATATTATCTTAGTAATATGTAAATAACAGTATATATATATATATATATATATATATATATATCTTAATAACAGTCTAATTGCACTAGTATTTAGTGACATGAACAATTTATTAAGGCGCTATCACTACATTAATATAACCATGTATCGTAGATAGAAGTTTCAAAGTAACCTCCTTAACATTTCAAAAGAGATGTCACTTGACACGTTCATTGACTCAGCATAAATTATATCTATATTCAAACAAATTTTCAATCATGATCTTCTAAGTTTGCATCTAACTCAGATAGGCAAGAGGGTCTCAAATGTATTCAAATTTTGTGCTACCTTCTTTTATACCTTGTATACAGGATTTTGACAGTATGAAATGTTTGAATGATTTCAAATTTTGATTATAATCCTAAAGATGATTTTTGTCAGTTCAAAGAGGAATAAAGTATACTTTTTCAATTGATTTCCATTGTTCCTTTCTGATATAATTTCTGAATGATTGATATGTTTAAAACAGATTAGACTGTACTTTTAACTCTTCTATCACTGTTAAACATATGTACATTAGGGTGTACCAAAAAAAAATTATTTGTTTTTTTTTTTGTTCTTCTATTGACATTATGTTCCTTGGGGTAAAATAATATTTCCCTATTTTTTTCAGATTTTTAAAATTATTTTTAGAAGTTGCAAGCATTAGTTTTCCAATAATTTTTTTTTTTTTAGTTTTTAATTTTTTTAAGGTATTTTGGTACATCCTAATGTACATGTTTTGTACATATTTTATGTACATATATTTTTTGTATATATGTTATGTACATATTTTGAGAACTCTACACCTACTAATACAAATTTTTTTTTAGAGGTCATTATTAATCGGACATTTTTGGCAAAATCTCAACTTAAAACTAAAAATATTGTGTAAATTTGTATGTACAGTAATGACAAAAATTGTATTAGTAGTTCATACATATTATGTCAGACATTCATATTAATGTCTTTTTACAATGTCTTAAACTAATTTTTCAATATTATTGTTCTTATATAAGCCATCCTATCTACCACCTGTATAACAGTACATTGGATAATGTATAAATTGTTTTAAACAATAGCAACTCAGCACAGTCAATAAACACACTAAGTTAGTTCTGATTAAATAACACTAATTACTAAGAATTACTAAGTTTTTTGGTCATCACTTCAGAAGTAAGTACCAGTGCCAAATTCTGATTGTGCTAAAAAACACGATTATAAAAATCAAGGATTTGCACCCAAGTGACATATTTGAAGTATTCGTTTGGGCTGTCACTGTACTAATTCCGGTTTGAGTTTTCCATTTGAAACAATACTGGTTATGTACAGCCCAATTTTTGATGTGGGTTATGTTGTTTATTTTTTGTCTACTTATACATTGTGTAAATAGACCTGATAAAGTGGACATATACTTTATTGTTTATATATATTATATCGAGTGTATTTTAATTTCTAGGTCGAAATCTTAGTTGGTCCTGATAAAGGTAAACAAGGAATTGTTGCAAGACTTTATCAGGAAAGAAATTGGGTTATTGTTGAAGGTTTAAATTGTGAGTTAAAAGAAGTCGATCATTATGAAGGGCATTTATCTATGGTCCAACAACAGGAGATGCCATTATTGGTTACTAATGAAGTTGCTTTAGTAGACCCATCTGATTTGTAAGTTTAAAAACTTTAATATTTTAAGAATAAAAAACGTTTTTTTACTTTTAATACTTTTGATAAATTATAATTGTTTTTTAGACAAGGGTGTGCTATTGAATGGCGGTTTACTGAAAATGGTGAAAAAGTTCGTGTATCAACAAGAACTGGAAAAATTATCCCAATCCCCTCTTTTGCAAATGAAACTTATGACTATAAGACTCATAAAACGTACAAAGGTTAGTTGTACTAATCTTTAGTTTCTTAATAATATTTTCATTAATGTTTAGTTATCCAACTTATCCATACTTCTCTATGTAACACTGTAAAGTGTAAACCATTGGTATAACATGCATAAAAAAAAATTGTTTCTTGAAATCTTTGCTTGATATTCAATCTAATTAACTCTAAAAACAAAATGTTTTTCAATGGGTTCTCGTTAGGCTTATTACACAAGAATTATTATAAAGTGATACTGGGAAATGTTACCAAACCTTTAGCTATAATAAATATTTTAAAGATGTAAACTAGTGAAAATGAAAATAGTGACAATGCCTTTTTATAACTTAAAAAGTTTAAACAAATTATAACCTCCTCAGATTTGCATCGAAGCTAACACTAAAATAAATTGTGTTGAAAATGTCAAAATTTTGACTAGCCTATTATATTTAGTAAATTATTAACACTTGTTTTAATGTTATGTTGTTTATTATAAAATGTATTTACATTTTCAGAATCTGATAAGGATACGACCGAAGATGTGTTGACTGAAATAACTTTCTCTCCTTTGCTAAAAACATTTGAAATGGAAATTATGGAAACTATGGGAATAAAAGAAGAGAGAGTTCAAAAACAAACGTATTGGTACTAATTGTGTACAACTATTTTTAGTTTATCTTTGTAATTATTTGTGATTAGATGATTAGTACTTTGATTGTTTACATATGTAATCTTTAGCTTACAATTAAAAGTATTTTCTTTGTACTAAGTTGATTACATACACCTTCATTTGTTATTATTTTAATTTTAATTTGAAACTGAGAAAGTTAGGTTTGCAATGTATACCGTGTGATAGGGTATCTCAACAACGATTCTAATAGTACTATTCAATCTTATCTAGCTTCGAGTCTTTTTTTAAACCCCTTTTGATATTTTAAAACTGTTGTTAGGGTTGTATGCTTTAAAGTAAACTTTTCAGCGCTACCTAACTCAAAAAAATAAAGTAATAAATTGGAGGAATTACCAGACCCTTAGTGTATATTTAATTACATTCAATAAAATAGAACTAGTATTAATGTTTCTATGATATTAAACTCTTGTTCATTAATTTAAATAAATAAAATTTTGCCTAAATAATGTCCAACTCTGGATAAAGGTTTCTTTTCCATGCTCTACGTTTGGGAGGGGAGACTAACGATTTTATTTTTATTGATCCGTAGTGTACCAACCAAACCATAGACCTATATAAAGTAATGGACTAGGCCTCCCACACACCCCGCCAATACTGTCACGAACGGGGAGTATGGTGGCCCAACGATCAATAAACAAGGTGGAATGTACCCCATCTCATACTGCCAAAGGGTCAGTATCGTTAGAACAACATAGATATCATGGTTGGGAATCTCATGGAAAAATAAAACTATGTATATGACAACTATGAGTATACTCGGTTCAAAATAAGAAGCGATCTCGGCGGCTATCTGAAAGCTACGTAAAATACCGGTTTTCAGGTAGCCGCCGAAGTCGCTTCTTATTTTGAACAGAGTATAGCTAATAAACAAATATTATAAAATTTGGAAATAAATATTATGTTAGCTATCCGTTGATATTATTTTCAGCCCTGAAATCGTTCCGAAAAACAGTTCTACAGGCGACAGACCGTCTACCGGTCGGTGTACCAATTATACTTCTTAGGTCACCAGTCGGTAACCACGGCGGTCCATACGGAAAATCGTCATCACAAATTGCTAGAATGGAATTGAAGGGATTGGAACAACGACCAGATAAATTCATATTTTTCAAAAATTGTTTTTCCGTGGAAAAATGTTCACGAAAAAATTATCTACATTTTGGTGGAACAAACAGTAAAATCGGACTAATACCTTAAAGTATATATATTTTATATACTCAATGCTAATACCTAGAAAGATTGTAAAAACGCAATTATTTCCCGCCAATGATGGTAAATGAGACAATAGATTTTCTTTTGGCTGTCCTGAACAATTTTAAAAATTGGATTTATCTGGTCATTGTTTTGAGCCCTTCAATTGCTAGTTTCACACTCGTCCGTTGCATGATAATATTCTCTTTTTTTATTTCTTCCACGGGCTTCCCAACAAATCACTCTGTCTCTTTTTAACGATATCAACTCTCGGATCTCTCTCTCTACTATCAATCCATTTCTTTACAGGTCGTGTAGGTATATTATAATATACGCGTTTTGCTCCCCGCTCTTGTCGCACGAGTGTTGACACTTGACTGTTGTGTTGAGTGATAAATTTAATAATTAATATTTAATACGTCTCTAACACGGTACACGCGACCGTGTCCCGGACGGTATTCCGAGTAATCATTATTTTCATCTATTATCCGTGGGACTTGGGAAGTCTTGTGTAGAATTTAGAACACAACAATTATTATTAGTTAACACTACCGACTCAAATCTAACAACGTTTTTTTAATTTATAATTTTTTTTTAAATTTTGTTCGGCACTTTCGTTTTATTTATTGTCCGCGTTATGGCCGGCCGTTCAAGAGGACGCAACAACCGATACCAATACAATAATAATTCACGTGAGTACAAATGCGTAAACAACCAATTTTACACGTTGCATAAATACCATTGTATAAACCCATTTGTAATTTCCTAAAATTATAATGCTCGATGCCGCCAACGATCCCGTTGGTAACATCAAAAATCAACTAAGTATTTTAAAAATTATTTAATAATAACATTTAAAGGGGAACGTCCGACTTTGTGAAAAACATGCAAAGAGTTGTGAATATTGTGCTACACGAGTCTTAAATTATATTCCATAGATATTGTGTTAACTCAACATTCTTCTATACAAAATATCATTTTTTTTTTCAATCACAATTAACAATTCTTATTTAAAGCATACATGCTGGCCCTTTTTTATGCCAATTTTTTTTTTTTTTTACATCTTGTGTTTTTTATGCTAATTTGAATCTAAATTCGGAAATCGGCAGATTCCTCCAGTTCAAAAGTTACAGCTACTTAAACTAAACTTTTCCGTGTATAAAACAGTAGACGGTGGGTGCGGCACCATTCAGCTGTTGTCAGCGACGCGAATGGCACAGCAGTTTGTTTCCAATTCGTTATCAATAAATTACCATGACCATAATATACCGACTCAGAAGTATTAAAAAAAAAACCACAAATGACAGGGCAAAGCGGGATATCAACATTATATAAAATGGCTTCAATGTAGCTGCAGCGATGAGTTGCAATATGAGCATTGCCCGATACTAATGTATGACATTGGTGGCTTAAATAGTTATTTTACACACCTACTTATAATCAATGTGGTAGTTTGTTAGAACAGGGAAAAATTCACAAAAAAATCCTCTTTTAAAGTGAACAATGTGGAATTATAAACCTATAAGTATACAAAACTACCTCCTGCGACTGCCGGCTCCGAGAGCCGACTCAAACCCCTAGAAGATAAAATAGCTTGCCTAAAGGACTAAACTAACCTAATACTGCTTTAGAAGTGTCAGCAACCTATCAAGGCGGATCCTAACCTAACCGTAACTTTCTATACGCTAATGTCCGCCACCGCCTGCACTTGCTGCCTATTGTTATATACACGGAAAAGTTCAAAGCGAAAGTAGCTATAACTTTTGAACTAGAGAATAGATTTTTATTAACCATGGCACTAAGCAGCAGGCAAATAAATGATAGTAATGACGATGTAATATGACTTGTGTGATAATATTAAGAACTGACATACGCTATATATATTATATTATTTAATATATTAAGATATTCTATTTTAAAAACAATTAAAATGAAACAAAATCGACTAAGTGGAACTGCTTATAAAAAAAATTCTCTTCTAAAGGCAGAGAAAAGAGCATCTTTTGTGGCTAAAACAAAAAAAACTAGTCATTTTTTTCACAAGTCATAATACCTCAAGTAAATATGAAGAATGACTGATAATTTTTATAAATGTATTCTATTGCTTTTGGCATATTTTAGTTTTGATTCAATATTTGTTCATTCAGAGTAATTTAAAAAAAAATTCAACCTTGTTTTTGTTTATTATATATTTGTACCTATTTTGGTTCAGAAATATGGGTCAGCCTTATTCTGTATGCCTATTTTTGTTTTACTTAAAAAATACGTGTTCATTTTTTTGGCAAAATCGTGATGCCAATAAGCAGAAAATATCAGTCCTGATCTTGATATCTATAAAATTATAACATTTTTATTGTTGGGTGGTATTAAAGTTTTTCATTTGCATTATATAAGCATTAAAAAAGATGGTTAAGCGGCAGTGCTACCGCCAATACAGCATACGATCATGAGTGATTTTGTTTTCTAGCTGTGAATTTGTCAAGTGAAAAAGAGGTGTTGTTCCCCTGCCCAGCAAAAGACTAACAATCTGTCTCAAAATATAAAAAAATCTCCTTTAGGGAACAAATAGGAAAAAATATGTTATTTTAGTAAAAATATTTTTGCTAAGATTTTTAATTTGAGTTGTTAAATTCTGATTCAAAGTGTAAAGTCTATTATAGTAAATTTTCTATTCAGCTAATTTTTCATTCATGGAAAAATATTTTTGCTAAGATTTTTAATTTGAGTTGTTAAATTCTGATTCAAAATGTAAAGTCTATTACAGTAAATTTTCTATTCAGCTAATTTTTCATTCAAGGTTAAAATAATTATACAATAACCTGTTATTATTTCTGATGATGGAAATCCGAATATCCAGATTTTTGAAAAAAAATTTCTATTTAAATAAAAATGCCCACTTAAAAATCTTCTAAATATTCACTATTATTTATTATTAAAAAGCTGTGTACCTAAGGAAAATGTTCTGATGAAAAATTAAAAATTGTTTAACTTTGCTTAAATTGCTTTCTGATTTCAACAAATCCAAAAGCATTTTATCTTTTTAGTGTTGTGTTGTTTTTTTACATTTTCTAACTATATATTTAACTTAGGTACTCAGCTTTTTATTGTAATATTATTTAATACTTATACTTGGCGCCAAACACATTTTAAATTCTAAAATCATACTACTAAAATATGTATAATTTATTTTATATTGTGCTTATAAGCGGCAGTAAAAGTGTTAGTAAAATTATTAATCGTTTATTATTACTTCAGTAATAGTATTATAAGTACCTGCTTTAAAATATTTTTAAACTATTACAGGAAATAATGAACATGACGATAGAACTTCAAGACCTAGTACAAGTCGAGGTGGAGGTTATTCAGATCATCAGAGTTTTAATAAGAGAGTTACTTTTAAAGCAAACAACCGTGGAAACAACAAATTTCGAAAAAGTTGGGAGAATAAATCTGATTTAGTCCGCGATCAGTTGGATAATGAGTTTTCTAATAGAAATGGACCACACAGAAACAGTGGTGGACGACGGTAAATATCAAATAACATAAACTTTTTAATTTTAGCTAAAATAAGTTGTATATTTAAAGTAGATCATTTCCTGAAAGAAATTCTGGCGGCCGTGGAGGTCATAATAATTTTAGAGCTTCTTGGACGTTGAAAAAAAGTTCTACGGGATGGTATAGCATTTTTGTAAGTGTTTTGGTATACAATATGTTTTTGTTGTTATTGTACATTTTTTAATTATTAGTTTTTTGTTTATTAAAGGTACCAAATGTTGATGACGGAGATGAAGTTTTGAAAATAATTCAAACATATATTGCACCTATTACTCTGGTTCCATTTAACGTAAGATATTAAATGTATATTTCAGTTTTAGAGTACTATAAAAAGAAATTTGTGGGATCGTTTTTTTTTTTTTTCAGAAAAATCTTTTTGATAATTGTTTACGATTTTTGGTCGATGACTACAAAGTCGCTGAAACTTTACATAATACTAGTTATAAATTATCACTGCGAGATGGTCGAAAAGTCAGTTTAAATTAATTAATAATCAAAAATTTAGTTTTTCAGTTTTGAAAAGTTTGTATATGTTCGTATTTTGTATTTCTAGTTGGTTATCAAAGTAACATTATACAGTCCTTCACGCTATTCAGTCTTTATGGTTCCAGTTCCTGATGAAATAAAAGCTAAAATGATTGAAGCTATGTCAACAAGATACAACCCTAATACTAGGAGTATAGATTTATCCCGTTTCCATTCCAGCCAAAGTAAGGCACATTACAATAAAAATGTTCAATGATATTGAAACAATAATGACTTGTTTAACCAAATAATTAACATTAATTTAGTCTTCGTGGATAATCAAATGTTTGTTCCACTAAATCAACCAGCATTTCTATTAGCAGCACTGAATTTAATAGCTCAACAAACAAAATATGATATGTACGGCCTGAGTCTAGAAAATAACTATATATACTTGGGCGAAGGACTTATATGGATTCGCAGACTGTTTCCTGATTTAAAAATATTGGATTTAAGCGGAAATAAGGTAAATAATAATAACACTGAATGTAGAAGTATAAAATTATTACTTAAAACTTAGATACTATATGTTGGCTGTCAGGTTGGCATATTTGTTTTGTTTTAGTGGGGTTGCAAATGGTTATTTGGCACCTACTATGAGCAGTGATGTGATTGGGGGGTTGTATTTGCAAATTGTAAAACCTAGTTCCGAAATATTAATTATTTAATTAGAACTACTAAACTTTCAATGATAACTATCATATTTTATTATAACCACAATATATTTTGATAAAATCATGGTTATTAAATAAACTTTTTTGCCGTTTGTTTACAGGTCTCAATAGTTAAAACATATTATACATAGTATTATAGTTAAGCCCATTAATTTTACGATTTCTCTTGGCTTTTATACATAATCAACATTTCAAAGATGCTCTGCTCGTTTTATTTAATTCAAATTTGACGATTGAGTGTTAGTTTCAAAAGATAAAACTATGCATGGCTGATTAGCTTCGATATGGAGCTTCGCCGGTATTATTTATTAATATAACTTAGAAAGTGTAGAGCCTTACAATAATAAAATTACAATATTACAGTATTTTATGACCCTAGTTACACCACTGACTTAGACAAAGGACACACATAGTTATTAAAGTACATAATGAGGGTAGTTAAAACCGACCTGCTCTGATACATGTGTTATTTCTGGCCAATCGGTTAAGTGAAATGTATATATTTTTTTTTTTTAATTAAAAATATATCTATGATTTTAGTTAAATGATGTAAAAGATTTACAAGAACTCTCTGGTTTCACTATTGAAGTACTTAACTTGTCAAGAAATCCAGTTTCGGATAAAGAAGATAAAGAGCGCTACAGGCGGTAAATTTATTAATATTTATACATCAGATAATTCAATGATCATATATTATAAAATATTATATTTTATTAAACTTTAATTGTTTGTACTATTTTCAGAGAAATTCAACAGCTATTTCCTTTGATAACTAAATTGGTAAGTTTTGTCCTTTTAATTATATTGCAAAATTATTCTTTAAGTGTGTCCAAAAGGAAAACAACAACGATGTTTCTATTGTGCTTGCTAAAAAGTGTTATGATTATTTTTTTTCTTTAATAAAAGGTAAGGTGTTTTAAGGTAAGTACATCTTACCAACACGACAAGAACATACTCGATGGAAAAATTTAAGATTAAAATAAGCCATTTTACACTTACCCTTGTGGGGGTGGGTTCATATGAGGTTAGATCAGTTTCTATGAATAGGATTTAATCAAACCAAATTTTCACAAAAAAAAAAAATGTCTTATTATATAAAAATCTTTTAATGATGTAGTTTGGATAAAGTTTGTTGATAAGTACCTTAATTAAAAAAAAAAAAATTTTAAAGTTTTTATAAAATAAAAACTAGAATAACAAAAAAATCAATGGTATTTTACGAGAAAAAAAACAATATCTTAATTTCATCAGTTTTTTCTTCCAGTATACATTTTAAACAAATATTTCACAGACAATTTCCTTTTAGAAATCTGTTTTATAGTATTGCGTTTTTCATGTTTTAAAAATAGCGTACATAGTTTTTTAGTAATCTAGATTTTGAAAGTCCCACCCCTAATAACTACTAACAATAGCACTATAAAACATAATTTTTGGATAAACTTCGTAGTTGTATTGTGTATTATATTACGTTGGGTGACATAGGATTTGGGGCAATGCTGTACGTATCTTTTTATAGGATGATTATGAATTGCCATGTCGATATAGTGCCATTGTCGGTACTAAATTGAAAATGCCAATCAACTTAGGCAACAGTTATGCAATCCCAGCGGAGCATAATCCTGAACAACCTAATCCAGTTGCAGTATTAGTTGACGCATTTCTAGCACAATATTATGAACGATATGATAATCAAGTATCAAAACAACTAGTTGCTGAAGCGTATCATGAAAATGCGACGTTTTCTATGTCTTCGTGTTTTCTTTCTGAAAAGTGAGTATCATTTATATTTAAATGTTCATGTGCAACTTTAATAAAATTATAATTTTGTATAAGTAGAAGCAAAGGGAACTTAATGCAATACCTTCCGGAGAGTCGGAATCTATTTAAACTCTCGGAGATGAATAGTTCCAAAAGATCTCGATTTATTCATAAAGGAAGAGAGAATATAATCAATTTTTTAGAAAAATTACCAAAAACGAAACACGATTTGGGATCATTTACTGTTGATGTGCCATTGGCAAATGTAAGTTTTACATTTAAGTTGTATTATGGGGGGGTATGGTATTAACAATTTTTTTTTGTTAACTGAATGCATAATATCTCAAGAATATTGTGTCAAAATTTCAAGTCGATCAGAACAAAATTGACGACGTTATGAGTTGTTGGAATTTTATAGCTGCCCGGCCCGAGCGCACTATCGTTAACTTTAAAGCGTTTTCCCCACAACTCACGTTTTCCAAGTCGGGGACCCTCATAACTTCAAAACTATTAAACCGATCCTTTTGAAATTTTGAACACTATTTCTGTACATAACTTACGAGGTAACGCTGGAGATTTTTTTTCAAATTTTTTTAATATTTTTTATTTTACAATAACAAATTAGCCGATTTTTTTTCGCAAAAATCGCGTTATTCCCTTCAAAGTGTTCCCAAAAAGTGAAAAATTGAAATTTCAAAAAACCCTCCCGGCGTTACCTGAGGAAAGCAATTATCTAACGAAAGAACTTGATTTTTTTAATTTCGGATGATCCAGCATCGAGTTATGAGGGACACCTCAATTCTACTTTTTTCTAATAAATAGATTTTAACTGTGTCGTCACAAAAATTCACCGTTTTTTGCACGAAATTACTTTACCCCCCCCCCCTTAACAAAACATAAAAGTAGCATAATATTTTATTTTTGTATTCCATTAGTCTGCGATGGTTCAAATAGTAGTAAATGGTGCATTTGCCGAAGAATATATAGACAACAAAAAATTAACATTGCGATCATTCAGCAGAATATTTGCAATAACTCCCGTAGGCAACGGCTGGAGTATAATTAGCGATATGCTTTTTATAACAGCAGCAAACATGGAAATGCTTTCGGTGAGTAAATTATTTATAAAATGTGTCTAATGTATTTTTAAAATGTTTTTATTTATTTGAATCTAGGAAACGGCCAAACGTTTTTATGTACCTAAACCACGACAGTCAACATCAAAACGATATAATCAGGAAAGTAATGGCAACAATAATAATAACAGCGGATCAATGTTTATGGATGATGTTGATGATATGGGAGATATGAATTCAGTTCAACAATCGCCTACTCCAAACTATCCCCCTCCGTCATACCAGCAAACCATGTATTCCTCTAATCAACAACCATATCAGACACCGCAAACATTTCAATCGAATCACCAGCCAACAAATACATTGGAACAAAATACTGTAGCACAAGCGTTTCAAATAAATGTACAACAGACTTCTCAGGCGAATCAGCCATTTTACAATGTACCAGCCACTTCTGTTGTAAGTCAAACACCACCGGAAACGACAATTAACACACCCATTGACAGAGCTATGCAACTTACAATGATCAAACGCTTTTCCGATGAATCTGGCATGAATGAAGAGTGGGCCGAAAAGTGAGTACATTTATTAAAAAAATTGAGTTTATACTTATGTTGTGTAATACATAATATATAATAACTAAATATTTTATTTTTAACACCCCGCTCGCTATATTAAAAAGTAAAATTTAAATACGAGCACCTACAATTCTGTGTAATTAATTACAAGCTAGAAGTATTGTTACTTATTCTGTCCAAAATGTACATCATTAAATTTAAATAAGAGCTTACCGGTAGCCTATGATAAATAATTTCTCATCACATATATAAACTTGCTTAGAAATTTTTGTGATAAAGCTATTATTTAAATTATGCACAAACATCGAGACATTTTAAATAAAAATATATGACAAAATATTTGTAATTACAGATGTTTAACAGAAAATAATTGGCATTATGCTAATGCTGCTGTAAGTTTTTCAAAACTCAAAGACAATATTCCACCACAGGCCTTTCGACGTTGATGTAATTTTACATTGAAGACAATTATTATTGGAGTTGATTGGAAGTTAACATTTTTTTTATTTTTGGGTTTTCTTTTGATGTAATTTATAAAAAGTAAAAAAAAAACTGTAAAGCAAACTGATGCTAGAACAATCAAAATTAGTTACACAATTATGAGTAGTTGAACTTAAAAATTATATTTCTAACAAAAGCACTTAAATGTAAAATTTTTATATTTTTTTTTTTATAAAAAAAAATTCTTTATTCGGTTGGTTGTACGACAATTAAAATGTATACTTTTATACATTGTATAATGGATCATTGATCCATTAAAATCTCTGGAAATGAAAAAACAGCTAAGGTAAGTATAATTATAACACAGTATGTGTTTAAATAAACTGACAATGTCGTACATACGTGCAGTCAAGCCGAAATTGTTATCAAACTGTGGAATATTTATATTATGCAGACTCAAAATATTTTAAGTAGCTTTTGGTATTAAAAATAATTTTTACATTTTGATTGTTCAAGAAGTATTGGTATTTTTAAAGAAAACCCAGGTAACAACTCTTATTTTTTTTATACCAATGTTTGTAAAAATGTAAAAAATTGTTTATGTATAAAAATGTATTCAATATATATATATATATATATTATTTAAGTCTTAAAAATTAAGATAACAATATTAATTTTATTATTTTTAATAAAATTTAATTTTTTTTTTTTTTTTATGTAACCAATAAAATGTTCAAGTATAATATGTTTAAGATAGTATAAATATAAATTTGTTGTACGAAAAATATCTTAATAACTCGTTTGATGTACAGACTAAGTTAAGTAAATTACCAGATGTTTAGATTTTAATAATAATTGTTTTTAGTTACAAACTGTAAATAATTATTACTTTTCTATCAAATATGTATCTATGTATCTGCTATAAAAATACAAAATTGATTATTAAATACGTTTCTTGTTAAAAATTACTTGCTAAATGTTCAAATAATTAATTGCGATAACAAATATTTTGAAGAATTACCGTTTATATTTTAGAATACAATATAAGTATAACTGATTAATTTGTAGTAAAAAAAAAAATTGTAATAATTACGAACTCGCTTTTTAAGAACAAATTATTCGTACTCAATATAGAACCTATTATTATTAATATATGGTACTTAGTTTTTCTTCTTTAACTATAGATTTAAGTATTGACTTCTGTGTCGTCGTAGAAACCTCAACTGTGCAGCCGCATTTTATTTGTTTCACATTTTGGGCATGACTTAGCTTTCTTATAACCCTTGCAGTAACACAGTTCAACAATGAGACATGTCCAAAGACATCATATTGTGCTTTGGTCAGGCCAACTATGGAGTATGGGTACTGATCTGGAACCCTTATCTGGTTGGATTGGTTTAATCACTGGTGAGAGTCCAAAGAAGATTTCATCGCCACTTAACCTCCAAAAAAACGGAGCTCACAACAATAATGATTTGATACTGATCCAGAATATCCAGCTTATCCTTGGCCTGTCCTCGTTATCGGACTGACACTATTAACTAGACATTGCGTTTTTGTTCAAACTTATTAATGATCAAGTATCCTACTTATCTTTGATGGAACACATTTTTTTACAAGTTTCGTAATTTAATTTAACATGTAAATAGTTATTTTTCTAAATAAGTGTAATTGATACATGATAGGTGAGTTGTTGTGGTAGAAGAAACCATCCATTGATGGAACTTCATGACATTGTTAGATTGGTTATATACATTTAGAAGGTCCCGTCATTTTCGTTTTAAACATTTTCATGGGTCACCTGGAATGTTGAGAAACGATAGATCATAAACATATTAAAATATTTGTTTATTAAAATATTACCTAAATACACGTGACTGATATTATTTATTTATTAGATTTTCAAAGCTAAAAGAACTTGCCTCTTAATCTTAGATAAATATATTTTACACATACAATTTAAAAAGTAAGTTACAGTAACATTCAATCGATAATTTTTGACTCAACCAGGTTAAAATATCTAGTTTAATTAAATTTAATCTATCATGTATACACTCTTTAATTTATAAAACATTGTTAATTTATCATTATTATTTTTGTATTATTTGTACTGTATATTATCAATAAATAAATAAATAATTAATCAAATACTCCTTGAAAAAAATTCCCTGTAGGATTTACATGGGTCATAAATTTATGCATATTCTCATCTGGAAGCCATTCCCATGGTATTATATTCCAAATTAACAAAATATGTTGTTTGTTTGTTACAGTTCAGCCTTTTCAACTCGCTATTCCCTCCAACATTTTTATTCTTTCATTGCCTGGTGATAATAATTAAATCTCTTGTACGGTACACATTATGTTGGATTGATATGGCACAGGCGTGGGGTGAGAAAAACACCGCAAGCGTCCTCGACGGGTTATAATACGAGATGTAGCCTGTAGGCATAATACAAGGTGGCGGTTTCAGAATTCTAAAATATGTATCGGAGCCGCGCACAATTCGATAACAACGGCTAGTATACATTATATGCTCGTCTATGGCAACGCTAACCCAACATAAGAGTGTGCAACGGTAAAAAAAATAACACTCGGAAAAAGTATGAACAAGTTGCGATCGGACGATTTGAGCGTGATCGTACGCATCCAGCACGGCATCGGGTTCGAGTTGACCGAAGGCAGCGTTACGGTGGAGGCCACTTTTGACGGCGACCTCCGGCAGGGCTTGCACACATTGTCGGCGCTCCGGAACCGGGTCAACTTCGACGAGCGGTTCGTGTGGTTGGCCGACAGGGCGACGGTGAAAAATATGCGCATGGAAAACGGCGTGGTGCTGGTGGAATGTTTCCGAATACCGACTGTGCCGGCCGACCGTGGCGCTTATGCGAACGACGAGCTGTACGAGAGGCAGAGGGTGGGTCAGGCCGTGGTCCGACTGAAAGATTTCCAAGTGATCGGTCGTGACTGGGACCAAGAGGTGACGCTCAGAAGTTACAAATTACATTGTGGCACTGGCAACGGCAACGTAGCGTTACGCATGGCCCTCGTCATCAAAGACACCACGGCCCCCACGGCGGCTGCAGCAGTTTTCAATAGACTGCCCGCGGCCAGACCGCAAGCTCGTCACCGCCGACCACGAGAAACATCGGTAACGGCAGACCGACAACAACCGGTAACCAATAACCGGCTACAATCGGTAGCCGCCGACCGACCACGACCAAACGTCACTAACCGACAACCACCGCAGCAGGTAACTAACCGACCGCGACCAGATGACACTAATAGGCCACAATCGGTAGCCACCGCCAGAAGACCACAGCCGGTGACGGCCAAAAACCTCCAACCCGCTGCAAAAACAAATACGAAACGAGGTAAACTCAATAATGTACAAGTCCTTGGAATATAATATATTATTATGATGTTCTGCGCTTGTTTCTATTGTGCTAGAGGTGTACAAGAGAGCGAAAACTCCAGTGGCCGCGTACCTTGGCGCCAAAGACGCCAATGTCGATGACAACACCAACTCGATGCGTGTCTACGAAAACGTCAATTTGTCGCGCGTTCACGATTACTGCAGCTCGAACCACCTACACAAATGCACGTGTCGACATGATAAAATCGGCCTTGGCGCGTCCAGTGTCGCGACGGACGATTTTATCAAAACCATGGAGCACCTGACGGTGGACATGGGCGAAGTCCGCAGAAAGACTTTCCGACAATGCGAAGCGGTCAACGACTGCGCCAACATGAGCGGCTTGAATGTGAACGAGACAACGCGTAAGAAACCTTCGAGGATGGGCGGCGGCAAAGGTGTTATAGATCGGCTAGACCCGTCAGAGAGACACCGGGGCGGTACTATTACGGCGGCCACGAGCAGGGAATCGCTGTTGGCCATGACGACGGGCAGCGCGATGAGCGACGACGCGGTCACATGCGTGAGGCGCATAAGGAAATGTAACAACACAATGTCGAACGTGATAAGGGACATACAACACTACAACGGGAAAACGTGCGGCACGGCCGCCGACCTGTCCTGTAGTTCCCAATCGGATTACGACATGCAACATCCCATCATGTTGGTGGAGGAGTTGCAGAAGAGTGTCAATCAATTTGCCGATTGCTTTTACCGGACGAGAAAAAAGAGACACTGTACCAAAGCGAAATACTCCAGAGGTATGACGGTTCTGAAAAAACTAGACGTGGAAACGACGAAACTTAACGACAAAATAAGAGATGTCTGGCAAGCGGCATGTAACCAATGCCACAAGCCATTACAACAACAACGCCCTATTTAATTATTTGTAGTACCGCGCACGATATTTTCTTCGTGTTTTTCCTTTTATAACCATACTGATAGCAAACTAAAATGTTTAGTATATAATACCGTGTAATATCGTAATACGGTTTTAATAGTATTTTAGTCGTTAACAAAGCGATAACGTGACCGTTAATACATGACAATATCTATTTCTAATTAGTTTTATTTATTTCAACGTACAGACATTTAGAAGTACCTTAATACCTTCCCATAACACCCTATACTACACTTCATTTAAACCATAGAAGAAAATATCTTAAATCAGACTAGTAATTACGCAATTAACGAGTTATACATTTTGTCTCCTCTAAAAGGAAAGTACGGCTTCCTAGAAAAACATTTTTTTTCTAATCTCACGGTAGGAATAGCAATATGACCGTGGTGTTTAGTTTAACAGTGTCGAAAAAAGAACAACTTGGCGCTCTGTCATCTGGGAATCAATAAATACAGTATGAATGGGCATTTATAGGGCATTATACAATGTCCCTACATTGTATAAGCCAATCAATAAGAGTACAATTTCAAAATAGTCAGCTATTGTCAATAACTTCAAAAACATAGATTAAATACATTAATAGATTAATAGACTTAATCTTTATCAAAAATAGGTAACTAAAAAAAATAAATATAAAACAATTTTCTACTAAACATTATTCTCGTACTTTTTTATTTAAGCCAACAGTTTGTACAACAAAATCAATTTTTAATTTAGATTATTTAAAATAAATGTATATTTCCGCCTTTTTTCATAATGTTTATTTTAATTGTACATACTTATTACTTATATAATGTAAGGTACAAAATGCATATCAATTTTTAGTGTGGTCGGTTAATTTAAAAATCGAAGTCCTAAATGTAATTATGTTATGTCAATTGCTATGGAATTACTGGTAACGAGCTTGTTAATTTCCATAAAGCATATGAAATTTACCTTAATCTAGAAAACTTTATGATAGGTGTAATCATTTTGAACTTGACATTTTCATGTCTTAGCTCTGGCACATAACCCTGGCAAATATCCGAAAAAAGCGTTACCAAAAGAGCGTAACGAAAAAATAAATGGGGATGAAGATGAGGTTGGGGGTGGGAATGGGAATGGGGTTGGGGTGAGAATTAGCCGGTGGATAACCGAAAAAAAGTGTTACCAAAATAGCGTTACGCTGTCACGCGCCACAATGTAACAAAAACTACGAAGCGAAGACGAAAGACAATTATCGGAATGACCATTTCGGATCTATTTCGAATGTTAATCTGTTACGCTGTTATCTGATTTGAGATAAGAGATATGTTGTACGTTCAGCGTTTAAATTAGAACTAAATAATAAATTCAAAATAGTTTAATTCTCTATATATTAAACTATGTTAAGTTACTTTTGGCCAGATAATAAACACTACAATTTTAGCCAGAAACTTGATTGTACATAATTTTTTAATCTCCTTGGCCTTATGCTGTAACTGGAAGCTCCACGTAATTTTTTTTTTTAAATTATAATTCCACAACTAATCTAAATTTATTCGGTACTTCAACGAGACATGAAAATGCTCTTTCGTGGTTGCAGACTCGGCTGAAAAACTTTTTTGATATAAGACTTAGACCTCAGCGTACCCTCCCAATTCCCTCACCCACCTTAACACTCCTTATCATCTCCTCTTCCATTTCTTAGCAACACATTGGTAACACTAAAAGTGATGATACGAACAGCGTTCTCGGTTAAATAGACAGGCGCAGGCTAAATTGTTTACAATGAAAGTAGGTACCTAATTTTCAAATCTTTTGCAGACATTGAGATTAAGCAGCATTTTAGTGGCTATGACCTGTAATAGGTGAATCAGATGATTTAGTGCCGCATAAGCAGCGGAATTATTACGCTGCTATTTATTTTGAACGGCACGATCTGTCAAATATTTAAATTTAAAAAAAAACTAAAATATTGAGGAATTAAAGAGATTTTGTAGCGTTTATTCATTTACGATTACTATTTGTTAAGCTTTTAAATATGCATACATATTATCATTTAGTATATATTGTTCTCAATGTATACTCAATGATATTACATAAATAAATCTTGGTAAACATTTCTTATCATAGAGTAAGAATTAAAATATTCTTTTAAGCATTAAAACATATAATGGCCAATATAAATATTTAGTTGACTACTTACCAACAGCCATAATATTGTAAAAGTACTATACACACTATATCATCATCTATTGTTATTTGTATTTTTAAAATAATACTATTTGATACTTACCTATTTAAATAGTTTACACCATGAATTCGAATTGTCCTGTGAACTTACACGCGTGCATGGATTTAATAACTAAACTTTCGCGACAAGCGGGCAAACTTATTAAAAGTCGAATCGACCAAGAGAAATCGATCGAGACAAAAGCTAACCGCATTGATTTTGTCACCGAAACCGATCTAGAAGTGGAAAAAATGCTCATCGAAGGAATAAAAAATACATATCCATCGCACAAGTTCATAGGAGAAGAATCGTTTGCGGCAGGTACAAGGGAAAAACTGTCGAGCACGCCAACTTGGGTCATCGATCCTGTTGACGGAACAACCAATTTTGTGCACGGTTATCCAAACGTGTGCATATCTATCGGTTTAGTTATCGATTGTGAAGTCCAGCTGGGTGTTATTTTCAATCCAATATTGGACATGTTTTTTAGAGCAATCAAAGGCGAAGGCGCCTACTTGAACGACGAACCTATCCGTGTCAGCGATTCGAAGTGTTTAAGCGACTCCTTGGTTTCTGTTGAATACGGCTCGCTCCGAACTGACGAGTTTACAGGCATCGTCAATCATAACATCAGTTATTTAGCAAAACATGCCCATGGAATTCGTTCTGGAGGATCCGCTGCTTGGAATTTGGCAATGGTAGCTAAAGGCGCGAGTGATTTGTATGTGGAAATGGGTATCCACGCTTGGGATATTGCTGCTGGCGATATAATTGTCAGAGAAGCTGGTGGTGTTGTAATCGATCCTGCAGGTTGTCATTTTGAATTGATGAACCGTAGAATATTAGCCGCATCGTCGCAAGAGCTTGCCAACGAAATATCTCCTAAATTGAAACAATATTTTCCAGAACACGACTAGTACAACTACAACACTGTTTTTCATTTACATATACTACAAAATGTTATATTTTCCTATTTATTACCATTAAAAATCGCTTATAATTGGAACATTTTAAAGTATTTTCATAAACTTTCAAAAATAAATGTAAATCATTTATTTCTCATGAACAACAATTAATTAGTGTGTATATTTTTAAGTATTTTAAAAGTGTCTTGTTTTGACATTTGCAAAGATGATTACTTAAGATGCGTTTATAAGGAGCATACATATTTATTTTGAATCCGTGATTGTTTCAAACTATCAACAATTCAAGTTGAATTTATAATAATTAAAGTAGGTACGTACTTATTTAACAATACTGATAAATATATTATTTAATATAAAGCAATATCAGAGCCTAAACTCTTAACCACATAAATTGATTTAGTAACTGTGCTCAACAAAACAGAATTTGACGTGACGCAAAGCATACCTACTTACTTATTTTTTTTAAAAAATAGTGGTTTCTCAATGTTCGGTACAGTTGACAGTTGTCAATTTTATGACTAAATAAACCGGTATGATCGATAGATATTTCTTTCCCAGCCTTAGAAATAGACGATTATTGCGCTAATTTATCATTAAAACATATCTTCCATAACAGTGGAAAGTGTGCAAACGCGCAAAAATAGGAAAACTGTAAAAGCTTCCAATCCAGCAATTTGTTTCTATTAAAATAGTCAAATCACGAACTAATATACTACTACTAATATATTCTTAGTTCCAGAGTCAAATCGAATCAATTAAATTTATTCTGTGGTCAAACTGACAGATTCTTTAATATTTCTTGCGACACAATGAGTACCTATTGATGAATAACAGCTGTTAATTAACATGATAACAGATTGAAAAGTGGTAATGCATTTTGCCAATTGTATCCAATTTGTATTTTGTAAGTCAATTATAAATGTTTGTGGAATGAAGTTATTTTGCACTTTGCAAATTATAAAAATAGTGTAAAACGTTTGTGTTGATGGAATAATAGGCCACAACAGTAAGTTGTCAGTGTGCTGATTGTCTGTTATCAATAATTGGACACCCCGTTATCGCTATTCATAATTTTATCAAAACTTACTACAATGAATAATCAAAAGACTGATAGATACAATCATTTCACTTACCTATTACATTACTCATTACTGGCTATAGGTGGCCGTCAAATTAAGTTAGTACTGCTCTTGAATGTGTTGCGTTTGTTCAAAATTATATTTATTATAAAAACAGCTCAACATTTTTATTTTATTTCCTTAAAAACCAGTTTTATTATAACATTTAACAATAATTTGTATAGTGCAATGATCGAACAAAACGACTGTTACCAGTAATGCGATTAGACATTTGTCTACTCCTTTATCTCCGGGTAATTATTTTATAATGTGATACTTAATGTTGTTCATATCTCTTGATTTTATGGATAATAATGGTGGTTTTAATAACACCTAGCATCTTTAACAAAATTACAGTTTTCAAAAGCGACTAAAATAGTACTTATTACATTTTAAATCGTCCAATGTACCTTTATTACTATGAGTTATTTAAATGTGATTTAAATTGTGTATTAATAATTGCACAATATATTATAATCAAAAAATTATATATCTATTTTATAATAACAGTTGTTTTAAAAATCTAAATTATTATAATATATCTATATGATTTAAAAGAAAAAGGAAATAGAAATTAATGGTATTTGAATAAGTTTGAACAAATTTATTTATTTTAGAAAAAAACTAATTTAATCACTTCATATTAAAATAAATAATATTTAAAAAATAATGTATTCATTTAAAACTTCAGATATATTGCGCAAATTTTAATTTAGTTTTATCTAGACTTTACTGATCCTACATCCTACATTTTTCATAAAATTGTTAAAGTTCTGTAACATAAAGCAACAAAAGTAATTAATAAGCCAATAATTTGAGAATATATATTAAATAGTGTAATCAAAATGTATTAATATTGTATTATACCTAGTAGTGAATCATCACACTTTATTGTTAATAATTTCATAGTTTGATAAGATTTGATTTTTATTCATTAGTTATCTTTTATGGATGATCTGAAAAAATATTTACTTTTGTGTAATTTGATTAAATTATTAATATTTAACTTCTATATGAATCTTATTTGGTGTTTGTCTTACTAGGTATAATATTGTATTTTATTTATATTACCAATTTATTTTCTGTCTTTATGACATATGTGTCTATTCTAACATTTAATAAATAATAATTTTTAATTTTATTTAAGATTGTATGTACAAAATAAAGTACATTAACCCATAAATAGTATTCCTTTTAATTTATAAAACTTTTATAGATATATTTTTTTAGTTTAAAATTTTAAATACAAAACATTTTAAATCTCAGATGTTTTTCTCGAGTACTGGCATACTGTTTATAATTTAAAATATCACTAAGTGTAGAAATGACGCTTTATCATTGAATGTGGACAGATTTATATTAATATACTCTTTACTCGTAGAAGTTATTTATATATACCATCAAATACTACATTTCTAGTATTTGTTAATCATTAAATAATAAAATAATTAACATTTTGATTTTGATATAATTAGTGGACTAATTTATTTCTTCTCAAAATTATTTATTTGATAGGGATCAAATTTGTTGTTTTTAATTAATGTGAAACGCTAGTAAATTAATGTTATCTTGTATGTTTCAGCGTATAGCAAAGTGTATTATGATTTGCAAAATGTCCAATGTTTCGTCCTACATAGAATAAATGTTTCGTCCAGATTTGGTTCATCTTAGATATTTGTGTTGCAGAACTATATACTACCATCTTACATACTATAAAAGACAATCAAAGTTTTTTCATTCCAAACCTCAAGAAATTTTAATGAACAAATTAATTGAGCTCAATGAAAAAAGTAGGCTACAGGCTATATCTTTAGCTGTCAGACTGATCGCTAACGGATGTGTTATAGCTTTGCCCACGGACACCGTGTACGGATTAGCAACAGACGTACATAATTCTTCAGCTATCAGTAAACTATACAACGTCAAAGGTCGTGACCCCAGCAAACCAATTGCAATCTGTACACACAATGTGAATGATATTGGCAATTGGGGTAAAACCGATCACTTGCCTTACGGTCTTTTGGACGCAATACTTCCCGGACCTGTAACTGTTGTGTTAGATAGAACCGAAATACTGAATAGTGATCTGAATCCGGGAGAAACAAAAGTTGCTATTCGTGTGCCGGATAGTGGCTTTATTTGTGACATTGTGTCCTATCATAAAAAACCTATCACTCTTACGAGTGCCAACGAGAGTAACAAGACAAGTACGTTGAAACCAGAAGAATTCTCTACGCTGTGGCCAAAAATTGATGCTATATTTGACGGAGGACCTATCGGCAGTTCGTCATTGTCACGTCTAGGTTCTACCATAGTAGATTTGTCAACACCTAATCATTTCAGTATATTAAGAGATGGTTCTGCTCTTCTACCCACTGTCCATGTATTAAATAGTTTTGGCCTAAGACATTTGTAATGAATAACCTATTCAGAAGCATTGTTAGTAATAAGGAGCTTAAGGATGAAACAAATAAGGGGTCTGTTATGCAACATTTTGAAGAGCGGTTAAAAGACTTTCAATTAGAATTCGTTGACAAAGAAGAGAAAATTATTAGTTCCAATTATGTGGCTGATCGCTTGTTGGCCAGTATAGAAGCACTTTTTTTACATGGTCTCAAAGAATCTCTTATCAGCAAATTATCGACTGTGATAGGTGACGATGTGGACAGAAATATAGATGTCAATTTTTGGCATTGTCTACTTATACTCTCTCCAAATGGTATTGTTGATCAAGTACGTAAACATTTTTTAAAATAAATGCTTCGATAAAAAATTTTAAATGATATAAACTAATGGCAAAATAAAACATGTTGGATTCTCAATTTCTCAATAAAAAAAAAGCGTTACTCCAGTTTTTTTTTTATTTTTCAGCTATTTGCCAGTTTTACAGATTTAACTTAACCAATGGCAATTTTTTTTTGGCTTACATTAAATTTATCATCCTGTATAAAAATGTAAAATATCAACAAAAATCATAATAAATAAATATCAACATATAACAATATTCAATTTTATATATATTTCTAAGTAAGTCTTCTTCTTTACCTTTGCCTTACACTCCCAACTACATGAGGTCGGCCACCCTAGTCCTGCACCTTCATAGAGCTCATTCTTCTACATCTCGTTCAATCACCCAGCTATCCTCATATCACTCTATTCTATCTATCCAATCGTTTATTCGGTCATCCTCCTTTTCCCTCTACATTCATCTTTGTAACACCTCTTACTGCCTCTGCCTCATCTCTTCTTATAACTTGACCGAACCATCTTAACCTATTCTCTCTCATTTTCCCCACAATTGATGCAACTCCTAGACTCCCCATTATGTATTTATTTCTTATTCTATCCTTCCTAGTCACTCCACTCATCCATCTTGCCATTCTCATCTCCGCTACTCTCATTCTCTGTTCAGTTTTCTTGTCTACTTCCCAACATTCCGACCCATATAAATGGCTGGCCTCACTACTGTCCTATAAAATTTACCTATGAAATTCTATATACATTTTAAGTGTTAAATAAAAAAATAATGATTTTTGATAAATATTCTATATTTCCATCCCTTCTAAGGGAAAAATTTGACGATGAAATCATAGGTTTTCACTGTATATTGGTAATACTCTATTTAATAAAATATCCTATACAAGTTTGGAAATAATTATCAATTTTATATATTTTGTGAATTTTTTTTTTTTTTAGATTAATTCTTTAAAGCATGTAACAACAGACGTGGGGAAATGTCGAGCATGGATACGTACTACACTCAATGACGGAGTATTTCGTAGTTATCTCATGTCATTTGCCAAATACCGGCATTACATTATGAAGTTTTACAATAGAAAAGCTATAATACGCGACCACAACTCTTTTAAAAAAATAATTGAACTTATGGAGGGAATAGAATCGTACAATTTCGACCTTACCTTAAACTCTAGTCTCCTGAATACTTGGCCCAATGGTACATTAATGTTGGCCGGGTACTGGACGCCAGCACTCAAAAATAACCCGTTATTCAATAATAATCCACAATTAGCTGAAGCCGTTGACGTAAACGATACCGAAGACACATTATTAATAAACGATAACAACAGATCAGAAGATAGTTATACATCGTCGTTATCATCATCATTTGTGGACTCAGACTTCATGCGTAAACCAGCGAACATAATTGATGAAGATATTGGCTGGGATTTGATAATGAAACAGCCATCTACTTCTTATGTGACGACGTCTAAACCCATAAAAGATTACAAGAGTACTTATGAAAATGCAAAGGAACCAGTACCAGTGGTCACCTCTGTTAATAAAATGCCTAGTACAGCTGATGAAAATGAAGAACCCAAAAAAGAAGATAATGTTTTAGAAAACACATCAGATATTTCTAACATTATTCAACCTGCAAATATCGAAGCCTGTAAAGATACACCCAAACTTGAACACATTCAAAGTTTTAACGATCTGTTAAAGTCGTATAACTCAAGAGTAAAAAGTTATGTAGAAAACCCCGAGGTGGATGAATTGTACAAACAATTGACAGTTAAGAGAATAATCGAAGAGCAGCAACATAATGATCTCGATAGTTTGGACAATGTAAGCAGTTTTTAAATAATTTGATTAAAAAATTATATCTAATATCATGTTTCTAAACTTCAGGACGATGAATCATTTGTTAAATTATCTATGCATCCCGAACACTTAAGTTTAGAGGTATGTAAACTTAGTTTTCACTTGGCGTTCTTAAAATGTTTTCAAATCGTTTATATGGTGTTGTAGCTCCTCAAGGAATATTTGGAATACCTGTTTGCACCTGCTCATGAGTTAGGTCTAAATACTCAAGGTTTTATGTGTAAAGGCTGTAATGAAACGATCGGCATTGATTTTGGAAACTATTAGTAAGTGACTAGTTATTTATTATTTGTTTTAATAGCCGAGTTTTAATGTTTATTATTATTTTTTTTTTTTCATTACCTCAGTAAATGCAACTTTACAGCATGCTATTATTGTGTGCATTGTTTTGGTACAGAAATGTCGTGTATACCGTCGAAAATATTATTTGACTGGGACTTTAATCAGTATCCAATTTGTAACAGAACGTCCAAATTTTTTAATGAAATTCAATATCATCCACTGTTTAACGTTCGGAGCATAAACAGAAAAATTTATAAATGCAATAAAGAAATGGTCAAATCCAAGGTACAATCGAGATCTTTTGCAAAACATACAGTTTTATAAAAATGTGGTGATTTTTATTAATTTTTTTGTTAAAGGAATTACGTTGGCAAATTTACTATTTGTATAGATTTTTAGCCACTTGCAAACTCTGCAACACCGAAGAGCTTTCCAAAGATATTTGGCCCCGTGAATACTTTTATAATAATATACATTTATACTCGTTTTTTGTAAGTATGAACAGTGTTTAGGTTTTAATTTACTATTATTAAACATGGCATTATTTTTTTAGGATCTTCAAGAAATCTATTCTGGTGCTTTATTCGATTTTCTTGAACAAAAAATCACTGTCAGTCGAAACCATGTCTATAATTGTCAAACATGCAGACAAAAAGGCTTTATTTGTGAAATATGCAAAGACTCGAGAATAATATATCCATTTGATATTGCTGACAATTACAGGGTAAATGTTTTAAAAATATTATTATGTATTGTACATATCAAAAGTGTTAATGAAATAACCAATACCTTCTTAATTTAGCGTCAACCCTAGTCTATTTAAAAAATATAATACAATTTTAGTATAAAATATTCTATTTTATAAAATTATTTTTTTAATGGAATCTTAAGTATCTGAAAAAAATATATATTATGAGTTGAATTATGATAGCATAATTAATAGTATAAAATTGTTGTAGCCAACCCCAGACGATCAACTATAATACTAAAAATACAATTAAAAAACATTATTGTTATAACAATGTCTCAATATTTGTAATTCTACCATCTATGAATTCCCTGGAGACCCAGTTCCCACTAAACTGTTTTTTTTAAAGCTTTCGTGATAACTGTTAAAATTAATAATTATTTAAAATAATTTGTATTGTACAAATTAATCAAAAATGTTGTTAGAAATTAATTTTAATATTTTTTTTTTTTAAGTGTCATCTCTGCAAAACAGTTTTTCATCGCAAGTGTTATAAGGAAACAAAATCATGTCCTAAATGTGAAAGAAATAAAATGCGGCTGCACAGTAAAGATTTCTACGACGACGAAGACACAGAAATCAATTCATAGGTCTCTCGTTAGATTCTATAATTATTAATTGATGTAACAAAATAAGTTTGATTTTTTTTTTTTTAACTGTGATTATTGTTGTAAACCCTATTTTATACTTATTATTACATTATTAATACAAATTGTTTTGTTAGGTTTAGTAACATAATCTTAAAATTTGTATGTGCGTTTTGTTATTTAATCAAATCTGTTAAATATTCTTAATATTATTTGGATAAATTATTACTGTACATTAATACTTGTAATGCTGTACTTATACGTAAATATTAGAACTTAAAACATTTTATGATATTTTTTTGTTAAAAAATAAATATTTTACAATGAAGTAGGAAACAGAATTTATTACTGTAATGAAATACCTAACTGTGATTCTAAAAAACTCATAATGATGTATCAACCAAATCATAAGCCATATTTTATTATATTATTATAATTAATAACCATAAACTAACCAAGTGTACTACGAATTATGATGATAATCACCATTGTGTACTTAAATAATCTGCAGTTGCAATGTTTAAACCGTCTGTGTACCAACATTTGCAATCATATTATGCACATTTTACACCAAATCATTAAGTGTTAAAAGCTACTGAAATACGAAAAACCATAATATTGTATACCATATTATAGCAAAAATTATTAATATTTTTTAAACAGACATATCTTTACGTCTAACAAAACTTGCTTAAATATTAACAAAATATATAAACAATATTCTGTTAGCAATAATTATAACATGTTTAATTACTGTACAAGAAATAATTTTACTATATTATTAAAAGTATATTTAAACTGGAATTGGATAAAAGACTGATAAAACTTGTTTCTGTGTATGTATTTGTTTTACTATTACAAAAATACTTAATCGATATACATTGTGTTAAAAATATCACTGTTCGTTTATTCTTCAATAAAAGCGTCGTTCAAATGATCGGGACCCATGGAAAAGTCTATATCACTGAAATCTTCCATAAACTGTAATACAAAAAAAAAAAACTAAATTAGGTACTCTAATTTTTTGAGATTTTTAATTAAATTCTTTCGTCCATTAAATAAGTGAAAAAATGTTCCAGTGTCAATTTTATATTACATAAAATATACCAGCCTATCATATTATCATCAGACCTATCATATTATGTAAATATGATAGGTCCTATTTATTATCATTTCAAATAATTTTTCCTGTATGAAAACTTGTAAACCATCAATTTAATATAATTCTACTATCTAGAAAAACGTGACATATGCATTCACCGTTAAAACAAGAGTGGCTAGGTATAACTAAATTCTGAAAAAATTACAAACAACTTTTGTCCGATTCATAACGTGAAAAGTAAAAATATGAGGTGAATTTTTTTCTTAGGAATAGAATAATCTGTACAAAAAATATAATAATAATTTTTAACAAAGTTAATAAATGCATTAAAAATATTAATGAAATAATTAATCTCATAGATTTAAAATAAAATATGAAAATATATAAAGTACTTTCTGTGAAAACAATAAAAACATTAATTCTTACGCAAGTTTTTTAAATTACCTCAAGTAAATGGAAGTTTTGTAAATAACTTCAATAATGAGTTTAACTGATTAAATCTGACTTCATTATAGTTTTTTTAACATAAAAAAATACGGAAAAAAATGTGCAAACATTATTTTTGGTTTTATACAAAACAACGTTGTGCATTTATTTAATTACATTTAATATAATATTTAAATAAGCACTCAATTAGTACTTAGTCTTGACTCTTGTAGCTGTCTGAGTAAAAGGTTATTGTGTTTTTAATGATTAGATATACCGAAATATAAATATGTTATTATCGGGAAATTCATACCTACCTAATAGTAATCGTATATTATAGTCAGAGAGCGGTCGACCCGCTAATTCACTCTGTTTGGTCGGCTTATACATTCATACATTGTATGTCACATGCACAGTATAGATAAAATTAATTTAATCTGTCTTGTGCTACATTGGTCGCCGTTTTGGTTACAATTTATTATACTATTTTTACTATGATAGCCCTATTCAACTGTTACTTGTATGGTGACTCATGAAGTTATGACAAGGTTGATCGTCCACTCTTTGTTTATATTACAGGCTCTATATCTATATATAGTATGATTAGCACGTCATGTTACATATTATACAACAATACGCTGACTTTGTGTACTGTGTACATTACAAAAAAGTTACACAAATTAAGATAGAACTAGTCTCTTGTACTACCTCTACATCAATGTCGTCGCTGTAAATCGTACTCGGCAATGACTCGGTGTACTGCGAAGTTGAACTGTTCAAATCGAACTCGGCGTGAGTGCATGGAATGTAGTTTTTCATTTTCTAATAACATAATGTTAAAATATATACCGTCATTATAAGTTATAAAAAACAGAATACCGAGAGTTTAAATCAGTACCGTAGCTAGACATTTATTTTGATTGGGCCGACCGTCGATTTAACCATTAAGGCCTAAGGTATGATATAGGTACCTATAGATTATACCGCGCAAAAAACTAATTTGCACACCTATCCACATATTATATTATTTTGAAAAACAAATGTCGGTTATCCATGTGTACTCGATGCCACTCCCCTGACTGCGGCACTGATTAAAAATTTAGTTAAATTAGGTTTCAGGTGAAATTCGGATTCTTCGAACAAATTCTATAAAATTTACATATTTTTATTGTTGATTGAAATAAAAAGACGACATTTTATTCGTCATGTCTAAAATTATTTATTTTAGAAACAAAATTGAGAGGAAATATCATAAATTCAGACATTTTCAGAACATTTTAAAAGCTTACATACCTCCCGAAATTTAATATATATTTCAAATCTTAAAAAATAAATTGTACTTCGACAACGTTAAATTTTCCTCTCATACATTTTTGTTTGTGTACACTGTACCTACAAGACCTTTTTACAGTATTTTGAACTCCCACTGTTTTAATGTTTAAACAGTGATACCAACACCAAAACATACAGAATTAAATTTCCCGCAAAAATATTCTTATTGATTTTTTGTTCTCCAATCAGTTTTTAATGCATACGGTCTGTTTTTATTTTGACGTTTTAGACCAAAAAGCCAGACATAATTTCAACTACTTTTGATGGTTCGAAATCGAAATTCTATAAAAAGATTCGAGTTCTTTGACTACTCTACTATGTTATGTAAGAAGCTGATTTTCAAAAAAAAAAAATATGTTTTTTGTAGTTAATAAAATAAAATTTGTAATTTTTTCAATATAGAAACCCAACTTTTTTTCAAAAAAAAGCAAAAAATCAAAAAGCTGATTTTTTGTCTAAAATAAACCAAAATGAATATTACCATTGAGTATATATTGTACAATATATACTCAATGATATTACTCATAAAAAAAATTATTTACATTAAAAATAATAATTCTAAGTTTATACAAATTAACCAGTAAATTAATTGGCATGGACGAAATTCAATCAAACCACTTTTTTTTTAAATATTGCCTTAACAAAACTTCTTAAAAATAGACCGCATGCAATACCCTTATAGTCATTTTCGAATGTAGCTCTGAAAATCGATATTATGCAGCCTAATTTTATAAGGTTGATAAATAAATATTGGACTTTTGAGGATCCCAAATGAACAGAAAACTAATATGTAGATAATGTATTCATAGTAAATTATCTATGATCAACTTACTCCTTTAGGTGTTTCAAGTAGCTCCTCATAGTTTTCGTCATAAGTACATCTACCGTCGCCACTACCGTTCTTGTTCGGCAGCGCTGTACACGGTTCCGGTTGAACTTGTTTACTGACCGCTTCTATAGACTTGGTCTGGAAAAAAACACATTTTTTTTTGTATTTTATCAGTCATATTTGACCAGTAGTCGACCGAGCTAATTAAAGTTTAAGGCAGTCCGTTTTTTAATTTCAAATATACCTATATTTAAAAAAAATTCCCAAATCAAAAAATGACCAATTTAAAGAAAATAATAAAAGTGAGAGATAAAAATAATTTAGAATAAGTGTTGCTCAATTGTCGGAAAAGTTATATGTTGGATGATAAGTTTGGATATGAAGATTTATCTCGCATAAATATGTTTTGGATTGCTGCTATAAACATGCAGCAGTAATGTGCAAGTTAACAACATTTGATTTGGATGCCATAGTCAAATAAAAAAAACTTTGACGGAGATAAAATAGAATGATGCACGAATCGTTTTATTCAAGTTCGTTTTCAAATGGGTCAATAAAACAATATTTACTCCGCTAGACACCGAGTCCGATAGTGACGTGGTAGAACTTCTATTACTGCGATCTGAATACGCCACTTTAGAGATTTCTTCCACAACGTTAGCGATTATATTGCATTCCTGCGAAAAAAAAATAAATTATAAATTAATTTAAGAAATAACATAGGTCACAATTTTTAATAAAATAAGATTATTTTTTTCTCTAAAAATAAATAGGGCCTACGTGTAGTCTCAAGTCACAAGTATTCTACCACTAAGAACCAGATATGTAATATTGTTGAAAGAATAAACAACACCAGCCTATGAAATGTTTGCCATCCCTCTAAATCAGGGTTGGCATAAGAAATCCCAGTCCAAAAGAGCCCGGGTTGTTATTTTGCCGGACTAAACCCACTATATTTAAAAAAATCACGGGATGTTTTTTCAGATAAAATACCACTAAACTTAATACTGCTTTTCTGTATTTCGTAATTAAAAAATACATCACTTTGGGTAAAATTTCATAAAAATAATAATAATTATACAAGTACACAAAAAAAAAATAAACCACAAAACTATAAGTCACTTTTTAGTAAAAATTAAAGTTAAAAAAATATGAACTTTTCAAAATCTTTTTAAAAAAACAATGATGGATTTTGAATGGTTTTTTTTCGATAAAACCTGACAAATCCACCTAGGTAGTATTTCATATAAAACCTATCCGGTTTCCGGGTCAGGGGTCTTTTGGGATTTTATTACAAAAAACCTTATACATAGATGAAACTAAGATCTCAAAAAATCCCGCTCAATTTAAGTAAAGTAGTTTTTATTCTGGTGGACGATAGTATCTCTTTGCCAACTAATTAAGTCATGAGTTCAAAAACAACAAGTCATGCAAAAGAAAGTTGAATACCATCCCACGAAATAGATTGTAGTCACTATTTTTCATGGAAATAACTTTGGTTTAGGATACTGAAAATCTTGTAAGTCGTTTTCGATATTATGTGTGTACCACTAGGTCACCCATTTCTTACCTTCTTGTTTTCTACAAATTTGGTATTCACGATTTACCTATACACTTTATGAAATAACTGATACTAATTATATTTATCTATACCAGTGTTTAGTCCATATTGTAAAATATTTTAATACGAAAATAAGTTGATCGTACACACAGAGTACAACTAATTTTGTTTTTTTTGTAGTTAATCGGTATTTTAAATACATTTATTGTGAATTGTGGTATTAAAACATTTTTTTAAACTTTTTAAGTGCCAGCGCATGACACGACGTTATTTTAAGAAAAGGAAATTAACATCGACTAATTTGTAGGAGAATGATCGAAGTTTGGATTTTTTTGTTTGCTTGTTTGAACGAGAATGACATTTAACCGTCCACATTTAGTTTCCGAAAATTACCAAAAAGGTTATCCAAAATGTGTAGTATTCAACGCGTTATTATTGCGTTCTACATCTTGTTACAAGGTTTTTTTTTAAAAGTGATGGTATATATCTCGTACACAAAAAAACAAGATAAGAGTAACTACTTTAAAGTTCAAAATGCTGTATTTACATGCATTTTCAATTTTAATGTTCTTATTATACACTATTACTTTTGTTTATTGAAATCGATTATAACTTTGTTCAACCGGTTGGAGGTTCTGGGAGAGGGCTCTACTAAATAGTGTTATGTTATGTTACAGTTAGAATATATTTACATGCCTTTATACGTTTAAATTTTGAGACTACCAATGATCATAATGTTTTTATAAATGTTCCTAAACTAAATTATTATTTTATTAAATATCACGAATTTACTAATCAGTAAATTTATCTAAGACTACGATTAGATCAATAAAGTAATAACCAATAAACATTGGAGGTGTTATAGGTAAAATTAAATATATATCTTTTCATAATAAATCTTGGCCAGTTTCCATCAATAAACGCAATTATCATATTGTATAGTCGTTATAAAGTAATTGGTTAGTACTTCACTAATGTTTATAAAACTATTTTTCTATTATATTTTAAGGAAAGTACTGAAATATCTTTGAAAATCATTGTTTACCTCATCGTTAATGCTAACATCAGTAGACGACTGTTGTAAATTAAGCAAGCCAATGACGTCTGTTTCACAATTGTAAGATACATTTTCTTCAGATAAAATCATCTCATCGTTTTTTTCGCAACTGATCTATAAAACATATTTTTTGACGAATCTTCTTTAGTTGTATGTGCTATTGAGTGATTATTATGTAAAGTACATTAAAGTGTTATTAATACCTGAATATCTTTATTTTCTACGTGATTTTTGACGAATTGTTGGCAAACGGATTCAATGTATTCAGTATATTTATTCAGTTCTATCGAACTGGTCTCGCCTGATAAATCTGTAAATGATGAACTGTTTTCAGACAAATCTGTCGACTTCGAGGACTCGTCCAAAGCCAGTTGAGAAACCTGTACTTGCATTGATATAAATAATAGTAAGCAAGGACTTGTAGTACACGAGTAACACAAAAGAGAACAAACCATCAAGTCATTTTCTGTATCATCACAAACGGTCTCCCGATCCATTTCTACGGTACTCTTCACGCTTAATCCACTGTCTTTACATTGTATGCTAAAATACTTAATATCAGATGTTATTTCTGGATTTGATTCGACCGTAGAATCTGTCTTCAAAGTACTGTCTCCTTCAAATTGATAGAGCGATGGCGATTCCTAATGCAATTTTCATGTCAATTAGACAAAATACTTCTAAATAATAATCTTTATGCCTGTCATATCCGATTTTTAAAATAACAAAATGAAAAAAGTAAAATAAATGTGGTTTTATATGTGAAATGTTAAATGTATATTTTTTTAAGATTGAATATTTATGTCTATAGATATGTTTAACTTGATTCCTTCTAAACATATGAAGTATTCCATCAACCACGCCAAATCGTACCACATTTGACACCCAAGTAAAATGGGGTACAACTTTGTGTAGGTGTCCCATTTTTTAATTTTAACATTAAATTTACTAAACACGTTTTACTCTGATAAAACAATTTTTTTTATAGTTACTGTATAAGTGGCCTTCGTTTCCTTATTTTTTTGATATACAAGGACGTCAGTTTCATAAACTTTGTGTTGAACAACGAATCGTCGTAGAAAATTATGACCGCCATAATGTAAAACTGAAAAAAATTGTAAAAAAGGTATGTTTTTTTAATCATATTAATAATTACAGAAAATAGAATTGGTTTTTCAAAATTAAATATAATATTACAATATTATAAATTGTCGTTTCAATAATTAACAAACGAAATATGTTTAAATAGGTTTATAAAGTAAAAGAAACGTAACTATTTTATCAAGCACTATAGTATAAACTACAGTATGTGTAAATTGTAATGTGCTAATATATTTTTTAAATTTGAATTTTTATTTTTTTGTTCGACATAGTTTAACAAATAGCTTTTTAGTATATAATTTTGAGGTACCTCAACTACATGTAAAATCTTTACAGATATTTAATAAAATATTTTATAGACATAAATAAATCAACTAAATGTCAGTTAATTTAACTACACATAAACTACCAAATTATATTATTATAATACTTTATAGGTCCAGCTATAAATTTTACCAACATTTGCTATAACTACTATATTTTTTCCGTGTAACGAGTATGGAGTATCAAAAAAATTTTAATGTTATTCGAGTAGTAAGTATAGATTTTTATTGCACCTCTTTTCGTAAAGCTGGTGATTAATATAGATGTGATGTTTTAATAAATATTGCCAAGACAACGTCACACGTCACTAACGACAAAATAAGATATAATTCAAGAGCAGCTATCAATCTGTTTTTAACGTACTTACCCAAAACGGAAATGACGAACACAGCCAAAACCAGTAACCAACTGGTGTTAAAGATCCATTCGCCGATCATAGTACTATTATCTCCGGAGAAATTATTATAAAAACTAATGTAACGTCAAGACTTTGAAATTGCAAAAAAACAGATACTATATAAAAAAGGCGAAAAGAAAACTAAACGACCGACGGATGGGACGTACGTTTTGAAGAGCAGGCATATCGACGCAGATAAATACAAAATGGACGACGGTACGGTGTCATCACTCTTCGACAAGAGAGCCGTCAGGCGTTTCATTAAGCGATGTCCGTCAATCAGTAACCACTGAAGTAACCGCGGTCGTGATTATTACAATGGTTTGAACCACGACCGCAACAACGAAAACATTCAATCGCGCCTAAATCAAAAACTTACCGTCATTATACATTTTTTCTCACATTCAATGTTTTTTTAATTTTTGCGCGACGTCGGCAGTCAGTTATGTGTTACTTTTTTCACATGTTTTACAGTAGTAAACATTTTTAAAAATATATATAATATAACAGTTAGTTAAAAAAAAACAAATAATACTATCTTGTGTAAATTGAAATATGTTGAGATTTATGTGTTATATTTATTGAAATCGATGCAAGTATAAACCATTTTGTAGACAACAAATCGGGTTAGGTACTTAATTTTTGAAGTTTTCCTCAATAAAAAAGTATGACTACAGATTTGTTATTTATTTTTTAAATAAATGGTAACGCGTGTAATTTACTAACTTATGAAGTTCAAAATAATCTATTTAAAATTTTGACTGAACGGTTAGGAAATTATAATGTTTACATAAATTATAGAATATTTGTATTATTGTAAAAAAAATTCACTTCGTCACATTCAAAATCGAGAAAAATAATTCCTGTAGACCTATGACCACTAGCGCTGCAATGTACTGGCTTTTTATATTATGCATAGTCCATAGATTATTATAACCATATGTGTTATTACATGGATTTTACGGTTAACACATAATTGTGTATTAACGCTGGATAGGCAATTACTATGAGTAGGGTCCTTTTTTTAGATTTAATAATAGTAATAGTACTATAAATTATGAAATCGACAAAATCCACGATCATAATTATTACACAGGTATCCTATCCATAGACTACGGACCATAGTATATTTTACAAGGTTAGCCAAAGGTTATTAGTTATGAATGTTTCATGACATGACTTTTATAATGTTAATATAATTGTAAACTTTTTTTAAAATAAATTCACCAAGTCAAACTAAACGGTTATTGTATCAATACACCGAGAATTTATTAAATAATTTTAAGAGATTCAGTTTCACTTTATTTTTTTGAATTCGCGCAACCAGGCGATCTTGGTCCCATCTTGTCACAACACATAGGCCCGTCACCTTGAGTTTTCTTCGGGGGACATCCGGTCAATCTAGGCTTCTCAGGGTCTTTGCAATATCCATACTTGAACAATAGCGGACGAGTCAAGTCGTACTTGTTTTTTCCACAAAGCGTGTTTGTTGATTTTTTTATCTCTTGCACCAGACACTCTTTGGGGGTCTTTGTTGGTTTCGAATATGCTCGTGCAAGTTGTGTCTTTCCAAGGACATTAATCGTTGTTCTCGCATACTTGGCCACCTTGAGTGCTTGCATTCTATATTCTATTTAGTTAAATTTGTTTAAAAAAATTTCTCTCTTAATGTGTTAACTGTATGTTTATGGTTGTTGGATTTAAGTCGTCAAATGAATAAAATATAAACTTCCACGACCTATTTCGTTATTAGCCAACAACACGTTTTTAAAATAATAGGTATGTATAATGTAAATCTAAATTTAGAACAATAATTGATGGAATATGACAAATAAGAATATTTGAAAATAATTTATATCTTCCTATTTCTGTACTCGGTGACCAACGTAATAGATGTTAAATGACTAGTATTTAGATATTATTAGGGTTTTAAATAAAAACACTAAGAGTACATTATGCCCCTTATTTATTAAGGACTTCAGTATAGGCAATTTTTTGAAAAAACTTAATTCAAAGGTTAAACTGTGATGTATAATTATTAGTTTAGTATTTAGGACTCTATTTAGGTAGTTAATTTATTTTTTGGACTATCATAGGATAGCATCCTTGACAGTATATTTAAAATAATTTCATCTAAACACATTGCAACGCATGTTTAGATAATGCGTTTTTTCGACAATAATTGTGGTTATAGATGAGGAACATCTATTATAAAATCGAAAGATAACAACATTTCGGTGACAATGGCGAATCCGATTTTGAAAATAAAAACATCAAAAGAATTAAAAGTTATTTTAGAAAAGTAAAAAATTTAACTATATATGTTAAATATTAGGTTTACCAAAAAAAGAGTATGGCATTGTCTCAAAAATCTTGTCATCTTTTGTATTTTAAGTATTTTAAGCATGTTTAAGTATTTTTGCTCTAAAATCATCACGAAGAGAATAAACGCATTATGCTTATGTATGTTTTAACGTTAAAAAATTGGGTGTATAAAGCCACTTAAGAAAGGGCAAGAGGATACATTTTTAAAAAAAATTACCCAGTTGTCAGTTATTTTAATTTTTCATAGAAAAAAAAGTTATTACTGTAATAATAAGAAGTAAAAAATGCTAAATGTTTTTTTACAATGTTAAAAAAACTTTGTTGCTTTAAACCCATCAAATAATTTATTCACCGATTAGTTTACTTGGCACATAGTGTTTTTCTGTTTTAAGTTCTACCAGCTAACATGTATTTTTGAAGTCTAAACCAATTTTGAATTCTTGTTTTTTTTTATTACAGAGATGATAATAATTTATTATTACCTTTTATATGAAATCACACAATGGCTACAAACAAGGAACTAAATAATCACTTGTAACAAAATGAGAAAAAAGTTGTCTGAACAGTGAATACTAACTAAATAAGCTACTTATTAAATAGTAGGTACATACTACTTTAATAATAAAGTTAAAACTATTTCATGAATTATGTACCTAATATAATTCATTATTTATAAAAACTATAACAAAAAGCTATAGCCACACAATATAACAATGTATAATATTTAAAAATGAATAATTTTTATTTCATTTGCATTTCAATAGATAACAAAATTATTGTGTCGTCAACTCAGTCCAAAATAATATAATTTTTTTTTTCTAATTTTATCTTTACATTAAAAAAACTTGAAATCTATAATGCAACAAAAACTATGATATTAAGAAATATATAATATCTATATATGTATTTATATTATAATACACAAACAATATGTAGGAATCGTAGCGACACAGGTATTTTACATCATAAGTAGTAAGTTCTTATAATATAATAGTATAAGGTTTATAGATAGTGTTATCTAAAAATGAGATAACATAGAGAGTAAAATTATTGTACTATCACATTTTGTAGTGAAATATTCAGACTTATATCGACATACATGTTGACGGGTTACTGGCCAACTGCTTGTAAGTATTTTTCGGCTTCCTTTTCCTTCTAATAAAGTTAATGAAATTTTTTAACACCAATGACTCTGCTAATACCTAAAACAATAATAATAAACGTTTAAAAAATTGTTGAATAATATAAAGAAAATTATATTATTGTAAATTATCAGAAAAAATAGTCTTAAGTAAATTTTGGACATAGTAATTATATTCAAAGCCTAATTCATGATTATGTATAACCAGTAAAAAGTAAAACACCTAAGCTTCACATTGAAGCTAAAATAAAAATTGAGACTTTATTAAAATGTGTTTTTTTAACTACAGTATTCTAGTATGTCACTTAAAAGAGCTTATTTGATTCCTGGTTACAATGGTTTAGTGATAAAAATTCTAAGTGCATGTGTATACACATAGAATTTAGATCACTTATATTAAATGGGTTATAAAATAAAACAATAAAGAACCCCTAAATTAATTACCTCAATCATAATAGCTAGGTAAAGATGCAACAAGGGAAAAGCCAATAAAGTAACGAGGTATAGCATTTGTTTTTTTTTATGTGTTCGATTCAAAACGACGATATCAAATAACTTTGAAAATGTTGGAATTGCGTTAGCTTGTAACAATAATGTGAACAATGTCAACCCAACAACGACGATGGTGAAGGATACTGTTAAAAAAATATAAATAAAAACAATATTTTATCATCCAAATCGATTTCAAAGAAATTATTCTTACAGTTCTTATAAAATGGTTGGCGATGAGGATGTCCTTTGTTTAAGACCAACGCTAGAATGATATATTGATATGCACTGGTAAAAAACAACGTCGTATTCTCCCAACACACAATCATATCATTGTCTGACCATCCTGGAGTAGCAGGAACAAACCTGAATAAACAATAGAACATTTCATAAATCAAAAAATTATATTTGTTTTTGATGGGATTAGGGGGATCGTTCTAATGTTACTTTATTCTCTCAATCAAATTTTTATAGTTTTTTTTATTATCTGTGTAGTAGTATTTGCATTTTAATATTTATAGGAACTATGTATGCTAAACTGTTTTTTCCCTAATACCTAGGCCACATTTGATCATGTTACTTTTTCTGAAAATTCAGGATTAACGGCACCTTCAGACTTTTTAATCGATCTGACAACCGTATGTTTAAATATTTTCAAAAAATACTTCGATTTTATAAAACATGAAAAAAATATTTTATCCACGTTAATGGAAAAGGCAACTAAGCAACTTGATTTTGACATGATCCATTCTGGGTGTAAGGTACACGAAACATATGTAATCAAGTTATTATTTACTGTACGACTACATAAAGAATGTAAGTGGAGCAGTGCTATTTCAAGCAAATCAACAGCGCCAAATCCAAAATTAAAATTTTACAACATAATTAATTGTTTTTTGTTAGAAATAGATATTTTTCAATTTATTTTAGTAATATTATTTTACTTTGAAGAACAGTAATAAATGTTCATTATGTCTTATTACGTTTAGTGAGTATGATTGAGTAGTTAGACACTAATTATCGTTAACATTTAATTTTCCAGGTTTAATATAACAATAACTAATTTAGAGGAAAGGTAAAAATATGAAAACTTGTAGAAGATTAAGATCACACTGTATAAAAATACTACAGAAAAAAATTATTAAAAAACGAATCATTAAACTCTATGAAGTATTCAGTGGATCAGTTTAAAAAAATCACTAAGTATAAAAGAATTTCATCATAAACGTCAGTAAAAAGTTACATTAAAAAATATAGGTGTAAAACAATCGACATTTATTTTATACATGTAAGAAATAAGAAATTGTTTATTTTTTTGTAAAATCGGGTAATTAAAGGGACTTGTAATGCTGCATTTTTTTATTTGCCATAACTCTAATAAATAAAGATGAAAATAATGCAGTTATTGTTAAATGTGTAAAAAAAACATTTCTATTCGTTTACAGTAGACATGCCATTTGGATTCGAAGTGTAAAGAGTTACCTACGCCACGTATTGAACGCCGTACATTGTTAACCTAGTTAATAGTACGCTGACGCGCTGAGTTGAAGCCGCAGTCCTAGTGAATTCAAATAAAAAAATATTTTTAATAAATTAGAAAGAAATCACAATATGACAACGTCTCATTTTACCCGATTTGGCATCAATGCTTACGAATAAAATGCATTACTAATTATTGGCACAACGCTAAACGGGCAAGTGGCATGATGATACAACCTACCGTCTCGTGCCCATCGGCCACAGTTCTGCATTGGCCACCGTCGTCAATCTGTTGCAGGTGTGCGACCCCCACTATGCTAAGCCACCGATAGACAGACTGTACGTGTACACACACAATCGCCAGCCGTCAAAGGCTAAAATATTGACAATTTAATAATTTATTAGTTTTTCGAAATATTGCACGCACTCTATCCGTAGAAGCGGCAACTATATCACGTGCAACCAAAATTCGTTAACATTGTTTCTCTATACCACGATTTAAGATAAATCGTGCTCTATACAATATATACTCAATGCTAATTACTTACTCTTTTAATTGATAGTAACCTAATCAAATCAGAAATCCCTAAAATTTCAAATCCCTCTCAACTCTCAGTACAAGCTCAACTTTAAGTACTTCATCGAGATTTTTTTATTTGCATTTGATAAACATGAAAAATTAAAAGTTTAAAAGTTTAACAGTTTTTTTTAGTCACAGTTTATTATGCCTTATAAAAATGGTTATGTATTACCATTGAGTACAACTAAGTAAATTATAAGTTACTAAGTTAGTACCAAGTTAGTAAATTATACTAATAAAAAAACAAAGGTCAATCATTACAATACAGCAAAACCAACAACATATTATTTATAGTAAAATTAATTTTTAAAAGAAACCCGTTCCTTTATATGTCCTAAGATAAATTAGGCCACTTCAATAAAATAAAAATGTTTTTGTAATTTCTACAGAGTACAGTAAAGTTATTTTAGAAAACACATGTCAATATTGAAAATGTATATAACGTCAACTTATATCAACTTTTATGATGCACCATAATCCATTAATTATTTTTCGCACTTTATACTTAGACGTTAAAAAAAAGATCATCGTTTCCTCTAAATTTTGTTATAAATGTAAAATATGACAATATATTACCATTTCTGTAATCCTAGGTAAAATAATGATGCTCGCTGAATCAATGCACAAACTAAAATTTGCAAGACCAACGGTATCAAATTTTTTGCTGTCAATATTCTAGATAGCGGTCGATGAGGATGAACTTTATCCGTAGGTTCACTGTCGCCCATTACGATGGCCAATGATGTAGTAAGTACAAAATCAAAGTACAAAAATTGAAAGTTTCCTAACATAATTCCTCTCTGAAAAAAATATAAACGCGTATTATTGGTGTGGAGCAATTGTAGCACAAAAAAGAACAAGAGTCAGCTATTGTTATTACACTATAGAGTATAACCAATGTTATGAACTGTATTATGCTGTAGCACGTCATGTATTTAAATATACCAAAACTCGTAACCAGAGCGCATCGTCCTTCTTGAATCAGTTTTGTCACACACGTTACGTTTGTTACTTGTGATGTAAAAGGAGCAGCTATTGATGCTTCAGCTTGCGAAAGTGATATCCCTACATGGGCCGCTTTTAAAGCCTGTATTACATTACAATGTCATTAGTTATGAATTATGGTCACAAAAATTTTGTATGGACAAGTTCTTTTTTCACCAGATATGAAGGGTACCAGGAAAGTACCGGGAAAGTCACTTTTTTTTTAATTATGTTTAAAAAATTCTAAAAAAATGTTTTAAAATACTTTAAAACTTTTAAAAAATGTTCAATTATTGTTTTTAAAAATAAAGAACAGATTCGTTTTGTATCAAAACGAATTTTATAACAATAAAATGGCCATTTTTACAAAGTGAAATGCCTGTTTTTTTCTCTGTACTCTTCATATATTCTCAAACTTCCCACTCGTTTTATTATAAATAATTTCTTTATATAATGGATATTGAAAATTGATAACATAAAAAATTGATTTTTTTTGGTATTGTTTATTTTCTTCAGTGTGATCAAAATTACAAAACTTACACCCGCATCATTGGCTCCGTCACCACACATAGCTGTCACATATCCCAAACTTTGAAAATACTCCACAAGTTTCACTTTTTGTTCCGGTAACATACGTCCGAACACCAGACCCTTGGTGACAATTTGTGGTAACCAACTAGGAAATTCGGATTCCAACACCGACCAAGATTTGCCATCAATAGCGTACTGCATACTACCAGATTCCTGTATAATTCATGTTACAATTAACAAGTACCTATGCATTTTACATGTTTAACTTTAAATCGCATATACGTCTAAATACATACATCTAAGCTATGACCAAACGCTGGATCTATCTTGATGTCTGCTCTGGTTATGTCGGTACTAGGCGTTGCTGTAACAACAGCGAGCTTAACGCTAGGTTGGAGCATGGAACATTCCTTTGCGACGCTTATTCCGGTATACAGATTATCTCCTGTTTGTATTTAATTTTAATAAAATATATTGTTAGAAAATTTAACAAATGCTATGCTCTTGAGTCTGACCTGTAACCATTACGCTTTTTATATCGGCAGCCCTTAACTGGCGAATGACCGACTTGGATTCTGGCTTGAGCTTATTCTGCATGACAAGAAATCCGAGAAAAGTTAAATCGCTTTGAACCTAAATGACAAGTTTATTCGATTTTAGTACACTTTGGAAATTTTACTTTCATCAACAATAACTCTATCCTAAATCCAGACTTACGTCTTCTAATCTCAAGTGATATAAGGTTTTCCAGTTTACTTTTTTCGGCAAGTTTTTGTATGCCAGTGCTAATACTCGGTACCCTAGTGAGCCATATTCTTCCAGCACAGCAAAAATGTTTGGAGGAACTAAAAATAAAATTAAACAAAAACGATTTTTATAAAATCTAAAAGAAAACTTTTTAACTTGACAAAATATTAAAGTATTTTACTCGTATCTAACAAACAACTGTGTATGATTTTTTCCGGCGCCCCTTTACAATACACGGTATAACCTCGGGAGCCGAGAACTTGACCGATGACACACATACTTTGGGTTTTAGAGTTAAACGGATACTGATGTACAATACCGATTTCGATAGGGCTCTATAAATGAATAACACAACATACCTGTATAAAATAAATAGAAAAAATCGAAAGACAAAACACGTTTGACAAACTTCAAAAACATATTCTTACTTCTTCGGAATCTAAGTACTTTGGTGGTCTCACTAACGATGGTAACAGATTATCGTATCTCGCACTATCAGCTCCTGGTTCTTCGAAGTCCTACGAAGCATAATAATTATGTAATTGTTTTAGTGTTTACCAGTTATTTTTTTTATAAATTTACTACAATTATTTATCATTATACCCATTTGGTAGCGTTGAACATGCTCAAATCTAACGGATCCCCCGCCAGTGACCCTTGTATGTGTGTTAAAGAATGGCAGGTGGCCAAAGTAGCTATAAGCGGAGATCGCACATCTAACTCGGTTAAATCATTTACAAGTTTTTTGGAAATATCGGTTGTAGTATCTTTGCATCCGTAAAAAGGCAGAACTCCTGAAAAATCTAACCCGTCTTCTGTCAATGTTCCTGTCTACAATTTTAAACATATATTCGTTTCAGTAAATTCGTTTTGTACGAAATTAAAAAAAAAAACCTAATAATTGATTATACACTGCATCAAACAGTTTCTTAATGAAAAACATGAAAACATTTTGTAATACAGTCATTTATGAATACATATATCAGGGGCGTATTTAGGGGGGGGGCGGCTGAGGGGGCTCCAGTCTCTCCCCAAAATTTTATTAGTCTGCCCATAGGACCTATAGGGTGTGAATTGTAGAAGTTTAATATTGTCAAGTTTTTATTTGGAATTAGTGTCTCAGCCCCCCCCCCTAAAAAAAAAATCTAAATACGCCCGATATATATAACGGAGAACTCAAAACTAAAACAATATAAAAGATTATTATTAGTTATTTAATGGTACATATTAGATAAAACCAACCTTGTCAAAGCAAACGAGTTTTATTTTACCGGAGACGTTAATACGAGACTGGCATGTACAATATATCCTTTGGTTTTTCAAGCGTTGGAGAGAATGTACAATGCCAATTGTCATTGCTGCCGGTAAAGCTGGGGGCACGACCACAGTGTAAATGTCCAGACTTCTTATGACAATGTACTGAGCTGAAGCCTATATCATAACAAATTACAATTGACATACCTGCATGTTCATTGTCCAAGCATAAACCAACCAATACCGAAAAAAAAATTTTTTTTTTTACTATCAACTTAAAACGAAACAACATGAACAACTTTTTATTGAAGTTGGCCGTAACAAATGATTCACTTTTTGAAATTTGAACGCAGTCGGGACTCTGACTTACTTGTCTCTTCATGTATAAATAAGCACAATATCCCATTCCCAGTGTTGCCACAACAAACATAATCATGACAAATTTAATTGAGTCCTGATAGAATTCGAAGTCCATTTCCTTAGGAAACATAATTGACCGTATCAGATTTCCTTTGGCTGTAGAGCTACCAGTTCTCACGACTAACGCCAAGACCTGAAATTTGTACGCTGCTTTTAACACGTCAACTTGTTCGAAACATAAAACCAAAAATAAAAGATGAATACGTAACACGCTAGCCGAATAAAATAAAATTGGAACTAATTCAGAAATGACGCAGCGAACGTGTTAACTCACATTGTTTCATAATGTTTATGAGACTCATTCATCACCCTACCTGAGCACCGGCGTAAAATCTTGATTGTAAAATCCTGGTTCCACAGTACAACGTATGATGTTTATGAGCAGAGCTAATATAGCAAAACTCTTCGATGGACGAAGGAGGACTTTTCGTTATGGGATCGCTTTCGCCTGGGAAAAATGTAAACCGTTTCTTTTTATAGTTCACACAATTAGCGAAGGTCATAAAGGTTTCCTACACAGTAAATCACCACACGGCCGTATGAAAATGTGATAATAAATATTGGATAAGTATAAAATTTTTTTTTTTTTAATTTATTTCAATTTTATGGTACGTTGTCTATGTTCAGTAAAATTATAGTTATGGCATAATTTTTAACGTTAATAATAATTTATAACCTGTTAAAAGGCTTTCGTCCACGATACAATTACCGGAAAGCAATAAAGCGTCACACGCTATATTGCCACCGCCCGGTGGTATTACTATCACATCTCCGGGAACCAAGTACTCTGCTTTTACTTTGACACTCTCTGCGCAATAACAAAATAACATGTATCAAAACCAAAGACTGTAACAACATCCAATATGACATTGCGGAGTTTATTAACGAAATATATTTACCGCCATCTCTTCGTAACACCGTGTATATATCACAGTTATGAGTATCTACATTCTCTTTGAGTGACTGGCTTTGCTGTAATTGTAAAATTAACACACGAAATGAATAAAGTCGACAGTTAGGTTAATATTATGAACCATTTAATAATAACGACAATAAAACATATAGTATGCAAACCTGTTTCAGTTGATATAAAGACGTCCCGATCGAAAAAGCTGAACTAACCAAAACGCACACTGCGTAGATTTCGTAATCATCGAAAAACCATAATCCTATGCTAAATATTTGGAAGACATAAAAAGGATTTAACACCTCTACGAAAAACAACTTCCAATACGAAGGTACTTCCACAATGATTTCATTTTTCCCAAATAGTTCCAACCTGGACAATGAAACTATTATTAACTTAAACACAAGTTAGCAACAGTACAGGTTGAATTAATTGTTATCACATATTAGGGTTGGGGCCAAAATTCGAATTTCCGACTATTCGAATTGTTCAATTTGTTCGAATTCCAGATTTCAGAATATTTATTATTATATTCAATATTATTGGAATATCAATGGCGAGTTTGTAGATAGTGAAAATAGGCCGGAGAGGATTATGGATTCCTACTTAAAAACTAGAATCATTCGAAATTCCATTAATTCGAATTTCACCCACCTCTGATGCATATTATAATAATTATAATAGAGCTTAGAAAATATTGATACTGTTCTAAAACATAATGTATGATACACAATGTGTGTACAATACAAGATTTAAAATTATTATTGAGATCAAAACATAAAAATATTATAACTATACTTATTAGTTTAACTTATATTTTATTACAACTTTAATATGCTTAACAGCTGATAATATAGTATTTATAATTTTGGCGGCGATATTAATAAGATAAACATAAAAGTAATTTATTCCGTGACATAAAATATGAAAATATAATTGATTCAAAACCTTAAGACAATCAAAAGATACGATCTTTAATAATATTTGTTTATATAAAACTAACGACATCACTGAATCGACGTTTAACCAATGGTATAACTTATATGGAAAAATTGTATCGAATCTTTATTGCCCTTAAATAAGACGTCAATAAACATGTACATAACATTTGTACAAAACATTCAAGATACATTTTTAATTATTTGCGAAATTAAAAAAAATAATGTAGATTATTTATTCACTTGAAAATTAATGATAATTGATATTAGACGCAATAATTATGACATATCGTTTTAAATTTTCCCACAGCTATGCACACGATGTACAGGTGAAGAGATTATTCAAAGTTATCGGTTAAGTTGTTTTTACACGACTCTTAAACCGCACTGTGAAACACGTTTTTATCGTTTAATTAGATATTTAGTGTTTCACTTTGTTGGAATACTTTATGCCAATACCTCAGACTAATAAATCTACACAGATTTCTTAGTAAAATTGCAGGCTGAAAAAATTATTTTTAATTAATTAAACGTAAAAAAAGAAATATTCAAGTTGGCAAATAAATCAACTCGTCCTTCAGATAAAATGTAATAATATAATGATAACCTCCTAATTAGATTCGTATAGGTATACTATTGTAAGTACGTACTGGCTTGCGTGCTCTTCCGCCGTTAGGCCGTGACATTTTTCCAACAGCTCTGATAGCGTCGTGGTTCCATTGTCCAGACCTTGTAGCAATCTAAACACATTCTCTCTGTCGTCCCATATATACTTCAATAACTGATGTTTAAAGTGTCTAACAGTTTTGGGTTCCCCTTTAAAACATTTGATAACCGACGTTTTGATTTCGTAGATTTTGTTACAATCGTTCGCATCCTTGAAACAATATTATACATATTTTTAGTTTAGTATAATGTGTATGCATTTGTATAATCTAACATAGAATTAGTAATAAGCATTGAATTTAATTATTATAAATTAAAATTAAAACTATAAAGAAATTATAAATGTCATAAAAAAAAGATCAACAATTAAACTTTCACTCCAAATTACAGCTTCCATTGTTCTTATTGTACACTATAACAACATTTCTTGTTTTGTTAATGAAACCTACTCTTTAGTTTAATGCGCGATCGGCTAAATATATTTATTTTAAAGAAGCTATTGACTAAATATAATTAAGTTATTACAATGAAATATGACGTTTTGTTCATCTTTTTGTATGTCTTGTAACCGTACGAGACAGACAAATAACACGCATTACGGGCATAATGAACCCCTACCAAATATTCCCACAAACTCACTGACAGGTGTTTTCGTAACCACTAGGTTTTGAGGATTATAAACAATAATATGTACCTACAAAACATTATAAAACTACATTTTTTACACTAATGTCTTTACAATTGAAGGTATTTACATGAAAAATATAATCTACTTGAATAAAAATGTTGCCTAAAAAAAATATAAAAATAAATAAAATCGTTAATCATTTATCTGTTTATAATAATAGTTATAGGTGTATAATAAACATTATTAAAAGCACAGAAAGCTTTATTTTTTTTACAAATAGAGACTAAAACGCAAAGTCCCTTTCTGAAGTATCTACCCAATCGATTTTAACATTTTTTTGTTATATAGTTTAACATCTTCTCTATGGGTATAAAAAGGTAAAATTTTTATTTTTGTTTAAAAAAATAGTAAGCTTTACATAAAAAAAACGAAACATTGAAATCCGTCCAATAGAACCACTAGAAAATTACTTCTACGAAAGTTATTTTTGCACCTTAAAATTAGTCGGCATATTAAAAATGGCTACTGGATACATTTTTGTCAAATAATGCCTATCCTTTGCCTCTTAATAAATAGCGCTTTCCGTTCCTCTTAATTATAAAATAGTAATTTCTGTTAATAATAATCTCTAATTTAAATACCTAGGTCTCTGAATAATCGATGTACGTTGAGCTCATAGGATTACATAAACATTTAAAACGCTATCCGAATTTTTTTTTATACTACGAATCATAATCAATAGTAATTAATGATAATTTACAAGTATCGGCATTCGACTATAAAGTATATTATTGTTATGTGTTCGTAGTTATTAGTAATAAGTATGTTGTTAGTAAGTGATTTTTCCGCTTTGTTTTGCTAGTATCTGTTAAGTATCTTTTAGCCAACTTTCCAAAGTTTAACATTTATGATAACGTACTAACCAATAATAAAGCTCAACGAGCACGATGGATAAATCTAGAGAATTGTTTAATTACTTACAGTTAAACCTTGTTCAACCGTGTCAGTTAAATGTATACCAACTCGCATACTACCACATTTCAACTAAAATACAAATAACCGTCATTAAATCGAGTAACTACCGACGCCCATATTTTGGATAACGTATCGCAAGCCTATAATAAATAATTTTAATTGAATAACTACTATTGAACACCGGTTCAGTATGTTCATACAACAGCGGCGATGGAGTAATGAATGGATTGTTGAATGCTTGCTACAGGTTTTTAAGGTATACATATTATTATCTCTTTCTTCGGGAGCCATTAATCGCGAGTGCTCGTTTCGGAATTCCACGGGTGCCTTTATAGAGACCCCCAACAAGCTCAGTGTAGGGCTAGACGTCACAAGAAAACCGGATAGTGTCGCTAACTAACCAAACGGACAAGTACCTACATTGAAAGAGAAAATAACATGTGTAATCTAAAAACAACAAATCAGTCGAAGATTCTCTAAAAATTCCAAGCTTGCTTAATTCTCATCACTTATGCCTAAATAACTCCCACGTCATCTTCGGTCTTGCTACAATTAATCAATAAACAAAACAACGTTTGCTAATATATGCTTTCAAATGATAAGTTTTAGCCTAATCTAAATACTGTTTTTAAAGTATATTTCTTAAACGTTTTTGTAAATAGCTCATTAATTTTGACTTCAGCGATTTCTAAGTAAATTAATAAAATCAAAATTTACATTATCTAAATATCACATTTTTCAAAAAACAATTTGTTTCCATACTAAACACTACTACTTTTAAGGTTGTATCCAGCCTGTTTTGGTGTGTTTTGAAATTACCTGATACCTAACATACTAATATTCGCCATCAATACCTATCACATCGTATTACAAACTCACCTTCCCATTTTTTGGATGATTTGAATTTAGATTTTAGCCTGCTCATCTGTACATATAAATATACTTTAGTAACAAAGAATAAAAAATAATAATATCATAAAGAGTAATAACGCGCTATTCTAGTGGGCATATTTTTGTTATTTAAAATCTAATTTAAATAAACGCTTCGGTTTAAGCTACAATGTCTTATTATTATTTTTGTTATTTTTTATCTGTAAACAATTTTATTACACATTGTACTTATTTAAAAATACTATTACTAAGTGTTCGGTTTTACAATAAGTAATATTTTGATTATTTTTTCATTATAAAAAAAAAAACTATTATATATACATAAATGAGTGTATCTATAATATATTATAATAATTAGATACATATTAAGTAATATTTATATTTTATATAATCAACAAATATGTCTCAAATGAACTCTCAAAATATTAATTTTAAAAAACAATAGCATATTTTGTACGTAGTAAAAAAAAATAAAAATAAAAATCTACTCAAAGTAAAAGCTAATAAACATGTGTTAATTCTAAAATCAATAAAACAAATTCAACCTTAAAGAATAATGCTGCTAAAAAAATAACATTGTATGCTATATTATATAATATATTATGATAATAATACTTCATACTGCCTGTTGAAAACAAAATCATGTGATGGTTGAACGACTCTAGTCACGTGTTAAATGTGTGGTTTAGAATCTAATTTTATTGAAGTAATCATTAATATTTACAAATCCATACTTGTATTAATGAACAATGCAGGCGTTAAATTAATTTGATTATCTAAATCTAATTGGCCTAAATATTATATTGAAAATACGGTAAAATCACATGTGATATCAATTAAACTAATCTATAATAATTTATAACATTGAATAAGATTCTCTTTTTTTATTCACTAAAGCACGAGACGCATGTGATATCGTATTGGAAGTAATATTTTACTTCTTAATCTATCATTATTACAAAACAACGCTGACTATAATTTTTTTTTTTAAGTTATAAATAAACAATGGAATAAAATCAGCTATACAGAGATTAAATTTGGGCTCAATAACTAATACCAATTAAGAAAAACCTAACAGGTTTGTCGTGCTCACTGAAGTAAATGAACTCTTCAGCTCTAGTAAATGGAATTCTCAAAATATGTCAACCATTTTACCTACTGCCTTTCCATTATTTAAAAAAAAAAGTGTAAAAGAAAAATATATACACAAAACGCTTGCCAAGTCGGAGTCAACATGTAGACTTTCTTGATTTTTAACTTTTGGAGAATTCAAAAAGTATGAAAGTTTAGTGAGTAAAATTGTTTTTATGATATACAACTATAATGCTTTGTAGTGAATGAACTATATTCTATAACTATATTAAGTTCTGAAACTCTTCACTACACTTCTACATGTCAATCAGCCGGTTTCACCAACTTTTGTAAGAGTTTAACTTATTGTTAATCATATTTAAGAAGTAGTTTGTGAAAATTGGGTTTCATCGAAATTTGTTAGCGTTCGTTAACACATTGCTAAAACGATTGTTAAATAAATCACCCGAATTCGGCTTGTTAAAAATTTAACCGGCATGTTAAAATGTATTGTAGTTACCTACATATAATATTTATATTTTTATAGTTCAGAAATTGTTTTATAATTTTTGTTGACTGAGTATACTAGTAATATATAACAATGAATTTGATAAGGAACTTCTTTATATTAAGTATTTAGAGAACAATAGTATATACAACTTCGATAACCCTTTATTAGGTAAGCAGAAGTTATTTTATGTAGGTAGATAGGGTAAAAAGGAATGGCACAGACTTGTATTATAAGTTCAAATATCATAATTTATTGTATTTTGTAATTTGGATCATATTATTATGTCTTGCCTATCCTGGAAATAATGGTGGAAATAATTTTTACTACTGCCTACTTTTTTTTTAGGCCTTCAAAATAGAAAAAATGATTCTAATGACAATACTTTGATGACAAAGTATTTTTAGAAAAGTATAGGCTATCTAAACAATGTGTTAAAAAAAAATTTATAAAAACCGAAAGAAAAAGAAAGTAAAATAAAATGCCAAATAATAACAAACTGACAATTAAATAATACAATCACTTATCACATATCTTAATAACCAATGAGAACGTTGGAATCGAGGTAACCGCTTTGGTAGCCCAACTAACGTTTTGTTAACTTAACAAATAAAATTTAACAACAATAATATTGTTATGGTGAAACTCATTTTTTTAACCAGATGTTAAATTTAAATGAATTGTTAACTAACATTGTGTTAAGAGTGTATTTAACAATAGTTGGTGAAACTGACTGAATGTAATTCTAATAAGACCCTAAATTACAAAATTCATTCATCGGTTTCAGAGATATGTGTGGCCAAAGAAAAATTTAGCTAAAATTGAGAATTTTTTTAACTGCAAAAAACAAATATTTTTTTTTAAATATTTTTATTTCAAATTTATAATATTCTTGAAAAGCTCTTTCTAACGATGAATAACGTATTTTGTTTTCTTTCCTACTCACAACAAGCTCTTAAAGTTATCAACATCAAACAATTTATTGACTTACCATTAGCATCGATGCATTAAAAATTTAATGATTATTAACTGTCACCATTTCAAGTAACAAATTTAAATTACCTCATAATCTGTACATGGTAGTACAGAGTTGCATCTAATACTACGTTTATATGAATCGATTAAAATATTTTGAAACCATTTTTTAAACTAAACACTTTTTGATTGTTTTTAAACCGGATTGAGAGTCAAAACGTCTGTAATTGGTTAAGTTTAAGAAATTCAAACCGTTTGAAAATATTGTCAAGTTTTAATCGTTTTTGAATATAGTAATTAATCCTACAATTTTTGTGAGTAAGATTACCATTCAATAAACAACACTCTATACACATAAACGTTTATAAATTATCACCTATGTGCATCGTAACTCAAATTGACATATTCACTTATTAGTTATTTTTGATCTATCGATCAAGTTATAATACTACATGACGTACAACGGCAAGGTTAGGTACCCGTTTATTTACTTTTTTACCTTTTTATTAAAACGCAATTCAATACAAGTCTAATATATTTATAAAATGTATTTTTATCGATTGTATCAATGCTAATTTAAGAATTAGGCGAATCTTTGAAAATTAAATGACCTCTTAAATAACAATCTCTAATAGGGTCTGAACGACCTCTGATTAGCTTATTAGTTATTACATATTATGAATTGTATGGATGTTTTGTGTGAATCAATAAATTAGTACGATTGTTTTTTTCTATGTCCGTTATTGGTTTTCGTGGCGACATATTTGAAAAATCATCATCTACTGGAGAAACAATAATAGTATTTTATTTTCTAAGTTTATCTGACAACGGTCTTTTTTCGCCTTAGTCTTTGTGTTTTGTAACTGCGACTTCTTTACCTTTAGTTTGAGTCATGTCAGATAATAATTTCAAATTATAAAATATCAAGTAACTGATTTTTTTTAACGGATACTATGGACTATTTTTTTATATTATTTGTCCTGTGGCTGTACTCAGTTAGTGTGAACTCACGTTGACAAGAATGCAATCGGCCGTCGACAATGGACTTTTAGACATGAGGAACAGTAACTTTAAATTACTCGACCAATGGATGACCAAGTATGGTATGCCAACCATGCATACCGCTACGATATGAAATATTGCAGTTTTTGCAAAATTATAACGATACCCGCACTCTATGTGTATCGTCTCTGTAGCATCCGTACTGCTAGCTGGTCGAAAAGACGATACTCCATCTAATGGTGAGTAATCTCGTCTGGAACAACAACCTGTTAACAATACAAAACATTTATATACTATAAACACATATACATTTATCAATTGACGTTCATACAATAAGCACATGATGACCGGAATATTAGTTAAACTACTTTTAACCTAAATTGTTTTATAATAAAACAATTCTTCTATAAAACAAGCCCTTCTATCGATCGGAAAAGCCTAACCTAACCAATTGCCGACCAAACTTCATAAAATAAATGTTATACGAGCAAAGATTACATACATAATAATAAACGTTTATACTACTGTAAATATACATAATAGTCTGTAAGGAAAACATTGCAGGAAAAAAAAATCGTGATCCCAAAAAACTGCAATACATTTTCTTGTCTACATTTCCCTGTGAAAAAATATTTGCCATATTTTTAATAAAATGTACATAATATTAACGGCATACTACAATTTATACTCATTTATGTATCTATGTATGCATATATATATATATATATATATATATATATATATATATATATATATTAAAAGCGAAAAGTAGTTCGCCTCCAAAACACGTTTCGTATTACCAGCTCGCTATTTGCCATTGTGTATTTATAACGTCGGCTTGTGTTAAAAATAAAATAAAAAGTTTATTTAAAAAAATAAAAAAAGGATTTTATAATTAACAAAACAAACACGTTTGGAAATTACCTTTACTTTGTCGTAAAATAAACAAAGTTAGTATTAGGGAGTAGTTCTTTGGTAACATAAATGATAATTTAGTTTCCATCTGTTTCTATATATATAATATATGAGTGTCTCAAAAAAAAGTTTTTCCCTTACCTCCAACAAATAGTAGCTTATTCAAAAAAGAAATCCCTAGCTTAACTTTAAGAACTCACTGCATACTTAAACCTTGCCCCCCCCCCAGCCCAAAAACGACACTATATATAATTGAGATACTAAAGTAGCGCAATAACTAAGCAACAAGATTATTGTTTATTTGGCCAGAACGTATAATTAGGATGTTTATTATTTTAGCCATTAGGCTTAAGTAGATTAACTTTTTTTAGTTGCATTTAATCAATATGGACATTTTTAGTTTTTTTTTTTTTTAAACTATAAAACATGAAATTTAAATACAAGTTTTAAAGTAGATTCTTAAAGCTAAAATATGACACTTCACAATGACTCGATATTTCACGACAAAAATGGTTTTTATCAAATTACATTGATCTGACTTGATAACTGATTGAAAATTTGCTAAAAAAAAAGATCACAAAATATTAAAAGAATGATTTGTCAAATTTCAGTTTTAAGAATCTTTTTTCAAATCAAAAACAGTTTGGATAGTTATCACTTACCAGATAAGAATTGTTTAAATAAAAAATTTTAATTTTCTATGTAATCAAATGCAAAAAAAAGTTCATGAGGAAGTACTTAGAGTTGAGCTAGAGATTGACATTTTAGGGATTTCTTAATTGAATAGGGTACAATTAATTAAAAAGGTAAGCAACAGGAAAAACAAAAAAATATTGTAATAAAATGGCCGGATCAAGTTAAACAATGGTAGCATTTGGACAAAAATAATTTTAAATATTATATTCACACATATACTTGGATTGTATACAATGTTAAACTGATGCGGGCAATGTGAACTTAAGGCTATCAGATACGGCACAACCAAAGGTAAACTGTAAAATTATTACAGTAGATATCATTTTATAACACAGGGTTTTTTGGTGATAATGATTACGTACTAGGCATTCAATTATCACTAAAAGAAGTAGCTAAGCTATTTCTAATTAAAGAGTCCAGATCAAGACCATTACACTTTTGTCCAAAAATTCAAATTATTTATTAATTTCTTTTTTGAAATTAATTGATTAATTAATTTTGTATTTAAATTTGAATAATTTAATTACAACAAATTAAGGATGTTATATTATGTTCACTTGACATTTTTAGTTCTGGCCACTGTACACATGACCCGGTCAGTGTTTAAATTGATCATTTATCTACATGGACCGTAACATATAAATGGATATAAAATCTATAAACCATATGAAGAAATGTGATTTGAACGCTTTTGTACGAGTTTGTTATCAAAGAATTTTCATACAATACTTATAATGATTCTAAATGAGGTAAGTAAAGGAAATTATTTGCGAAATTAAATGTTTATCGCAAAACCCCATGACCGTGTTAACAGCCACGGATGTGATAAATATTAAATACTAACAATTGCTGACAAGTAACAATGTTCAACTCGAAACTACATTCTGTGCGATATCGTTGAACCCTAAACAATACTTCATATTCTGCCGACATGTTTAACGACCTACTAAAAATTTAATTTTTTTATCGATTGAATGAAAATGAAAATTTAACCTAAGCCCCAACGCTGGAGAAATTACTATGTACACTTGAAAAAAAAATCATATAGATAGACACAATCACTTCCTACTGGAAATGATAAAAATATATTGTAGTCGTTTAATTTATACATGTAACTTAACAACTTATTAACAAATTAACTTATTCCGTTTAGATAAATAAATGGTTATTTATGAAATAACATTTGAATTTTAACATAATTTGGCATAAATAATTAGTAATAGTAATGACAAAACAAGAAATTAGTGAAATTACCTGCATAAAAAGATTTTGCTACGAGAACAAAACTAGATTAATTTAATAGGATTTATTACTAAATCGGAAACTGATGTTTGGTTTTGTACAAAACGTCGATTTTTTTAAATAATTAAACATACACAATTGTAAAAAACGCCTACAAAAATAGCTAGAGTAACATTTGATTACAAGCCATTAAAAAACTTCCGATTTTCAGGCTGCAGTATTTTTTTATTGTTATTATAAATATTTTCAAGGAATATAATTATTCTACTGTAGAAAGGCCGACTAATATGCCCTAAAAACCACTTTTAGTTTGTTGACTAATAAATCAAGCTAATTAAATTCAAAATGTGTAGCTTTTATAAAGAATCTAAATTTATTATATATTTGAAAAAATTCCTATTTGATGTCTGAAATTATTGTTAGTTACGTTTTACGTTTGACCTAAATATGTGCTTTTATCTACATTATTTGGACCTTGTTATCAAATTTTACCAAAAGATTACAGTAAAATGACCGTATTATTTTCAGAATAAAAATAAGTACCTATAATTTTACAATTGTATAATTATAAAATTGTAATGATTTTCGATAAGTAATTTTTCAAAACGAATGACGACAATAACAAAACTTAATTAACTTCAATTAATTCCAGAACTAGTAAATGAAATCACAATTTGTACATAAATATACATATATTAAATATGTATACCTATATACAATACTAGAAGTCACGAAAAAAACTATATTAAATGGTTCATAAAATTATATATTTAAAAAAGGAACAAAAAAAAATGTATAGTTGGTATGACAAAACATTTAGTTGGCCAACATTTATTTAGTTATTCCAACTAAAACACGTAGGTATAATGATAATGTAACCTGTATAATATGATTTATAATTATAAAGTAGATATTATTTTAAATACAAGTGTATTGTTTTTACATTTAAGAGAGCATACGTGTAAAGGCCAAAGGGATTAACATATGAAATGTAAAGCTTGAAAAGAAAGCTTATCTATCCTACTTTCTATAATACTGAAAATTACATTGTTCAACTTTCTATAATTTTTCTAATGAAAGATCATTTTATATACTATTAGGTGTTTTAATCAATTATAATGCTGCTTCTGTAAATTTAAAAAATAAATCGGAGTGGAGTCCTGACAGTTCCTAAAGCCACTCAATTAAATTTTATTTGTAGACACTAGTAACTAGATAGTAATTTTATCACTTGCTAATATTGTATGGTAATAGGTCTATTCAGTTACCTACTTTGTTCAATAAAACATCATTAATATTAAACTATTAAAAATTATAATAAAAATAGGGTGTCCATAAAATATGCGTCGCATGCATTTTTATTTATTTTTTATTCAAATTTAATATTTTATATAATAACTCGAAATTTAAACACTACTTGGCGCGTTATCATTTGGTCTAATGAAAAGTTTAGAATGATTGGTTGTACTAGATGCAGGTTTATATTAAATAAATAAACGTTCATTATAAACTTTACATTCTCCCTATTAAACACTTAATGTGTTTTGCCGTTTTCTTTAACTATTCGAGAAATTAACAATTTTGATTCATCTGGAAAGTCAAGATTTTACCTCGCACATCCCTAGCTAATAGGGTTTTAGTTTTTAAAGTGCAATTGTTAAAAATAAAACAAAAGTATTAGACGAAAAGTCCGTCAGTTATGATTTATGCTGATAAGCGGCGTTGTTATAAATGATCATTTTTGGATACGATTATTGTCAAGTACCTTTTCTTAGTTAGTGCAACTATAATTCCAAAAAAAAATTCATTAGTTTTGAAAATAAATTATCTGTTTTATAAGGAATGAAGAAATTTGTAAATAAAAAAAATTTTATTTAATTTATTAAAAACAGCTTTTATTTCACAAGCCACCCTCATATTTCAAATACAATAATAAGCGTAAATGGACCGCCATTGGATTGAACAAATGCATCCATTGTAATGAGTCAGAGACCAATCTTATATGAATGATGATAATACATGTTATGCGGGTACATTGTATGTCCCGACAGCAAAATGACATAAAAAAAAAAAAATTATTATTATAATTATTATTATTAAATTTGTTCTTAGCGGTTTGAGTTACAAGGACTTTAAGTTTCACCCAAGTATAAAACGACATTTTGTTTTTGACATATTCTTTAAGTATTATGAGTACTGTTACATTTTTATTGAAACTTAAGCAAAAACATGATTTAAGGGGGCCCTTTTTCGCGAATTTATATTTTACAACAAAATTCTTACAGTTTGAAATTAAAAAATCTCAATTAGATCTAATTCGTGCATACTATGAATTTAAAATAGTGTGGACATATTATAATAGTGCACTGCGCTGTGCGGACATATTGAGGTTAGAGAGGTCAAAACTCACGAATCTTTATAAATTATTATTACAACAAAAAATGATAAAATAACTTTCAAATATAAGCTTCTATACGAAACTGTAGATGGTTTAAATTATTATTAAATAAAAATATATGCATTGAAAATAAATGGGATTATAATCGTACCATTTAATATTAATTATTCCTCAAAAAAAAAGTATGACTACTGATTTTTGGCATTTCTTAAAAAAATTGGTAATTTATTACACTTTTCGATCATAAATACGGTCTAATGGTTTAAAAGATATTGTATATCGAGAAACAAAAATAGAAAAACCACATTGTAAATTTATCTTTGCTTTGAAATTAAAATAGTTTTTTAGGACGTTTGTCGGTGTAAACCCACGCAGACTGCACTCAAAAGGCCAAACCATTTGTGTTTACTTATACATTTATTTTTCTGGTAATATTTTTCGAATGGTCGTTAAAACATGAAATCAGATTTGTGAGTTTATTTTAGCTCTTACGATTCGCCTATCACATTTGGTAATAAAACGCATACGCGTTCGACCTTATAATAAAGTATAAACAGTTACTTTTTAGAGAACGATACAAGAACAACGACGTCCCAGCGGATTTACAAATAATATAATATTGTGTAAATGTATATAACACATAAATCATAATACATTAATAATAATAGCGTATTAACAACAAACGGACAAACAAATTATATTGATCTATGGCCTAGTATTTTCTGCGAATAAAGACAAATCGAATCCTATCAGACGGTATATTTTTTGTTCGTTAATTATAGTATTATTATTACCGTTTAGCGACTTGCGGTTTTTTTTTTTTTAATGTATGACCTTAAATTGTCTTACCCATGCACAAGACCATCGCGCGTAGACGGTGGCAAATGTGTGTATAACAAAAACAATTTAAAAAAAAAACTACTCTGACTTATGTTAAGGAGTTTATATCATAACGATCCGAAAACGAACGTACACGTGCAAGCAAACGCGAGCGGACACACACACTACAGCGGATCGCACGCCGTACCCGGTCGACACACACTGATTAGACAAATCACATTGTTTAGTAATGGCCACATGCACAGTGCACACGCGCATATTATTATTATTATATATGGTACAGCGTTAACGGCGGCGGCGGTAAACAAAACTCGACGATACAAGTATTTTTTTTTTTTTGTTTTTTTTTTTGTAAAAATAACACACATCGACGACGCGACGCGTTTATACAGAGCGATTGGTGGTCGGTTCGGCCGTCGCACGTTCGAAACCTTATAGTATTGTGCACGCCGTCCCACCAGCACTATTCGAGGGTGACCTCGTTTTTTTATAAATTAGGCCATCTTCCTCTCAATCGGCATAATATTATTAGGTATTTTATTACACGGTACGGTTAACAGCTATTAACGTGTCAAATAACAATTAAAGGGGTGAGCGCGTAAAGGTGTCAAGTGACATGTTTCGTAAAACAGTTTTTAGTTTGAGTAATAATAAAAATAGTTTGAACGAATGAATGTGTTAGGATATATAGTACACAATCTAGCAAAATATTATAACAGTTCAATATATGTTGAGCTTAAAAATTAAATTAAAGTTTCAAGCATTTATACATATTTTATTGGCTAAATTGCTGAAATGTTGCCTTCTGAACAGTTTTTAAAATTGTCAGTTCACACCTATGTCCACTCAACCCTTCTATTGATAGTGGGCGCAATAAAAAGAAGCTGAGTCGGTTAGGTTAGGTTATCTGAAGATTAGGGAGTTATGTATTGTGTGTGTGTGTGTGTGTGTGTGTGTGTGTGTGTGTGTGTGTGTGTGTGTAAGAAAGGGGAGAGGGATGTTCAGTCCATTTTGGATAGGTACACTTTGAAATGAGATAACATTTTTAATATGATTGTTTAGTTTCAAATGTTAAATATTATTATTTTACGGCAATTAATCGAACCAGTGCATGACGATCAGTGGTTGTTGCGAAACACCGAGATATTATATATCTTAAGTTTAGTTTTTTTATTACCTTCCGTAATCATATGATCCAGTTGTCGTAGTTTATTGTTTTTAATGTCGTATGTACTGTGTGTATTAACTGTTTTACAATAATCCCAGTGCCAATAACGTCGGCGATGAGCACGTGATTGATTTTGACACGTGGGACCCGGGAAGTGATTGTCAAATGCACGTGTGAAGAACCGTATTTCGAAATCGGTTCAGAAAAGATCCGCCAGTTATTTGAATAATAATTCTGACATTCTTATTCTGAATTAGGGTAAAAAAAGTCGTAATAACTAATAATCTTGTTCAGTTTTATTGATTTGAATGAAATATTATAGTAGTAATGGTACTAGTTAACAAGTAGTCAACGTATAACTGTTTTTGTTTCACTATTAATAAACTTGGCTTCTTCGATTTTCGGTTATATAATGGTAGTAGTACTTAAATCATTTGTCACCGTTGGCGATCGACATAAATTATAATTAATTAATCATTTACTATAACTCATACTCTACTATAACTCATAATCGATAATAACTTGCAATTAATATTATTATTTTAAATATTCAATGATAGTAATGCCTAATCATTATTCAAAACAACCATAAGTAAAATTCCAATACGTTTTGCATACTTAAAGTCTAAAAAAATAAATACTAATAAAAACCTGAAACGTAATCGGTCAACAATTTATTTGGGTAAACTGTATGCATCTTACGGTAGTCTAACTATAAATTACAAACTAAAACCGAAGCCGTCAAAAAATTTTGTGAGCCCTTCAAAAAATGTCCTTAGGCTCCTGACAAAAACTTAATGCAAATTTTTTCATCTCGAAATTAACATTTTACAATTCAAAATCCAGTTTAAAAATAGAATATAAGATGTTAAATTATAAAAATGTATTTTTCTTTTTATAAATAAAAAATAAAAATAAGCCCATAAGCGTTGTTAAAAAAAGACAAGCGCAGAATAAAATGTTATCCAATAGCGCACACGGTTTTTTTTTTTCAGGAAAGGCTATTGTAAAATTATTATATCCCACCTACGGATATAGGAGTAGTTTAAACCCCACTGCTTTTAAATTCTTCGCCCTTCTACCAAAAAAAAAAAAATATTTAAATTTAAAGTCCTCCCTCTCCACATTCAATGCCTCCGAAAAATAGTCTTGAATAGAAAAATAACCTTGAAAATATTGATATCAAAGGTTAATAATGAAAACGATTAGTATTAATTGACTTTTTTCAAAAAATATGTGTATAATAATCATTAATATTAAAAAAAAATAAAGAACCTAATAATACTGAACAGTCCAATAGGCCATAAATCATAATTGATAACTTAACCATGTATCGATGTTCATTAGTACAATAACATCATGTAAATATGTAATTACTATTTACTAATTATTTACGTAAAAACATAATCACACTTTTATAAAATTAAGGCGTTACACTTCATATATCTCTTTGTTGCTTTATACTTGAGGAGGTTCACATTGTTAGTGTGCAAGATACTAGATAGCGCAATAGTTAATCAAACTACAGTTGTAAACTAAACTCATTTTTTAATTTGCTTAGTTTTAAAATGTTATGTGTATTATATTAAGCTGATGAATAAAGTAAGTAATAAATCTTTTCCTTAAAATCTTTTTCCGCTCTTTGGGAAATGTTTAAAAATGAGTAATTTCCTCTAACCGGTAAGAAATATTGAGGTACTGCGGGTGGGCAATTCCGATAGGGCAAAAATAAAGTCAGTTTTGACTGATATAAACGTTTCAAACAACAATATCGTACAATATTATTATCGTGTCATGCCCAGCAGCGAGAAATGCCGGCGGCCAGCTGCAGCCTGCCATACTTGTGCGCAAATTGCAGTGTTTTAGGGCGGTAATATAGATAATAAGCGGGCGGTATATTATTTTCTATTGTAAAGGTACTTGCCCATATTCGAGGTTTTTTTCCGATTTCACCATTGGCCGCCGATTCCTATTACTATCCGAGAATAAACTTACACTGTTTTTATTGCAGCATTGTTTTAAAGTGAAACGCCGATTGTTTGGCTCATATTTCACAATTTTTATTTGATTTATTGAGATTCTATGTAGAATGCGCGTTATGGCTCTACGAGTAGAATCTTATGCTCGTGTAATTGCTCTTTGGATTTCTTCGATAGCAGCTTAGATCCCATTACTTTTTAGAGTGCATAGATAATAGAAACATAATACATGTTATCTATTTCCTCATGGTTGTCGTTTAGGCTAATTCGGTCAATTAAAATGTTTTACTTCTTCAAACACATACCTACTTGCCGACCCGTGACTCAGTTATGGGTCGCGTATATTGGCTGCTATAAGAACCGTGACTGATTTTACGTTAAGTTTACATTCATGGTATTGTGTTGCGTTATTTTTTTACATAGAAACCAACTTTTACACTGACATACTTGGAGGTTTTCTAGGAATCCATACACCCATACATTTAAGGATCGGTCAAATAGAAAGCAGATTGTCCGCGCGGACAGGTCGCCGGTCCGCCGCGGACTCTGTACTCTATTTAAATGCATCATTCTGGTTAAACAGACAGCGGACAAACGGATGGTTGTATTTTTTCACAAAGTTCGCGGCGGACTGGAATAATTTTGTAAAATAAAAAATATTTAATATAGACAATACACTGGATTTTCCACACGTATCAGCACTTCTAGAATATTATTATTATGTAATTATCGAACATAATATATACAAACAATATTGTTGACAACATATTGAACTTAATTTTAAAATTTTTTTCATTTTAAAATTGTGCACTGAAAATGATCGATGAAACGGAACGATTGATTGATCTAGTTGGAGAATGCGTTTATTTATATGATACGCGGCATCCACCGGAAAATGGACAGATTCGGCAAAAGACTGGTATCAACACTTCACAAAAATGTAAAATTTAATACAAATTTTTAGCCGAGTCTGCAACCACGAAAGAGCATTTTCATGTCTCGTTGAAGTACCAAATTAATTTAAAGTAGTGGTGGAATTATAGATAATCGTAGAAAGATATAGTATGATATATAGACTGATATAGTATATTAACAAGCAGTAACAAGCTACTATCTAAGGTGGCTAGTATATCAAAACATCAAGTTTCTGGCTAATATTTTAGTGTTTAAAATCTGGCTTAAAACAATTCATAAAAATATGACCTTTTAAATTATTGAATTCAATTTAGTTCAGTTCTAGTTTGAACGTTGAGAATACAGCATAGTCGGTGAAACTCCCCAAATTATTTTCTTTTTTGATTTAGTTCATGTACCCATTTTCTTTTTTTTCGTCTTGCTTGACTCAAGGCAAGCAGAAGAAGCAACTCTTCTTTGTCAGAGGAACTGCTAGACATTTTGTAAAATAAAATGAAAACAGAAAACGTGAGATAAAAAAGTGAAAAATAAAAAACAACCAGCAGTACACTCTTGATTGTGGCAATTTTCACACTAGTTCGCTCAAACTTGTCCGCATTCTGTTTGACTATCCTAGTCCGCAGCGGACCAGCGGACTAGTTGGACGGTCATGTCCGCGCGGACCGTCCGCTTTCTGTTTGACCGATCCTTTAGGCACCAACGGACATCAAGAGCCTACGTATTTAAAGTAATCACCAATCACACGATTCACAAAATTTTAAGTGAATTAAGTAATTGTACTATGTACAGGACTCGTCGGAGAGTAATGGGATCTTCATTATACAAAGTTGTTCAGAAGTATTTTATTGAGTTTTATAGGATGTCTGAAAGTGGAGGGTTAAAATTATTGTTATCTGCTAGCATTACTCTTCCTAACCTAACCAAAATATTCGGTTCCTTTTTATATTTTTGTGCGTGTATATTTACATAAATATATATTAGTATATTATATAAATGTATAATATTGGTTTGAACTTGGTCATGAATATTTAACCGGCAAATTATATCGGTTTCTTATGCTGAAAAAAAAATTCTCTCAAAATTTCATAACTGTATCTCAATATTAACCCGTGCCGAAATCGATTCAAAGTTTTACGTTAAAATAACATGGACATTTTAATAAGATTTAGTTATTATTGTTCAAAAAAAATCAACAAATTCTGAATACCATGTGGATACATCAGGTTTCCCAAACTTCAAACACAAGAACATGTTTAAAAATTTATATTTATTTTATTTTAATTTTCCCGTATCCCCACACCAATAATGTAAGTTTAAATTATTAAACTGGTAAAAAGGCGTATACGTAAAACACTTAGAAACACAAAAAAAAAGTGAAGCAGACAATTATTTTAACCAATTTGATTGCATGGTCCTTTTTTCCTGTTATTTTTACTATTAATTTTTACCTCTTTTTTTTGTTTTTCTAAGCGTTTTTATTGTGAACAGAATTTAAAATGTACACATTTTATGTACAATTTTCTTAGCTTTCTGAATAAATATTAGAAAAATTCTCAAATTGTTGACAATACGAAAAAAAACTTTTTCAAATTATAAACTCAATTGAAATGAATTTCTGTTACTTGAAAAAGAAATCAATAGTTTTTTTAAGAAAGTTGAAATTATTTTACATAAGATCCTGTTTTATAATAATTTCTTTTGATGGCCAAAGATACTATAAAAAAAATTTTAAAAATGAAGGGTTAAGAAAAAAAACTAAAAATACATTTTACGACCATTGCCAAAATAACTCCAAAAAATCCAAACAAATTTGAGAACATTTCTTTTATCGTAACAGACATGAAGGGGAAGTTTCAAAAAATTCCTCGGGGGTGCTTCAAAAATTCGTTCGTATTTGTCCATTTATTAAATATTGTTTGCTTCATTTTATTTGATAACTTTTTCTTGGCATAAAGTCTTTTTTTAAGAAATATTAATATTGTACATTGCAATTTGAGAGTTTAGTGAATACATTTAAAGGTACGATTCCCCTTTTGCTCTTTGAGCGGTTAGGTACATAAATTTATAAAGTCTCTAGAGATAATTTATTACATGTAATAATATTTTATTTACTATTATTCTAAAAAATTATCTACTCACCAAATGTGAAATTATCAGGTAGGTCATTTAATTGCATTTTATACTAGGTTGTAAATATATATACCCTAAATCCATCCTAATTTAAAGCGTACTAGAATTTTATGGCATATTTTTCATACGTTTTTGATGTTAATCAGTCAGCTAATTCGAATTCGTGATGATTCTACAGGCTACATAATATATTAATATGTATAAACGTGGCTTTAATGTTATTATAGTAGAATTAAAACATTCTTCAGAAATAAACCACTTAATTATTATTCTATTACCATCAGTGATTATTATATTCTTCCAAGAAGGCCATAACACAACTCGATCTTCTTCCTCATAGTGACCTAAAATTGCATATCAAATCGACATATTATCAAGAATGGAATCTGCAATGGAGGTCCTTACATACAATACTCAATGAAATCAAAAATCACACTTACAAATGGACCCAACCGACCAACTTATCTAGAAAGAATCAAGTCCTCATTACCAGAATGAGAATTGGACACACTCGATTGACTCACAACTTTTTAATGTCAAAGTCCGAATCCCCTCTCTGCGAAGCATGTGGAGTCCGGCTAACGGTGAAACACATACTTACAGAGTGCACAAAATATCAGACTCAACGAACTGATAACGAAATATCGGAGAATCTGTCAGAAATCCTCGGACCTCAACCCGACACCATCAACAAGCTTATTAATTTTATAACCCAAACCGAATTAAGCAGTTATCTATAAAAATTTACTGTTTCTACACAATGTTTCGCTTTTCAATATTTAATTAATGTAGTCAAATGAATTGTATTGTAACTTATGTAAATATAATTTAATGTAACCCAATGGCCTTTGACGCCGAGGGAAATAATAAAAAAAAAAAAACAACTCGATCTCTACCATTGTCGGTCTCTAAAGGACGAACGGTTTCCATACAACCAAGTATTATTATTTTCACTTTTTGTTTTCGCGATAATATGCGTGTATCGACATCTAAAAACCGTGCTTCGAACGATCACCACTAGTCGAATAATTTTTGTTTTGTCTAACGGTTCCTCTTGTCGTTTTATAACTAACCGTTTTTTATAGTTAAGCCAGTAGGTTAGTTTCGAATTTCAGTTAATACTTTTAATGTGTTTTTGCAATATTTTTTCCCTCTCATCCAACAAAAACAGCTATTCGTAAAATTTTTTTAAATTATGAAAAAACGCCTTACAGTCTACCGGAATGCAACCTAAACGACAACCATAAGAAAGGAAAAAAAAGTTGTTTTTCTTCGAATTTTTCCCAACCTTCAGCGCGAGGTTGTAATTATTATTAATCGTTTTATCGTAAATCTTTCAAGGTATTCCTATTATTTACACCTACTTAGGCTCTAGTGTACACGCCCGTTATAGGTGTAATGTAATTATATGCGTCACACTTCCTATCATGAAACAACGTATAAACAAAACACCGTTTTGGACGCGTAAAACCAATGTGTGTGTGAACGTTTGATCTGATTATTCATTATCTTACTGTTAATTGGCCGTTAGGTTATTTCGAAAATTCCATTCATTCCAATTAAATTATAAGACAGAAATATAATATAATAATCGAATAACAATATTCGTATATTATTAATTATTATCGAAGTGGCGCACGCCGGTCTGATTACAATAATAATAACTGTAGTTGGAAAAAAATAATAAAAATTTGTCAGCGGAATCTGTTAAATCTGTAACCAAGTTCCCGACACGGTGTGTACCGGCACCGTAAGGGCCATAATAATTTCAAAACATAATATACACAAACGCATTATAATGCCGTATACCTACCACGTTTGTTTATGGCGGTGCGGCTAATACCTCTGAAATTACAGGCCGCACAGCATTCCAGGTGTATCCCATGGGGGTTTTGTGCGCAGCATCGATTATTGTTTCACATTTTGGAATGCCTCAGGAAAATACATTTTTTCTCACTTTTCCATCCCTTAATATTTGGTGTTCTGTAGTAATTTTATGTACTAGAAACTTCAGCGTTGAAAGAACTGTATATTATCTGTAAATATTATAACGTACAGTAGCACAGGCGGCTTTAAGTGTTGTTGAAAACAATGTCCCTAAATTAGACAATTTTATCATAGTTCAGCGGTTTACGAGATATCTTGAGTCCAGACCCGAAAAAAAAAAAACATCATTTGGCGGTTTATGGCGGTTATTTGGCGGTTCATGGCGATTTTAGGCGATTATTTGGCGATTTTTTGGCGTTTTTGGTCGGTTGTTGGCGGTTTTTTGGTGGCTTATGAAGATATTTGGCGGTTTTAGAAGATTTTTTGGCGATTTTAGTAGTTCTTCAGATCTTTAGCGTAAACATTACGGGTTCATAGTAGATATAGGCATAGTGATAGTGCATATTAAATATACGGAAACCGGTATTCGCATGGCCTACCCCATGCAAATCTTAACCATGTAAAATAGAATAATATTCGTACTTCGTATTTGAAAGTATTCCCACGCTAAAATATTGATTTTTCAATTTATTGTACAGTCAATTGATAAGAAATCATTCAATAAATGTTAATGTTTTTTAAGTATAGAGTATAAAGTTAACGTCCCTTTTCTATCATAAATAGAAAAAAACTTTCTGGAAATGTACATGTTGTCTTATTATAATATTATCTTATTTAGATTATAAATTAAAAAAAAAATTATTTTCGTTGCAACTATTCTTTATAATTGACAAACAAAACCTTTTAATAAATATGGTACTGTTTTTTGGTGTATGCTGTAAAAAGGGGAATAAAATCCAAATTTTGTTTTTATTATAAATGACAAACGGCCTCAATCGCGTAACACTTGATGACCACTGATAAGACGTTATGCCCTATCAATATTTTTATTACCTATAAAAATAACAGTAACTGTTATTATAACTGTTATTTTGGTAGTAACAATAACCTTTTTTAACTGTTATCAAAATTGATAACAGGTTACCATCACTAGACTAGACAAGACTGATTTTATTGAGCCTGCAGATAACAGTATTGGATCAAAATTTTATTTCTTATCATTAATAATTATTAATCATTATTGTACATAACAGTTATAAGTTCGTTATTTCTTTTATAGTGATTCTATCGTTTTCAGTTATTCCTGAATACCGGTGACCTATCCGATCCCAATATGTTCCGTTCTTACTGTGCCCGACTCCACTATGTTAGCTTTTTGTTTAATATTTTTAATATTTTACGTATTCATGAAGTAAGATTTTTTATTAGGTATATTTCAATAAGTTAATATCAGGCCATGTTAATGCGCCTGGGTTACTAAATGAAATTTAATTAAATTTACCACCAAGTTGCGACTTTTTTAGTGTAATAATATATAAAAGCGATGTTGAATTTTCGTTTTTAAAGACATTTGGTAGGTATATTTAAAAAATTCTAAAAGTATCAGTGTTTTTTTATACAACATAGTTTGGATTTACTTGCATACCTTTATCTTTACATTTGTATCTCCTACTGTTTATTATGTTCGATGAATATTATGTTATCTCTGCAAACAATCCTGAGAAAAAATATACCTCGTTATTGCGTGCTATTGTGAAGCAAGTAGGTGCTCGACAACGACGCCCCCTCTCTTTCCTTTTCCACCACGATAACAAAAAATGAATACAAATCTTATGGGAATCGAAATAATTGTATTGTACTCGACTCTTTTATGATTGTATAAATGCACGATACTGCGTCCCGAAGACGGGTTTCAAGTTGTCGCTACTACTGCTTCTTCTTCTTGTTGTTTACCCGCGACTGCTTGGTCACCGGACCGCATTAACGGCGCTAAGGTATTTAACTGTTCCTGTGGGCATTGACGAAAAATGATTGATAAAAAAAATGTGGATACTAGTAGAGTATCATTCGCTTACCGAAAGTTGATTAATGGATCTCTTCAATGATTTGACAGATATCTCATGCATTTCTCTAGACTGAGCCGAACGGTTTGCCACGTTTTCCCGAAATTTATCCAACCAAGTGTTTAGCGTTTCGATTTTTGTTTCATGCGCTTCGTTTATTTTGATTAAATACTCAACCTCTTGTTCCATTTCCTCCTCGTAGGTCTAAAACGCATACCGAGGTAGTGTGGACGAAATAAAAATGTATCTATACCAAACTCAATACATCCCCCCTTAGACATTATGACTTCGTTACGGGTTACAATTAGACAAACTCCATTTTAACTTTTATACATTATTTAAAACAAATATTTGACCATAGTAAATAGAAAAGAACGACGTTTACCGATCGATCCGAATACATCCCGCTGTAAGTTAAACTTCTCTCGTGCAGCATCTTGTAAACAAAAGCCGTGTTTCTCAGATCTTCGCGAACTCTAAACAAGAGTCGGCCTAACGTTTCGTTGATGACCGCGATCTGTCTTAGCGCTTCGTCTTGCAATAACCATAAAAAAAATACAAAGGTACTTATTGTATTCATTAAAACGAATTGCATATTATACAGTTTAGTCATTTTGGGATTCCCTGATTTTTACCGAAGTAAGAAACGTACAGAGCACTCCTCAATTCACATATCCCCGTTTTCCTGACACCGAAAAATTCCTCGTACACCTTCAGCATTGTGCTGGTGTCCTTTATGCCTGCTCTTGACGGCAGATCTTTTGATATAGACTGTGTCCAGATTTGTTCTCCGAGCTCGCCCGTGTCGACCACCCATTCTCTAGGCGGAAATATCTGATCCACTAAGTCATGTTTATTCACTCCTTTTTGTGAATCGGCATCGCTGACATCCTCGTCCTTATTATATATAAAAAAAAATACTGAACAGTACAATAAAATACTTAGACGTTTACAAAGACGGAGTACAATTTAAACTTTTCAGGCGACATAACTAGTGAGTAGTTTGCTCAAATTTTTTCTCTATTAAAGGGTTTTCTACAAATTTGTACGACTTTATGTAAAGGCTCAATAAAAGCATAATGAAGTCGGTAACGTAATAGCTAAACGTAAATAGTATTTTCGACCTAACCCCTTATAGCGCCCCCTAACTATGTACATTGTCCAACTTACAACAATATCGCTATCATAAGAATCCTTTTCTTTAGCAGTTCTCCACTGTAAAAAACAAATATCTTGAGGTTTATCTGGTTGAATGTAAGTCATTTTTATTAACAAAAACTTGGTTAACAAGATTTCAATAACGTCTATTGATTTGTTTACTATAATATAACAATGGAAATTAATTTTATGTTTTTTTAATTATTATCAGGTATTTGAGCGACGAGTATTATTTTTTTTTTTTACTAATGGTAACTAACTAAAATATATACTTAGACTGTAATAAGTAATAACACAAAATTACTAGAGTCATAATTTGTTTGAAGTTTATGTAAGTTAATGTTAGAGCATTAGATACGTAGATGCTCAAACATTAACTTATGATTTGTAATTTACAAATAAATGTTTTTTTTTTTAATGGTTTCGCTATAAATAATTAATAATTCTACAGGTACTTTGTTTTATTGACGTTTCGTTTCTGGTGGATAGAAGATTACCTTTTTTAAATGTGATATACACATATAAAAAATAATTCCTGATAAAATATATCTGCTTGTGACCATTATTAGAAACAGTTTGCAAAACCGGTTAAGGAGAATTCAGTTCAAAACCGATATCCCGGCGAGTTCAATAGGAAAATAAACTAATAAATGTGTTTTTCATAATTTATATAACTCTGAAGTTGTTTTCGGTAATTTCAGTTCAAACCTTGTAAATATATAGAAAGACGAATTAATAAAAACCAACATATTCGGGGCAGAGTAAGGTCGATGGAATCACAAGACAGTAGAAATTAAACTTTAATTGATGAAATACCTATAAAAACAAAACTTCTATGCGAATATGTGCCCTATTAACAGTACGAACTACCATACGGCAGAATAAGTGTATCACTGTGAGGTGGCCTGCCATCCTCATTTCCTGTACTGTTAAAGTGAATAAAATTTATTCCACATACTGACCTGCCTATATCAGAAAATACAAATATATTTTTTAGGTTGTAGTCATTAGTTATATATATAAACTATCTGTTTTATAAGTACAGAACATTCGATTGTGAGTTTTATTGACTAAATGAAATCAGACATTTAATACAAGGTGTATAAGAAAATAAGAGAAACTCGATCTATCCCAATGCTTCCATTCCGTTTTTTTTATCGCAAATCGATTTGTCGAAAATTTTCATGAGTAAATAAGTTTAAATTTACATAATTTGTACGTGTACGTGTACTATTATTATTATCTCCAATAAAATAATACGACATAAGCTCCCTGTCGCCAAGGTTTTTCGACAAATAAGAAGCTGGCTAATGCGATATGATTTCATCTGTGCCATTTACGATACTATAAAGTAATTTAGATATGAATACATTTTCAGTTGCGACTTGCGAGTTGCCCGAATATTTATAACCCAATATCAACTACATAGTAGAATTTAGTAATCCGTGTCACTATTCAAGTTTAACATTCTTTTCCACGGAATTAGGACATTTATAGTATTAGTGGAATCAACAATGAAATATGATTAGTTTATTGAACAGTTTGAACTATGAAAAAAAAAATATCAACTATTCTTCCGCTAAAAAACATTGTCTACAAAATGTAGTGTCTTAGCTAATAGGTATGTTTTACATTATACACGCATAACTCTACCTGCGTCCCAAAAATAATAATTCGCCATATGAGTTACAACCGCTGACATTTATCATGCCAATGTATACAATGTATACGGGTGTAGGTATCTATTTTCACAGCCGAATAAAATTAATACTAATGTATTAATATTTTTAGACCTTGGGCGATGTACCGCGTCAGTAGGTAATAATTTTGATTGTATGTTAAACATACCATGTATTACATTAACTATAGCCGTTGAACGTACAGTGAGATGACAATAAACTGATATTACATGGCATATCATTTATGCAAATCACTAAGTGTACACCTTAAGTTAGGTTTTTATTACTCTGGTGGCCCAACATCGGATTTAGTGGAAAGATGACACGTGTGTTATGGTCTGGGTTCACAAAAATAAATATTTAGTGATAAATTAAGGATTAAAAAGATTACCAAACTTTACATAATTTGTTACAACAACAATACATGACGATTAAAATTATTGATAGCATGGTCTTACAAAAGCATAACTGACTTTGAAGTCATTAAAAAAACATTTTAAAGTTAAGCTATCTCTTTTGGAACGTTATAAAACATTAATCATAGATCGAATATTATATCGTTCCAAATAGAATAACTTACTTTTAAATAAATTTAATTGGACTATTTTTTCAAAGTTCAAATTCAGTAAAGCTATGTTATAGGATCACACCAGTTATTTTTTTAAATTATTGAATTCTTATAGTTTTTCATTTTTAGTATTTTCTAAAGTTTTATCAACTATCGAAACTAAAATAATAACTAATATATTTTATTCACTTTTTAAATTAAGAATAATTTGCTGAAAATGTTGACTGGTCGATAACCAATTTTGAAGATTATTTTAGTTAATAATTGCATTTTAGTTTTTTTTAACCATTTTCGTTAAATTATCTTACAATACTAGAAAATGCCCAATGCCTTGAGTAATGGGCCCACATAAAAATATACTCCCCTGCGCTTTTCCTCGGCTCTTTACTTTTAACCTTTAAAATAATCACTAGGTGATTTGGAACATTAAATATTTGTGCCGGTCGGCGTTTTGCCGACAACTCGTTTTTCTGATTATCGAATTCACTGACAATCAGTTTTAAATAAAAAAATCTACTTGAGTATATAAAATTTGTAAAAAAATTAAAAGTATCCACTCTACAAGGATACAGAGGAATATGGATATATCTAAAAATATAATAACAATAAATAAAACTAATTGGCCAGTGCATTAAAATTATTTATCAGGTGTTTCATTTACAATACTATATAATCAATTACAACCGCTAGATCGCGCACAAATTTTTCCTCGGTAACGTTCAGCCACAGTCTTCTATACTATATCCATGTCAAAATACATTTATTACATTTGTCTAATACTCTAATACTTAATGAATAAATAAACATTTTGTTTAGCCAGAAATTTAACTAGCTATATAATAACAATTATTATAAAAAATTAACACCTACGCTAAACTTATATGTATTAAATAAATAATATAAATAAATAAATTTGATCTTGAGTTCAGTTAGGTTAGATTATTCGATATCCAAGGCTGAAAAAAATTACCGTCACGCACTGAATTTATTTTAAACTACCATATTTTCGCTGTCGTCATACTAACAATGATTAGTGTAGGTGGTATGCTGAGATAAGGGGATGTCAGCTTAGTGGGATTTTTTTCTAATACCATAATAATATGAAACCAGTTTATGTGTCAGCAAAACGCTTGTCGGCAAACCGAGCCTAAACCATGAAGACTCCTCTCGGTTATCTTATTCGTTAGACAACCGCGGTGGAAATAATAACAGTCACCCTAATAGATTATAGATGATAAGAATGATATTAATATATTAACCACCAAAACAGTTGTTATATGTTATAGTGTGTGTATGTTATGAAAATGAAGGTTACTATATGTATGGTTTTTAAGATGACAAGATTTTGGAAACAATGCTATATTCTTTTTTTGATAAACCTAACACTTAACATTTAAAATCAAATTTGTTTACTTTTTTATTAAACTAAATTGTCTCCGAAATATTGTTATCTTCCGAATTTTTAATAGGTGTTTTTGCTCTAAAACCATTATTGACCGTAAACAACGCATTTTGGGTAGCTGTTTTTTAAACCGCCGTCATGAATGCTGTAATAGTCCGAAAAATAAATAAACTATGAAAAAAGAGTTCTAATTACTGAACTAATAATTACATACCACAATTTAAACTTTAAATTAAGATTTTGCAAAAAATTGCCTCTACTAAACTTTTTAAGGGGAACGAAAGCGTCAATTTTTTTACAAATAAAGATTAAAACGCGAAGTCACTTTCTGAAGTGTCTACCGAACCGATTTCAATACTTTTTTGTTTGTTTTATAGTTTGACAGTTTCTTTATAGGGGCTTAAGACCGATTTTTAAGTTTTGTTTTCAAAAATATTTGTAAGCATTTTTATTTTTTATTTGTATAGTTTTTTCTAATACATCTTAACTACTTTTTTAATCGCCAAATCAAAAATAGTTAAGCTACGCATAAAAAAAAAATACAAATTTTTTTTATCAAAATTTTGTCATAACTCAGAGAAAAATAACTTTAAAAGTCTTATAATTAGAAAATTGTAATATGTGTTCACCTTGAAATTAGTAGGTATATTTTGTCAAATTTTGCCTATCCTTGCCCCTTAATAAATAGCGCTTTCCTTTCCCCCTAATAACGTCCTCTTAGAAACCCCGTCAAACGAACTGGCGGTTGGTGACTCCGTCCCCAGACGCCACTAAGCAGTCGAAAGGGTACAACAAAACATACCCCCTTAGTGGCGTCTGTGAGCGGAGTCACCAATCGCCAGTTCGTTTGACGCGGACTCAAGAAATACTTACATATAATTCAACTGATATTTTGGTAATATATTTATATATACTAAATACCCATATTTATCTCAAAATTGTGTTGCCATTTTTTTAGTATAATACAAAATTTATAAATTATAGTATTTTTAAAGAAGGATAAGCTAGTATAACTATTGATAAAATATATTTGTTTTAAATTTAATTTTATTTAAGGGGGCCGCAGCATGGTTTTAACAAAAAAAATATTAAGTATAGCTAAATTAGACATACATCCCAATGTTGGATTTTAATTTTTAATGTGTGTATACATTTTGTTGACAAATTGTCTAGGTTTCTTAGGCAGCCGATTTTCGATTTAAAATTTGGTAAGCCTAAAATAAATTCAAATGTAAATCGGAAATTATCACTGAATTTTCAAAAATAATATGATTATTTTGGAGGTCAAAAGAGAAACTTGAAAATTTGTCAACAAATGCATACATATTTTAAAAATTAAAATCCAACATCGGGAAGTATGTCTAATTTAGCATCGCTTATTGGTCTAAAAGGCATGAAAACTGGTTGTGCTCCGACCCCCCTTAATAAAAGCTAATAACTAATAATATTTATTATA